ATGTATCTCACTTATGAGTATTTGGTTGCCGTGCTTGGATTCCAGTACTAGAACCTCAACGGCGTACCATTGGAGCTCATCGACAAGAAGGCATACATGTTGGTTTTGATTCACTAAGCATTATTTGTATTATTGATCCATCAACTGGCACATTATTACGTGCACGTTTGTAAAATTGTCGTTTTGAAGAAACTATATTCCCATCTCTTCAAGGAGGTGTATGAAATCAACAAAGAAATAAAGTATTTATATTTGAAGCACCAAAAACATTTACAATGAATCTCGATCTTAGGACATCTTTGGCAGAAACTGAAGTTGCTAAGATTTTGCATTTAAAATGAATCACGGATGAAACACCTAATGGCTTCAATGATGTACCTAGAATTACAAGAGTTCCTATTAATGAGGCTCAAAATGCACTTACTCAGATTGTAGTGCCATTGACTACAATACCTCAAGTTATAACAACAACAACTAAAAGAACTCGTGGACCAAATAAGCAACCATGTAAGAAGAAAGCTATAAAATTAACTAATCCTAGTGTTATTTCTCAAGAAATTGCCACTCATCTTGTAGGACTACTAATTCATGATGATATATCCATGCATAATGTACCTTCAATTCCTATGAAAAACAATCTTGGAATTGGAAGGAATAAGAACAAGTTGAGTAAAGAATTATCTATTCTATATTGTGCTACAGATGATATTTGGGACAGACCATCTATTACGATAGATGAATCATTTGCATATATGATTATAGAAGCCCTTTCTTGCGAGGAAGATGATCGTGAACCTCAAACCAATGAAGAGGCGATGCGTCGCTCTGATTGGTCAAAATGGAAAATTGCTATTAAGGAGGAGTATGCCTCTTTGCGTAAGAGGAAAGTCTTTGGTCCAATTGTAGATACTCTTACATCTCGCCTTGTGGGATATAAAATGGTATTAATATGCAAGCGAGATGCTCAAGGCCAAATAATCCGCAATAAAGTTCGTCTTATTGCTCAAGGATTTAGTGAACGATTTGACATTGATTATGAATTCACATATTTCCAATTATGGATTCAATTACATTTTGATATATTATTGGAATGACAATTCATGCCACCCTTGAGATACATCTGATGGATGTAATAACTGCATATCTATATGGTTCTCTTGATGCAAATATTTATATGAAAGTTCTACCTGGCTTAGAAACAGGAACTCCAAATCAACCCGATCTAGGAAAATATCGTGGTATTAAATTATGTAAGGCATTGTATGGTTTAAAATAATCCAGACAAATGTGGTATCAACGTCTTCAAGATTATTTAATTACAAATAATTTTATAAGTAATCCACTAATCCCTTGTTTGTTTATCAAACGAGATAAAACTGGTTTTGTGATCATCGTTGTATATGTTGATGATTTTAACCTAGTGGGCACTACATCTGCATGTGTTACAGCTACAAACCTACTTATACGTGAATTTGAAATAAAAATGCTAGGAAAAATAACTTTCTGCATTGGTCTTTAAATTATGTATCTAACAGATGGTAACATTTTTCTCTACCAACTAACGTATATTAGACAAATTTTGCAAAGATTTAATATGATTGATGCTTATCCATTGTCCACACCAATGGTTGAACGTGGTCGTGATGGTTATGATCCATACCATCCATGCGAGGAAGAGGAGGAAATATTGAAAGACCAATATCCATACCTCGCAGCGATTGGAGCACTTTTGTATTTAGCTACATCTACAAGACCAAATATTGCATTTGCAGTTAGTGTTCTTGCAAGACATAGTACACGTCCAACACCACGACATTGGAATGGCATCAAATATTTATTACATTATTTAAAAGATACTGAAGACTTGGAATTATACTACACAAAATCCACAAATCCAAAATTGGTTGGATATTATGATGCAAGATATAAATCTGATATTACAACAGCTAAATCTCAAACAAGATATGTATTTTTAAGACATAGAGCTGCAATATCATGGAAATCAGTGAAACAAACAATAACTACAACTTCATCCAACCATGCAAAAATTATTGCCTTACATGAAGCATCTTGAGAATGTATTTGATTGCGATCAATTGATAAATTCATTCAAAAAACCTGTGGATTTTCATATGATGATTCTCCAACTATCTTGCATGAAGATAATAGTGCTTGTATTGCACAGATGCAAGTTGGTTTTATTAAAGGCGACAAGACAAAGCATATTGATCCAAAGTATTTTAGTTATACTCATGACTTGATTACTGATCAAGCACTTATAATTAAGAAAATTGAATCTACAAATAATCTTGCTGATCTCTTCACCAAAGCTCTCCCATTAAGCAATCATTGTCGACTTACTTATGGCATTAGTATGCAACAACTTGCTTTTCTTGAATAAGAAAGTTAATGAGTTCTTTAAATAATTAAAGAAAATGATGTTGTACTCTTTTTCCTTCATCTATAGTTTTGTCCTTAAATAAAATAAGGTTTTTCTAGATAAGGTTTTAATGAGGCAACAATTCTTGATCTAGCAAGATTACAAAAAAGTATAGGTCATAAATCTACATAAATTTTATATTATGTAAATATTATGATGAGCGAGGAGGAGTGTTGAGATTATTAAATGTAGCCGACGCTCTCCATAATATTTACTGTAGACTATAATAATTACTGTAGCTATAGTATTTAGAGTCTAGTGGAGAAGTATTGTTCATCCTCTTATCTTCTCTCTTCTTGTATATGAGACACAACCAGATCAATAGATTTGGTGTGTGTGAAGCTCTTTCTCCTTAGAAACCCTCTTGTGTATATGACTTACTACTACTCTTGTGTGTGTGTATGACTTACTATTACTCTTATGTCTTTCTAAACATTTTCAACAGTTTCATAACCGACAGCAGTTGCTTTGTGAGTCACGGGGCAACTGATGGATGGAGATGGGCGACCGCGCATTAGGTACATCCATCTAAATTTCATCCATCAGGTTCTACATTCGTTCCTCGGGTCATAAAGCAGTAACCATATTTTTAAAACATAAGAAAGTTTACTATTTGTGTTTTAAGCAATAGAGCCATATAATAAAGTGTATTGTATCAAAGAAAGAATCAATTAATATACAGAAGATGAGAGGAAATTCTTGACTTAATTTAAAATTGGGATTAATATTTTATGAATTAATAATATTAAAAATTAAAAAAATTATTTATTGAGAGGGAATTAACATGTCATACACGTTTCTACTATTGAAACGTCATGTAGTGATGGTAAAGTTTGTAGTGTTGGTTAATGATGCTAGAGATTAATTAAGTTACAAACAAGCTTTTACTTTGGCTAGTAACATGAATAAATAAACCTTTTTAATGGTTGTTATCTTCGTGGGTAATAGTTACATAGAAGCTGTAAGACATGGAAAATTCCATCCAAAATAAAAGAAAGAAAGAATCAAATTTTTATCATTGAACATGAAGCATCAAACTTTGAAAGTGTGAACAAGAGTTGATTTGTTTCAGAAAAAAAGTGTGAATTTTTTTATTATTTTCTTTATGAAGTATATTTTTGTTATGGATTTGCTTAGGAACAAATTGCATCAAAGTGTGGGTTTTTGATGGCAAAGGCTCTCAAGTCCACAAAGTGACACATGGGAAACACTATTTGGGAGCAAACCATTTGTTTAAGGGAACCGGCTCAACTTGACAAAAGTGGGCTAATTTGGGATGCCCTTTGAGTGTTCAAAAAGGTTAGTAATAAGTTGGGTGTTTTCACCATATCTTTTAGCTCCTTTTCACACATTTTAAATCAAGTTGAGCAAGACTACCAACACGACTAGGGGAGAAACTATCCCTATTATATCATTAGAGATGATGAACATATAGTTTTGCAAAACATATACCTAGTTTGCACTTTGACCTTTATGTATTTTATTTGCATGTGTGTCCAAAAGGATAGATGTTAGGTAGTTGTCTTAAGTTTTGTGTGCAACTCAATAATAAGGAACCAGATGTTAGGTTGCCCTAAAATATTGACAATTGAGATTTCAACATGTTTATGTATATGTAATTTATATATATATATATATATATATAAACAACTAGAATATTATAAGAATGATGAGCCCAAGGAAGGACACATTGCCTCCAAATAATGTAGCACATAAGAATGAAAATTGTCAAGAAAAGAATAGAATCTGCTCACTTATATGAAATTTTAAACCAAAACCCTTGGCTGTGTCAATATCTGTGACTTTACTACTTGTAAATTTTTGACACAAGTTTCTAAAATCTACAAATACATATGCAAATAGATTATGCCCTAGACTCAACCCTATGAATGTTAATACACTCAATGATATTCATGCAAAGGATCAAGTATAGAAATGGTTTTGTGAAAAACCACTAACAATGATATATGATCACATGAAATAAAAATAGCTTCAAGCTTAAAGAGGTAGTGGAAACTGAAGATGGCCCATGTGTACATGAACATAGTTTTTGCCATTTGCTGTGGAACAGTTTGCCAATAACTCAGAGAACATGAGAGTTAGAATTCCATGTTGAAAACCCCAATCAAACTCAAAGACGATGATGAACTGATTGTTCACAGACATGCGGTTGTTATCAGCAAATCGTTCCTCGTGCCAAATGGTTTTGGCTGGATTACCTGTGGTAAGACTTCCTTTACTTAGGGTTTATACAATAGAATTCAGGATTGGGACCAGAAATCCAGTGAACAAGCTAATCAATGAATGTCCGTGGTTTCAGAACACCAATATCTCATCACGTCCGGGAAAAATCTAAGGGGCATCAGTACAGGCCATCAAGTCAGGATCTGGTGTGTCCCGTGAGGTCTAAAAAACTCAACCTCTTCTCCGAGATAAACTGGTAGTTTAAGAGTTGTCCATGTTGGCATTGGATGCAACATAAGTTGTCCAAGTTGCCTTGGGTAAAATCTGTATCGGTTCACAGCCAGTTAATCTGCAGAACAGTGTTCAGGAGATGCCGATGCTTCGCTTCGCTTTTGAAGCACGGTGTGGTTGAGTTCTACCCCAACCTGATGCACTGTGAACTTCCTGTACCAGAGAATCTCTCAAGCGGACTAAGTGAACATCACATTGCCTAAATTCAGGCATGGACGCAAGGGGGCCTTTCAAACTAAGGGTCGAAGAACCTCTAGCCGGACATGGCCACAACTTATCTACAACACGTTCAATTGGTGACAGCCACTTGGAATTCATGAAATCAAGAGTGCGCCAAGGCGGAAGCGGCATAGAATTTTTTTCTAGAGACAGTTTGACATGTTCTGCCATGATGTGAAGTATCTGTCCTAATCTCTTCGTTGAGCCAACGAAAACTATGGGGAGGAGCTTGAGTGCGGCAAGGTAGTTAGAAGTAGCTCTCGCCAGTACAAATTGGTCCTGAAAATCGACATCCACTATCAAATGCTCCACGGACTGGTTGCAATCCACTTCCACATCGATGTACTCGTATTCACCCATTTGTACCGTACCTGTACAAGCCAATACATTTCCGTAGTAAGCAGAATTTAGAGTGAAGAATTTCATCCTAAATAAGTCCAAACAACAGCAGAGGAGAGTAAGTAGAGTAGTTCTACTTCTAGAAGATATGAGGGACGTGGCCTGTGATGGTGCGGCCCACACATTCTTAATGGCTTCACTCATCGAAACCAACGGTGGAAGTGAACAGGATCGATTAAATACCGCCAAGCACTTGACCGGAGCCTTTCCACTTGGATTTGCAGACGGCCGCGTCGAAGCCTGCCGCTTGCAACTGGCTAGCGACCAAGCGCTTGATGCAGCCACCCCTGCAGTCGGTTCCTTCAGCGTTGCAAATCAACGTGTCGACATCGATGGTCAAAATTATCTTTCCAACCGTATTAAAAAGCTCTGCTTCGATCCCTTCATCGATAAATGTCAAAGTCTGCACCAGAAATACGAGGATGAGCGTAGAGCACACACTAACGTCTGTAACAGTAAATACTGATAAGCCTATTTTGGCTCACTTCTAGAGAAAACCGAAGGTCTTCACATGATTAAATAGTGGTGATGATTACGTGCTTTTGCAAAGGGCAAGTCTCTCTGCACAAAATAATAATAATAATAATAAAAATCGAGCCCGGGGACGTCGAGCATTTAACGGTGGGTATCAAGAAGAGACACACTTATCAATTGTCTCAAATGCATAAAACCTCCTCTGTACCTAGACGAATCTGACGCAAATTAGAAGGGCGAAAACTAATTTGGCCTACCTATGGCCTTTTTGCAGGACCTACTTAAACTTCTGCACAGCCCCGCGTCCAAGAGGGCACTGCTTGCACAGCAGCCCAACGTAACAGCACGTTCACAGCAACCTTTGGCAACACAATGTTATGTACCTGCAAGGCGTGGGGGGATTTTGCTGAAGAGGAAAGTCCACTCTCAGAATCATTGCCGTCGTGTGAAACAGGATAGCAGGAGCTCTCAATAAAATCGTCCACCATGGCAGCAAGGTCGTCGTTATCATTGTCACCGTTGCGGCCCCGTGAGGCAGGGCTGATACTAATAGGGCAACCAACGCTGCTGCAGGAGATGGAGGCAGAGCACGCCATATCTTTCATCCACTCCGCGTAATATTGTTGTGTCCGACATGCTTTGAACTTGTTTGGAGCATCAGGCACAGCGTCAACTGCTGGTAGATAATCAAAGGCGCGATCTATGCGTCGATCCCTTGTCAAGTCTTTGCCAGTAGGCGTTTGAGCATCTTGGAGGAAGGAGTATGTTCCATAGGGTGCAGTTTTAGTCGGTCCAGGGCAACGGAAGCCTGGCATTCTTGAGGTTGGCGTCGCAATTTTGACTTACTGTATTGTCCAGATGATGACTTGAAGAGCTTCGGTATCTATCAAATTACTTGTCTGTGTATTCGATGCAGGGGTATGCTGTAATGGTTTTTTCGATTACGGAACTTCGGAATTTCTTCCCCTTTTTTTCCTTTTTCCCCCCCTTTTTTTTTTCTTTTTTTTTCTTTTCCTTTTTAGCTCTACAAAGACGGTCGATATGCAGATCTCCGATCCTGACCAAAGTGCTGTCCAAGAAATACGTTGTCCACAGTCCCGTAGATGACAAGGTGAGGTTCGCTGACGTGATTTGAAGGTTCAGGCAGGCATTTGATCAATAGCGAGAAACAAAGTGTGTGTCATTTTCCGGGGATCACGCTTCTGGCACTCATCACACCCTTCACCTTGTAAAGCTATAGAGTAGATCTTGATAAATTAGCAACTAGTACAGCAGTGCCAAGGTATTTGCAACGGCTTCTAGGTGGATGCAAATGTAACAAGGAGACTGCAGACATGTAATGTTTACGGTTGTTCGGAAAAGTTGACGTTGATTGGTGCGTTTCCTGAAAATATAGTTCTGCAGCACCCGAGAGAAAGAAGATTGTCAATTCGAGTGCACATTATACACATACTTCGTGAACAAAATCGACAATCAGCTAATCAACTTCTAAATTGGACTTGCGAAGAGCACTGTTACGGTGTCGCTCCTACATCCTGAAGAGTTTACTCTTTTCTGACTATATTGAAAGGAGAGTAACACAATGCTCACAATTTGGACTGTGCATTAAATAGACGAGGTTCTCTCATTATCCCTCAAAGCTGTCTGCAGGCAGATGCACCAATCTCAGCCACAAATCAAGCTATTGAGACCTAGACTAATCTCACCAGTGCCTCTTGCAAACCATAGTAACCAAGACCCTCAAATAAACTTGGCGCCGGACAACGCCACCTGCCATTCCACTACCGCTGAGACGTTCGCCCTTCCCATGGCCCTCACCTCAATGACTTCAACTTCAGCTCAAAATACCCCTCAAACAACATTATTCCTCCAAAAAATAAAATAAACAAACCATCGTCTCAAGGCCAAATACCACGAGCATACGCAATCATTTCTATCAACATTCCCTTCCAAGTTCGAAACGCAACATTTCTGGAACCGCTGCTTCGTCAACACCTAAAAACTCGCTGCTCCTGATAAAATTTCTCAAAAATCGCCACAATTCAAATCAGAGTCTTCTTAAGAGCAGCACCTCCGCGCCTTCACCACAACCATCACTTACCAGAACACGCAACCTCTCCGATTGAGAGTGCCTGCAGAGAGAGAGAGAAGTGCCTCTAAAAAAACATTCCTCCAAACTCCTCCTCACACACCAAAACTCAAGACAAAAATCACGTCTCACAGTCTCAGAAAACGCAGCCGCGAACGAAATCGCGCAAGGAACGAAATCGCGCAAGGAGCGACGAGAAATCAGAGCCTCTAAGGGGATCTACAACAAGCCCGCAAACACAAGTGCATTGCAACGCAACGGCGACGCTGAGGAGACTAAGACGTGTAAGCGGTTCAAGACCCGAGGAACGAATGTAGAACCTGATGGATGAAATTTAGATGGATGTACCTAATGCGCGGTCGCCCATCTCCATCCATCAGTTGCCCCGTGACTCACAAAGCAACTGCTGTCGGTTATGAAACTGTTGAAAATGTTTAGAAAGACATAAGAGTAATAGTAAGTCATACACACACACAAGAGTAGTAGTAAGTCATATACACAAGAGGGTTTCTAAGGAGAAAGAGCTTCACACACACCAAATCTATTGATCTGGTTGTGTCTCATATACAAGAAGAGAGAAGATAAGAGGATGAACAATACTTCTCCACTAGACTCTAAATACTATAGCTACAGTAATTATTATAGTCTACAGTAAATATTATGGAGAGCGTCGGCTACATTTAATAATCTCAACACTCCTCCTCGCTCATCATAATATTTACATAATATAAAATTTATGTAGATTTATGACCTATACTTTTTTGTAATCTTGCTAGATCAAGAATTGTTGCCTCATTAAAACCTTATCTAGAAAAACCTTATTTTATTTAAGGACAAAACTATAGATGAAGGAAAAAGAGTACAACATCATTTTCTTTAATTATTTAAAGAACTCATTAACTTTCTTATTCAAGAAAAGCAAGTTGTTGCATACTAATGCCATAAGTAAGTCGACAATGATTGCTTAATGGGAGAGCTTTGGTGAAGAGATCAGCAAGATTATTTGTAGATTCAATTTTCTTAATTATAAGTGCTTGATCAGTAATCAAGTCATGAGTATAACTAAAATACTTTGGATCAATATGCTTTGTCTTGTCGCCTTTAATAAAACCAACTTGCATCTGTGCAATACAAGCACTATTATCTTCATGCAAGATAGTTGGAGAATCATCATATGAAAATCCACAGGTTTTTTGAATGAATTTATCAATTGATCGCAATCAAATACATTCTCAAGATGCTTCATGTAAGGCAATAATTTTTGCATGGTTGGATGAAGTTGTAGTTATTGTTTGTTTCACTGATTTCCATGATATTGCAGCTCTATGTCTTAAAAATACATATCTTGTTTGAGATTTAGCTGTTGTAATATCAGATTTATATCTTGCATCATAATATCCAACCAATTTTGGATTTGTGGATTTTGTGTAGTATAATTCCAAGTCTTCAGTATCTTTTAAATAATGTAATAAATATTTGATGCCATTCCAATGTCGTGGTGTTGGACGTGTACTATGTCTTGCAAGAACACTAACTGCAAATGCAATATTTGGTCTTGTAGATGTAGCTAAATACAAAAGTGCTCCAATCGCTGCGAGGTATGGATATTGGTCTTTCAATATTTCCTCCTCTTCCTCGCATGGATGGTATGGATCATAACCATCACGACCACGTTCAACCATTGGTGTGGACAATGGATAAGCATCAATCATATTAAATCTTTGCAAAATTTGTCTAATATACGTTAGTTGGTAGAGAAAAATGTTACCATCTGTTAGATACATAATTTAAAGACCAATGCAGAAAGTTATTTTTCCTAGCATTTTTATTTCAAATTCACGTATAAGTAGGTTTGTAGCTGTAACACATGCAGATGTAGTGCCCACTAGGTTAAAATCATCAACATATACAACGATGATCACAAAACCAGTTTTATCTCGTTTGATAAACAAACAAGGGATTAGTGGATTACTTATAAAATTATTTGTAATTAAATAATCTTGAAGACGTTGATACCACATTTGTCTGGATTATTTTAAACCATACAATGCCTTACATAATTTAATACCACGATATTTTCCTAGATCGGGTTGATTTGGAGTTCCTGTTTCTAAGCCAGGTAGAACTTTCATATAAATATTTGCATCAAGAGAACCATATAGATATGCAGTTATTACATCCATCAGATGCATCTCAAGGGTGGCATGAACTATCATTCCAATAATATATCAAAATGTAATTGAATCCATAATTGGAAATATGTGAATTCATAATCAATGTCAAATCGTTCACTAAATCCTTGAGCAATAAGACGAACTTTATTGCGGATTATTTGGCCTTGAGCATCTCGCTTGCATATTAATACCATTTTATATCCCACAAGGCGAGATGTAAGAGTATCTACAATTGGACCAAAGACTTTCCTCTTACGCAAAGAGGCATACTCCTCCTTAATAGCAATTTTCCATTTTGACCAATCAGAGCGACGCATCGCCTCTTCATTGGTTTGAGGTTCACGATCATCTTCCTCGCAAGAAAGGGCTTCTATAATCATATATGCAAATGATTCATCTATCGTAATAGATGGTCTGTCCCAAATATCATCTGTAGCACAATATAGAATAGATAATTCTTTACTCAACTTGTTCTTATTCCTTCCAATTCCAAGATTGTTTTTCATAGGAATTGAAGGTACATTATGCATGGATATATCATCATGAATTAGTAGTCCTACAAGATGAGTGGCAATTTCTTGAGAAATAACACTAGGATTAGTTAATTTTATAGCTTTCTTCTTACATGGTTGCTTATTTGGTCCACGAGTTCTTTTAGTTGTTGTTGTTATAACTTGAGGTATTGTAGTCAATGGCACTACAATCTGAGTAAGTGCATTTTGAGCCTCATTAATAGGAACTCTTGTAATTCTAGGTACATCATTGAAGCCATTAGGTGTTTCATCCGTGATTCATTTTAAATGCAAAATCTTAGCAACTTCAGTTTCTGCCAAAGATGTCCTAAGATCGAGATTCATTGTAAATGTTTTTGGTGCTTCAAATATAAATACTTTATTTCTTTGTTGATTTCATACACCTCCTTGAAGAGATGGGAATATAGTTTCTTCAAAACGACAATTTTACAAACGTGCACGTAATAATGTGCCAGTTGATGGATCAATAATACAAATAATGCTTAGTGAATCAAAACCAACATGTATGCCTTCTTGTCGATGAGCTCCAATGGTACGCCGTTGAGGTTCTAGTACTGGAATCCAAGCACGGCAACCAAATACTCATAAGTGAGATACATTTGGAACATGACCCGAAATGAGGTCATGTAGTGAAATAATTTCAAGAAAAGAAGGGCAGAGGCGTATTAATGCTGTAGCATGTAAAACTACATGACCTCACATAGATGCATGTAGATTTGCGTGAAGGAGGAGTGGCCGCGTAATGAGTTGTATACACTTTATAAATGACTCTGCAAGTCTATTTTGAGCATGTTCATATGGAACACAATATGTCAACTCGATTCTTGTTGCAGTACAATAGTCTTCAAAAGACTTTGATGCAAATTCTTTTGTATTATCCATACGCAATGTTTTTATAGGATAATCAAGAAAATGCGCCCAAAAGTGAATAAGCATAGATATAAGATTGGTAAACACCATGTTTTGAGTTGATAATAATGAAACATGTGATTGTTTATCTGATGCATCAACAAGGACCAAAAAATAATGAAATGGTCTTGATATTAGATTAATAGGACCACAAATATCACCATGCAATCTTTCAAGCATTAGTGGTAATTCTTGTGGAAGTTTCCAAATTGAAGGTCTAATAATCATTTTACCTTGCACGCATGCACGACGTAATTCCATAGAGTCTACATCTGTAGGCTTTAAATTGTGTCTAGTTATACATGGAATGATCTTTCTAAATAATGTGGATCCTGGATGTCCCAATCGTCCATGCTAGAGAGAAACACGACTCTCTGAGATAGATGATGCAAAATTAAATATAATGGGAGGCCGAATCATAATTTGGTATAAACCATTTTCTGTAGCAAAAGCTTTTTCAACAACTTTATGGTTCTTCGCAAGAACCAAAACCTCTTTTCTATTTAAAGTGGCAATCGAGAGGTGATAACCATTAATACGCATATCTCGGTAGGTGATTAGACTATGAGGTGTTGAGGGTGCAAACATTACATGTTTACATTTTATGATAGAACTTGCAAGTAATTTTACCATCGCTATGCCCTCTTGGAAACAAAACGCATTTGTTAAAGCCATGGTCATCATATTTTTAGTTTGCCAAGTTGAAGATTTTACAATAAAAAAATCATCTATCTCACAAGATAGTATGTGTTGTTGCAAAATCAATGAGTGCATCATTTGATTCATCATAGGAGGTTCTATCATTCATATAAGCCTCTAAGTCATCAACACCAATTGAATCCATGGACGCATCCATGGTATGAACTTCACGAGCCTCAGCTCGTAATTTCTTATTTTCTTGGAATATTTTAATAAAACATTCTGAAGTACGACACGCATGTGCTAAATGTCCAATCATTCCACATTTATGGCAAGAACGCATCTCTGATTTTTGTTTTCTACTATAATTAATACTAGAAAGTTTATTCTTTCCATATGGGTAGAAATGGTCTTGTCTATGACTACCTTGATACTTATGAGCACGTTTTCCATGTTTATATAATTTCTTCTTAGATTTTGAAATATTAAGTGCATGAGATTCTAGAACTGTAGTTCCAATAGGACGAGTTTCCGCATTGTGTAAGAGTAGCTCATTTTGCTTCTCTACAAGAAGTAGATAGGACATGAGATCAAAATGACTTTGAAATTTCATGTTCTTGTATTATTGTGCAAGCACAGCAGATGCAGGAGGAAATGTAGAGAGAGTTTTCTCAATCATTTCTTCTTCAGAAATGCTTTGTCTACATAATCATAATTGTGAGACAATACTATACATTTCACTATTGAAAACATTTAAATTTGGAAAATCCAAGACACATAAATGTGTCCAATTATGACGTGCACGTGGAAGAAAAATGGTCTTTTGATGATCAAACTTAGATTTAAGATTCTTCTAAAGTTTTGCAGGGTCCTCCATTTCTAAATATTGATGTTGTAATGCGGATACAAGATGAGGACGAAGGAGAAGAAGTGCTTTCCAACGAATAGCAGGAGATATAGAAATACTTGTTGTAGGAGATTCTTCAAACATAATGGCATCCGAGAGTTGTTTTGCAAATAAATTTGTTTTTGCCATTTTTGTTCATAATAGATAATGGTTTCCATCCACAGTCAATGGTAGAAATAAAAGAACTTGAAAATTTTGGGATGCACTGGTAATAGTTTGAACTATAGTAGAAGCAATTGAAGATGTTGAAGCACTCATTATAAATAAATCTATAAAGAAAGTACAAGATCAAGTAGAAAAATTGAGTAAAATGTACCTTAAAATATAAAGTCAAATAAAATGATAAACTTGAACTTGAAAAAATAATAATATATAATTTTTATTTTTTATTTTTTTTTAAGAAGAAAGAGTTGTAGATTAAGGCAGTAGAACAGCAATAAGATGGCGGCAGCATGCAGCAGTAAGGCGGTAGGGTGGCAGCGGCGGACAGCGGCGAAGATCAGTGGCGAGCAATGGCGAGCGGCGGCGGTGGGCAGCTGCGGACAGCGGTGGCGGCATCAGTGGCGTTAGGGTGGCGACGGCAGTAGGCGGCAATGGTAGCGATGACATGGTGGCAGCGACGGATTCGACGACAGTTTGACGGCAGTTTGGGGCGCAACAAGGAGCAGGGAGCAAGAAGAGGGTGGAGTTGGACTACATCAAGTATTTAAAGGAAGGAAGGCAGAGAGTAGAAGAAGTGTTCTAAGCAAGCAGCTAATGTGTGAGGGGCCAGCAAGAAGAAGAAGATCATGACCGAAACACTAAGCAAGGGTAGCAACAGGTTTGAAGAGTCAAAGACTAGAGCAAAAAATTGTGATAGTATGTAGAAGAGAGTCGTGTTGATAACATGTTGAGAATGTTTAGAAAGACACAGGAGTAATAGTAAGTCATGCACACACACAAGAGTAGTAGTAAGTCATACACACTAGAGGGTTTCTAAGGAGAAAGAGCTTCACACACACCAAATCTATTAATCTGGTTGTGTCTCGTATACAAGAAGAGAGAAGATAAGAGGATGAATATTACTTTTCCACAAGACTCTAAATATTGTAGCTATTGTAATTACTATAGTCTACAGTAAATATTATGGAGAGCGTCAGCTACATTTAATGATCTCAACACATCCAAACTTGTTATGTTGAGCTATTGTGAACAATCAAGCTATTGGATGTAAATGTAAATCTATTTCTGTCACATACATTCATACATAATTCAACATCTCTTTTACATAAAGTTACACTTCTTGAAATTGTTTTAAGTTTTTTTCTTTGTATTGATGTCAGTCTCAGAGTGCATTTTTTAGACAAATGTACAATATATTTTGAAAAAAATCATTAAAAAGTTATAAATAAATAATAATAAAAGAATATATAAACCTATTTAATTAGATTTTTCTCAAGAAATGAACATTGTATTTAAAATGCTCAAAAAATGATATCACTTTAGGTACAAGAAATAAGATTTTAGTGTCTTAAAGCCTTTAAAATTATATATATATATATATATATATATATATACATATATATATACATATATATACATATATATATACATATATATATTGAAAGACTATAATTATTTATTATAATTATTTATTATAATTTTCTATCTTTTCATTTTATATGTGCAATTAATCTCTTATACACATGTAGCATTTACTTGTAGGTTTAATCAACAATATTTACAACTAAATTATTAAAATGCATGATAACTTGGAATAATCTATTTTTCCAATAATAAATATTTGACATACATTTATGTAAATAATTATCAAGTAGAAGAATAAACTTAAATATTATTTCTTAAATATTCTAAAAGGCCATGGATGGGTAAAGATGGATCACAAAATAGATTACATCTCAATAAAATAAAATTTGACATACATTTATGTATATGTATAGAAAAACTCTTACCCACAATATGAAAGCAAGGAGTATCATTTAATATATATATATATATATATATATATATATATCAGAAGGAATTCAAGAGACTTTCTTCACAAGAAGGAGAAAAAAAAAAAAAAAAAAAAAAAAAAAAACTCCATTCTTTTTTATTTCTCTTTATACATGTATCACTTACTGTGTTTTCTGAATTTTATTTTTGCAGATAACTATGTGTTTCAAGAGGAAAATAAAGTAAAATAAATATTTATAAATTTTTGTAAGAGCTATAAGTAATTATAAGTATGTTCTTGATTTTATTGATCTCATTAATATCTCTATTTTTTTTTACCTCAAATATTGCATTGAATTTAGTTTTATGTGTGGCCTATATGTAGTTTTGTAGATGTAGCTTTTTTATATGCATCTATATATATATATATATATATATATATGTATACATATATAATAATTTTTAAAAGTATAAATTAAAAAAATTAAAAACTTGATTTAATGAAGAATAATTGTAAGTGTTACATTAAGGAGAGTGTTATATAAATCCATGCTTTTACTAATCATAATGAATGTGGTTGGCTTTCATTGATTGTAGATCCAATAGTAGTGAAATGAGTTTTTTTTTTCATTTTCATTTTCATGATGGTTAGATTGTGTGGGTAAATTTAGTAAAAACCTGGGTCTATTTGCCATTCTCCTATATTAATATCATATTTAATTTTATAAATACTTAAGTTGATTTTTGGTATTTAATTGAATAATATCTCAAATATTCATACTTGTCACCACTCTTTACAACTTTTTGTAAGGTTCTTTTAGATTATTATGAATACTTTGATAATTAAAATTATGTTTTGTTAAAATTTTAGTTTTGAAATAAATAAGGTTATATAATCGTAGTTTGTAGTACTAGAATAATACTTCTTAGAATTCTAACTTCATTTTTGAAAATGATTTCTAGTGATTAAATATTAAAAATTACAGATGGGTTGAAGTAAAAAAGATAAAAAAGATAAAAAAAAATAAATCTTGGTAGAATAATGGAATAAAAATCTATCAATCCATTGTTCAAACCAGAGAATATTTCTTTGAATTTTGTTCAAATATCCATTAAATGATCAGGAACTTTAAACCTGAAACACTCTACATACATATACAATAAATTATATTTTGTTAAACTTAATTCAAGATAAATACAAAACTTCATTGCATTTATTGTCTTTTATCCTCTTTTTTTTTTTTTTTTCTTTGTTTTTTTGTTTTGTTGCAGTCCATTTAATTAATCAAAATTTAATTTTATGTTACAAAAAAAATGATATTTTATTTTTATTATTAATTTCCTTAATCAATTTTCTCCTTATAAATTTTTATTCTAATTCCAACTAGATATCAATTTTGACAAATATTTCCATTTTTATTTTATTTTATTTATTTATTGCGATATTTTATAAATACACTATTAAAACATATCATATGTTATACAATAATAACCATACCCATATTGTGCAATACCAACATGGGTCATCCCTAACAAAAATTATTTCATGGACTAAACAAAATGCTGTGAAATAAAGTTACAACTCACAACCACTTCTCCCTGCAACATCAAGTTTAACTGTGCTATATATATGTGAGAAACTCCCCAACCCCCCTTAACAACCAGTTCTCTCTTTTTTGCATCAATCTATCACAACTCAAACTTAAGAATCAGAAAAAAATAATAAAATAAAAAATGAAAATGTACAAAACATCTTTGGCCAGTGATTCAGAGGGTTGAACTTTGACCTAAAACTTAGGTTTAAATCAAACCTTGGGTGCACACACTAAACTGGTCAGTCTTCCCCCCCACAAACCAACAATTATATGACAATGGCAACATAAAAAGCAGCATTAGTAATTGATAATGGGGCCATGTGTGGGCGGGTTGAGTTTAAGAGGATATAGGAGCTGTGTCTTGAAAGGTGCATTTGCACTTTTGAAAATGAAACAACATCAGCACGCCTTTCAGTACATTGCCCTTCTTGTCGTACATTTGCATGCACCGATACCCATCCCGGACTTCATGGATGGGAAGGCATGTCTGCCCTTCAAACTCATCTTTGCTATCATCATCATGGTCTCGGACCTCGATGCGAAGTAGTGCGAGCTCAGGGCATTTTAGGGCAAACTCATGGTCCTCATTCCAATGGGGTGCCCATGAATTGTCCACCACAGATGTCTTCCACTTGGCCTCGTCAGCAGGCACTCCCACCACAATCACCTAAACACACACACACACAAAAAAACAAAAAAAAAAAAAAAAAAAAAAAAAAAATGTGCAAGTTTAATAAGCTCACATGGGCTGTGATGACTTGTTTTGGAAATGAAGTCTTTAATAGTTTGAACTGACCTTAAACTACCAAAGAATGGCAAGTTGTACCCAAGTATGTGAAAATAATATCTAAGAGTTTGGCAGTTCAAAACCCAGCTGTAAAATCACAATGGACCCTTGCATGAGGTTTACTCTTGATTTCTAAGAAAAAACAGAAAAGAAATAGAGCCATTGGCATGAGAATTGTACACATGTATAACATTGGAAGCATGTGCATTATGTGAAATGTGGGGTCTCTCACCCTAGTGAAGAAATCTGGAGGTGAGAATAGGTCAAAATGGCGTTTGGAAAAGGCCTTGTCCCATCCCAAGGTAGTCATAACTTTAATCTGTGGGGCAGTGAGATTAAGTGGAGAACAATGTCACACAATCAGTATCAGGGACTGAATTAAGAAACATCTCTTGATGATGGTGATGATGATAATTAGTGTAATAATAACAATAATTATTGATAACCAGGGCCTGCAACTGGACAGGGAAAATTCACCTTGAGAATTAGGGTTGTGTTTCTGGGTGATGTGGGGTTGAAAGGCACACCAGAAGGCAAGTTTTCCAACAGATACTGTGGCTTCAAAACATACCCACATCCCCCATTTCCCTTGAACTTGCCAAATGCCTGCCAAAGCTCTTTACCATAGCCCTGCGTCACAAAACCACACACACAAACACAACTACTTAGAAGCACTGAAGCACTACTCATTCACTAAATCCAACAGTACATAAAGCTGTAGTTAAGTAAAGTAATTGACAAGTTACTTCGCAAAACTCAACACATGAAAGAGCTTTGCCTGCATGTTTTGAGCCACCATTTGAGCTCCGTAGTTCCAAGCCAGAGTAGGGCAGAAGTTGGAGGAGTTTACACGATTAGCAGCAGGATACACACGTAAAATGTTCTTCTGCGTGAATCTGCAAAACAGTAGCAACATTGAAAATGAAGTTCCGAGCTGATGAAACATGTGAAACAGTAGCTGGGGATTCTTCTGCAAAAGTGTCACATTTTTCTCATGAGAACATGAAAGAGCAGCAATGGCCTTACTTGACCAGAGCTTCGGGCCACTTTTCCACCACTTTTTCCAGCTTCGATTCCGACAGACTGATCCGTTTCACTGATTCATCGACTTGCAGTCGATGCTCCATCGATGTCCCCTTTGCGTGCTTTGCTAGCCGGATTGTGATGAGCCGGGCATACTTGAAATGTTTAGGGTTGTCATTGCCATCGTTGCTCTTGCTATACCTTGTGGATGTTGCTTCCCCGAGGTCAGAGGGACTTCTAGAGTTAAGCTCAGCTGGTGTTGACATTTCCTACGACGACAGCACGAAATGACACTTCAGATGGCTTGGAAAACGCTGCAAATATGGTGATGTCCTGCAGGGGTGCTGAGAAACTTGAGCATAATGACCAAACTGAATCTGTTAGATGTGATTGTGTTATGCATCGAACCAGAAAAATGTCCAACCTTTTGGCTTAAAACCTCGACTTCCTTACGCAGCGATGGTGTATTTTCTCCCAGGATGTGGTTCTCTTCAAGGGGAGCGAATGTGGTCTGCTCCAATTTGTCTTCCTTCTCGAGCTCCTCCACCAGATTCCTGTTCTCCATGGCCAATTTCTGCGTGGAACATGCTTCGAGATACTCCTTCGGCGGTTTGGTGGAGATTATGATCTTCCTCTTCAGTGACTCCGGTGAAGGAAACTCCACTAATGCATCAGTTGTGGGTGGATAATACAGGGCGTCTCCGAGAATTTGCTCTAAAATCTGTTGGTACACGATGCCGAAAGTGTCGGTCAGTGTACGACTTCCATAGCTAATGAAGCTAACAATCGTGTCATGTTCGAAGAGCCAGTGAACTGAGTAGTGGCAGCTACCATCCCTACAAGTGTTTAAGAGCAAAACGGCCACGAACCTCTGCAGCATGGCCCTGTAATTCGCTTGTAAGATGATCCTCAATAGTAACGCAAACTGGGTACTCCGAGGTGAAGAAGGCGTTATTCTTGATGGCTGTGACACACTTTTGGAACGACACCGGATTGGTAAGTGTGCTGCACAAAATATATAACACGGATGTGTTAGAATTGTTCTCGACGTTGATTGAGTTGAAAACCCAGCAACGCGTATGGATTTCTGACGCTCTGCATTTGTGGGTTGCCCGGATTGACGCTTGCTACTCGGATTATTAATTCGCTCACCGTTAACGAAGAGAGAGAAAAAGCGGCGACATGATCAGCAGCGGCTGCATTCCGCAATGGACAGGTCGGTGCAGCTCCCACTGTCAATGTTGGCAAACCAGATCATGGATGTAGGAATTGCCATGGCAAATGGTGATGACATTCGCAGTGTAATTGGAGCATTCTCGCTTTTAGTTTCCAAACGTCCTACCATCGCCGTAGGAAAAAAAAAAAAAAAAAGCAGCAAAAATACCTAAAGATTCCATAGCTGCAGCACTTACTTTCCGTGTGTGACCTTCATGCCGCCTTTGTCATCAGGCCACAAGTCCAATTCCACAACCCGCACGCCGCGCCGCAGTGCCGCAGCGATGGGTGTGTCGCTGCTGTCGCTGCTCAGCTGGTTGCCGGTCAGGTACGAGTTATGGCCCGTGAATATGAAGTAGTGCGACATCGGCTGCGTCATGTCTTGGTGAACCTGCAAAACCCAAATGGCGATCGCCGATCAACCAACCCCTCATCACGCAAATTTGAAGGAAAAAAACGGAGATTACAACCGCCAATATGGACTCATATTCATCCCCGGGACACGAAAGATTGGGTAACTCACAACTTGGAAGATGAGAAAAGCATGAAAAGTGACTTACAACGTTGTGTAAGACGCCATTCAAGTCGGGATTCATCAAGTACTTCCGAAAAGCCTCCTTCGACAAGTCTGAGTTGATAGAGGCGAGTCCGAAGGATTTCTTCCAGTCCTTGCGAATGCGCTCCATGATCTGCTTGGCGTCATCAAGGGTGAAGTCGACATCCCCTTGCTCTGTATGCAAGAATTTCAGCAACCCCTCCGCACTCATTCTCTCATTCTCGCTGTATATTGTGAACACCTCCCCCACCAGGTCTTGCTCCGGATCCCCTTTCGGGGTTCCACTTCGACAACATGCTATGGAACACATTTTGCAAACCCAGTGACGAGCCGATCCCTTACACTCCGTCAACCTTAAGCTCCACCCAAACCTGCATCACCGCCTCGTCTTCCCACGCCGTGACATCCTCTTAAACTCCCGAAGTCAAGATTCTCATGATAAAAAAACCCACACCATGTTGCACACGGCGAGCACCAAATTCCACTGCACCCACGAGGAGGCGAGATGATTATCCGAGCGCAGAAACTCACGAAAATCAGATGCACGGATCAGCTAAAATACAGTAGAATGTCGAAGGACCACATCGCTTTTGAACGAGTACGTGATGATGCAATAACAGCATCACACGATTCGTGGGACGGTATAAAAAAAAAAAGAAAAAAAAAAAAAAAAAAACAACACTACCTTCTAACCAAGCACTTGTTGAGTTCAATAGGGTAGCTACAAAATTCTCCTTTAATTTGCTGCACTGAGTCAAGGCCACCAGTTAGAATCAGATGTTGTCTTACCCGAGAATGAATCCCAGAAAAGCTCACCGCATCTCGATCACGGCGTCGGCGATTGAAACTCAGCAGCACGGTAGATTATCTACCCAGGCTATTTTTTTTTAAAAAAAAGAAATAAAATAACACCGCACATCGAGGTTATAGTTTTTCTTTTATTTTCTTTTCTTTTTCCATGTTTCTGATCCACGTTAGCATTTTGTCGTTTTCCGACCTGATCTCCGACATCGCCGCTGTGGATCAGTCATGGATTTATGAGTAACCGGGATGATCAGCTTTTGTCGTGAGCGACAACGCATTCGTGGTCCATATGAATCACATCTTGTGCTACTGATTCCATAAACATGATCTAGATTCCAATAACCTGGTACCCAGTTCACGCTTCCATCGACGTCGATGCCGCACTGTAACTCCATCGCCAAAACAACCAGTTTTCGATCAGAAAAAAACCACTTCCATGAACCCTCTTAACTTGCTCGCAAATTCTAGATTTTAATGTGCATTCTTCATACACTTCGTTTACAACTACGGTGGAGAGTGTGTTCTGTTATACAATTGTTCAATAATGTGATCACATTCTTATCTACTGTTTGACTCTGTACGAGATTATTCTTATCTGTGTGGAGCCCTTTTGTGCTTTTTTCTGAAGAAGAACTGGGTAATAAGGCTAGAAAATGCCAAACACGTGAAGAATAAAGTGGGTCTTTTTTTTATAGACAATAGATTGGTAAGAAAGGGAGCCCATGTGGGACTTGGTCATTAGAGTGACGTTGAACTCTGTGCATTTTGGAGTTTTATAAAACTGTGTGTGTGTGTGTAAAAGTGTCTTGTACAATATCCTATCTCACTTACTTGCTCACATAGCTTTCCCTTGCCCTATTACTACAATTTCTGAAATTCTTTATCTAAATGAAGTTATTATATTGGATGCTTCCTTTTGTATCTATTCATAAAACCCATGTGAGAGTTTCCCCACCTAGAGCCCTCTTTGCCAATAGAATACCTATCAAAAAGGGCCCACAAAGTTTGTTTGTTATTTTTTGCTACATCATGGCCACTTGACAAAGCCTGAATGCAGATGGTGGATGGCTATGCCCAAGACAATTGTGTGTAGGCCCTAGTGCTTTTATTTGCTTGCAGGTGGAAATTTATTGTATTGTGCACAATTGGCACATAAATTTTGCATGGGGAAATGGAGTTCACTGAATTAGGTTGGTTGGCCTTTTAGGCGCAGGGCTCTACCCTCACAAAGTGACTGCTCTACTTTTTACTGCATTAACATTTTTTATTTTTTTATTTTTGTAAAAGCCAGTATTTGTTTCTCTGAGTGTCAAAACCAGTATAATATAATAGATTGGTAAATATATTTTTAAATATTTCAATTTTTTGAAATACATTTTAACTAAAATTCTGGTGTAATTTTTTTAGTTGCGAAGAATGACAAACACTAGGGCTTGTTTATCTCTTCATTCTAAATTCCTTGTGTTTTTTTTAAAGGTTTTTCAAAATTAGAGTTTTGAATAAGGAGATGTTGATCCTTTTTACTCTTTCCAAAATATGTAAATGAATATAATAATTTAATAGGATTTCAATATATATTGTACCTAAATAATGCCTTCACATTTTGCTATTATTGAACTAAAGAATCTAAACTGAAATTTTAAAAGTACATAAAAATTTTGTATACAATAAGCCATAAGTATATATTGAAGCTTAAGTATTCATTTTTACATTTCAAAATGATTGGTCTCAAGATTAATTGATAAATTTTGCAAACTTTATCTTGATTTTAAAACTATTTTTAGATTTAAGAAGAAAGAAAGAAAATATTCATGTCAAATCCAAACATATTCTCTAAAACAAAGAAGGTTCTTTTAGAACATTTTATTAGTAGTTTTATGTATAATAATTAAAAACAAACAAGGCTCAATTATCTTATTTATTTAATTTTTCATTAATTTATATATATTTATATATATATATATATATATATATGAGCGTTCAATAGTAAAGCTTTGAATTCAAATCAATTTTTTTTAATTTAAAAAATAATAATAGATGAATTTTTTGATATAAAATAATATTAGAATAAAATTAGATCGACACTTGGTTGCTAAAAAGACACCTCCATATTGCTATAGATATATCCAATTTATTATATTATTTAAATATAATGAAAGTATTAGATGGATACACTCTTGCTCTTCCTTCAACTCCCACTCTCTGAGTACTCTCTCTTGCAACACTTCTTTCTTATCGCTCTCTTTTTAAAATGCTTTCCTCTTGAGTCTACTCCAACTCTTTCTTGTTGCTCTTTACTTGTGTCTAATCTTGCTCTCCCTTGTCGCTCTCTACTTCTGCATATACACTAAATCTTCACTCTTCATGCTTCCTCAACCCAAATGCAAATTGTTATATTGGCCAACCTTCTCCAAATTATCCCAAAAGAAATTGTGAAGTGCAATTCTAGAAAGAACACTAAATTTATTAATATTTTTATATTTTATATTTTTTTTCAAAATAAAATATGATATGTTATAGAATACAAATGCTAAATCTATTAATTGATGTTTTTATTTGAATCAATCCATCTAATACTTTCATAATATTTAAATAAATTGCATTCTATTTTTACATGTTAAATTATATGTGATTAAATTATTTCCAATTAGATGAATTGTTGCATTGCTTGATCTTGCTTGTTTAGTCCAACTTCGATTGATGGGCTAGCATGGATGATGAATTAAGCAACATAGTGAGAAATTGTTGTTGCTGTGAATAATGTGTGTGTTGTGGGATGTGATCACTTACATAACTTTGTGAGATTAAGTAAGGTTGACTTCTCCATGAGCAATCAATTGCAACAATTTCGACAACAACAATGTGGTGAGTGATTCACATAATGGGATTTATTAAGCTTAGCATTTATAAGAACTGGATTTTATACTAATGTTGCCTTGAGACTAAGGAGGATTCCATCATCAAATCAATACCTATGATGCTTGCAACAACAATTATTAATTTTGCTTCTCAGAGGGTCTTGTCTCATGCTTAATATTACAATGCCCACCCTTCCATCAGTGCAGCTTCATCACACAATGTGATAAAACACATTAGTTTATATCAACTCTTTTGCTTTGCAATAGGAAGGCAAAACCTTTGAGTGGGAATGGGGAAGGGGGGGATGTTGGGATGAAAGCTAGGAACAAAGAAAGTGAGGTTGCGAACATCATTTTTCTAATGATGATTAAGATAAGGTAGGTTGATTTAGTGGAAGAGTGAGTCTATTTAACATTCTCATATATATATATATATATATATATATATTTTGTTGATATTTTTATGTTATAATTGTTTATAAATTTTATTTATTTAGTACATACTAACTTTTAAATTACACATAATAATAAAAAAATTCATCCACATTTATTTATTTATTTTATTTTTTTTAACATCTTGAGATTCAAAAACACAATTTGAATACAAGAAGTCAATATACATCTTTGATTCTTATATTTAAAATTCAAAGCCAAACAAAAATATCTTTAAAATTAATAAAGTATTAGAACATAAAATAAAATAATTTACTTTTTTATAGTTAAATTTAAAAATAATTAATAATTAATATTTTATAATATTAATATAAAAAGAATTTTACTAATGGTTGGTGCTACTTATTGTTACAAAAATGCAAAATATTAGTTGTGTTGCTTAAGTTTTGATAAAATTTCTTGACAATATTAAAATCATATATTGCACGAAGGCTTCTATGGAAATATATGTAATAAAGCTTTGATCTTTGATGCCCTATTATAAAACATTTTATAACTTAGATAGTTTTTGTAGCATTTGTAACTGAAGACTTTATAAAATACTTAAAAATACAACAATAATACAGTTAAAACATCCAATATCAAAACATACTACTTTAAGGATTAGGTTCTAATAAGCACTCACAACATCCATCACAATTCCCGAAAAAAAAAAAAAAAAAAAAAAAAAAAAACTTCAACATTCCACTTGTAACAACACTAAAAGTAACAAAAATTAAATGCAAAACAAATCACTCTAAATAAATAAATAAATCTTAAAAACCCTATCCCTAAATCCAAAATCCTTTCTATAGAGTCAAACTCAACAAACACCAAACTAAAACACAAAAAGGAAAATAACCCAACAATTACAACGCAAAATTACAGCTAAACAATGATTAAACAAAAAAGTAATAAATAATAATAAAAAAAAAAAACCAAACCCATAAAACCCTAAAACAACGGAGCGGGTTCAGCGCGAGCGGAGTGGTATGGGGTGGGGTGGGGGTCGCTGATTGGACGGGGGCACACAGTGGGCCAATGGACCTGGGAATGTCCGCCCGGCGCTTTTGAGCCGCAAGCTCCCCACAACAAAACAACACACAACAACATCCAACATCCCCACCTCGTCGTGGTCGTGAGCGAGTGATCGAGCGAGTGAGTGAGTTCCCGTCGGAGGAGGAGGAAGAGGAGGCCAGATCTATCGCTCTTTGTTCTTCTCTTTACTCTTCGACCCACTTCCCCATTTCGCTCTTATTCTGCCCGTGGATTTTTTCGCATTGCTGGGTTTCTCTCGTCTTGGGTTCTCCGCTCGCTCGCTCGCCCGCCATGGCCATGGCTGCTGCGTCTTCCACCCTTCCAGCCTACCATGGCCTCCGCGGTTCGCCCTCGGCGAATGCCAAATCGAAGCTCTCTTGCGTGAGCGCGAATCCTCCCTCGCGGGTGGTGGTCCGCGCGCTTGCGTCGAAGCCCTGGGCTGCGTCCAAGACTCTGCGTCAGGTGGCCGCGCATGCCACGGCTGTTGCGGTGAGTCTCCTCTTGTTGGGGCTCATTACTTCTCCTCTTCTTCTTTTTCTCAATGCCACTGGGCTTGGAATGCCTTCCTTTGTGCTCTTGTTCTTTCTCAGCGGAGTGTGACGATCCCGCGTGTGGATTTGCTGCACCTGAGGTTGATTCAGGTAGGGCTGACTGAGTGATGAAATGGGGTGGTTGTTGTCGTGGGCGTGGTGCAGAGTAAGGAGGCTGTGTCATCGTCGTCGTCGAGCCAGGGAGGGTGAGTGGCTTTTGCCCTTGCTCTCGCTGCTTGCATTGTTTGAGATTGGCATTTGCCGCAGTCAATGACGTGCTGCATAGGGTTAGCTTTCTGGGGCGCAATGGTTGAGGCGGGGTTTTGGCAATTTGTAGTGAGAAAAGGAGTGATTGGAATCCAAGTGTTGTGACTCGGTGGACAGAAGCCTGTGAGTTGTTGTGAGGGATTGATTGGATATTGATTGGGATTGGGTTGGTGGTAGACATGAGCTTTTGATGTTCGAGGCTCTGCGGGAGGGGCTTGGCGAGGAGATGGAGCGGGACCCGAACGTGTGCGTTATTGGGGAGGATGTGGGAGACTACGGGGGTTCTTACAAAGTGACGAAGGGGTTTTCGGAGAAGTTCGGATCCTGGAGGGTGCTGGACACGCCCATCGCAGAGAATTCCTTCACGGGCATGGCTATTGGAGCTGCCATGACAGGGTTGAGACCCGTTGTGGAGGGAATGAACATGGGGTTTCTGCTGCTGGCGTACAACCAGATCGCCAATAACTGTGGAATGCTGCACTACACGTCAGGCGGGCAATTCACCATCCCTGTTGTTATCCGGGGGCCTGGAGGCGTAGGCAGGCAGCTTGGGGCGGAGCACTCGCAGCGGCTGGAGTCGTACTTCCAATCAGTGCCTGGCCTGCAGATGGTTGCTTGCTCGACGCCGTATAACGCCAAGGGGCTGATGAAGGCGGCGATTCGGTGCGAGAACCCTGTCATATTGTATGAGCATGTTTTGCTGTACAACCTGAAAGAGAAAATCCCTGACGAGGAGTACACCTGCTGTCTGGAGGAAGCCGAGATGGTGCGTCCGGGAACGGACATCACAATCTTGACCTACTCCCGGATGAGATATCACGTGACGCAGGTGATGCTGGGATCCTAAACCCTCCTTGGAATTCTATGTAGCATACTGCTTTTGAGGACGGGCTTTTGGAGTTGCAAGGATTGTAAACGTGGGCCGAATGGGGATGGCATGTTTGTGGGCGGGGTTGGTGCAGGCTGCAAAGACCCTGGTGGACAGAGGGTACGACCCAGAGATCATCGACATCAGGTCTCTGAAGCCATTCGATATGTACACAATCGGGGAGTCCGTGAAGAAGACGCACAGAGTGTTGATTGTGGAGGAGTGCATGCGAACGGGCGGTATCGGCGCGAGTTTGAGGTCGGCGATCATGGAGAGCTTCTGGGACGAGCTAGACGGGCCAATTGGGTGTCTCTCGTCGCAGGACGTGCCGACCCCGTACTCGGGTCCGCTAGAGGAGCTCACGGTGGTGCAGCCGCATCAGATCGTGACAGCTGTGGAGAACCTGTGCGGTAAGAAGTGAGTGTGAGCGCCGCCGCCAAAGTACTTAGGATTCAGAATGCGGGGTAGTGGGCGTTGTATTACGCATGAGTAACAGGCAGCAGGTTGGTGAAGCTGGTGGTAGGTTGATTTACTTATTTTCCGGCGGAAGCCTATGTTTCGGAGATGCGCAGGTGAATTCAGGGTCATCCCTCTTTCTGTTAGCGGAAATTTCTAGAATTGAAATCACTTAATTGATTGGTAGCTGAAGAGTCCACAGTAGTGTCTGCCATTCAGTTATGACAGGGAGTATAAGAGTATTGCAGTTTGTTCGTTTTAGGCTGTGAGGTTGTAAGAGATGAGCAGGTGTAGTGTTGTGTGGGCACTTTTATTGGCGACTTGTATTGGTATTCCTCGTATGATTCTATTCAGATCTGGATGAACCTGCCTGCTTTTGTTTGTTTGTTTTTGTTTTTGTTTGTTTGTTTGTTTTGTTTTGTTTTGTTTTGTTTTGTTTTTTTTTTTTTTGTGAATTTGAGCTTATCATCTACGTTCTGCTCTGCACTTGCTGTGTGTGGAAAGTGGTTGTGTTAGTTGATATGATGTCCTCATTTCTTAGAATTGAGGCTCGTGCCAAGTGGTATCCTCACATTGCGTATTTTGCAGAGTTAAATGTTTTGCGAATACAAAAAGAGAATTACCACTAGAGAATACGGGATGTGTTGATTCACAAATGATGTTCAGTGTCGGAATCCTAAAACGTGTAGTTATCAGTTCCATCCATCAATTCGGATTTCTTACAAATAAGTTGGAATTTGAAGTCAAACTTTGGAAACTCGGCACACATAACATAGAGTAATTTACGATAAGTCCTACATTGTACCAATTCTCACTCCGAACACAATCTTCAGCAAACAAAATTTGAATGATCGTGACTGAATTATAAGTACTTTAACGAAAATATACATTCGGAAGTATTGAGTCTTCAGTAATTTGACATCACGTAGAATTGTTGCCAGAACCGTTGCATGACATCACCCAACCAAACATCCTCAACCCTCGCAGTGAAATTGAATGATACTCTGGAACTTAGTATGACAAGGTGGTAACTCTGATACAACGTCGTTCAAATCTCCTCTTCATCCATCCACTATCAACGTCGTCCACTAATTCTCAAACTAGTCAGAATCACCAGGTGAGATCTCCATCCTGCTGATGGGTGGGCTTTTCTGTCGGATTTTTCTCGACGCTTTTCAGAATCAGCGCGCGACTGTGTAGGAATGCAATAAAATGTCCCCGAATACAGTAAGAGACTATAGAACACGGTGGAGTTCGTATTAGAAACCATGAATAAAAACTGAAGATTTTTTTTCTTTTTTTTTTTAATCTTTTAATTGTATTCAATGACACGTCTCCTTCTGCCTTGTTCATATGAAGTATTACACACAACCAGAGTAAATATCAGAGTTTCGAACACAAGCTATTGATCATTCAATTCTCAAACTTTTCCTTCGAAACTTCAATGTGCACATAAGCTTAAGATAGTAATGATAAAATAAATAATGAATGTGGCATTTAGAAGTGGTACTTCAGTTCTCAGACCCAATCACAACAAGCTTCTGATCCTGAACAAATTGTGTCACAGTGAAATCCATATCAGGTGAGGCAGCAACTATTGATTGCAATGTACGGTGATACATTGAGCTGAACGCAATCCATGCTACAAACATAAACAAGAGAGTGATCAACCACAACGTAGTGTTGTTGTCGGCGTTAATTTCTATAACTTTGACTCCCAAGTGTAGCACCTTTCATCTCGTCCAGTTTCATGGGCCGCAGTTTGTTAAGCGCCTTAAAGTCAAACACCAGTTGACCTGCATCGTTCGTCATGATCTGATCATCAAACTGATGATCCCACACTATGTCTCCGTCTGCAACTGCGTATAACATCTCACTGAACACCGGCTGCATTGAGGATTTCTCAAGAGCTGAAAGGGTGGCCATAAACGACACGTCTTGACTGTGCAAGGCCTGTGATCCAGAACCAAGCCGCAAAGGAACTGTCAACTCATAGCACCTAACACAGCTTTGAAAAGCTTCCAAACACTTTTAACCCAAAAACTTACTTCTCAATCATACAAAATGCCGTGTAGAGACTTGAAAAGCATTCTCAGGCATCAAAACGCTTTTCAAGTCTGTTCCAAATGAATCTGCCTTGTGATCAGAACACACAGTTCGTCACAAGAATCAAACACATGATTTGCAGGTCTCGTAGAACGTATTGCTCAAGTTAACCACATCAATGTTGTTTCAGGATATTTGTGGGTGTTGAGAGATTAAGTGAAAGTGTTGAGAGGAAGATGTACCTCAATGTCCAGATTATAAAGAGGGCTTTCTTCGTCAATTATGTGGCGGATAAAGAGGCCATATTTGAGGTATGGAACTCTTGGTCGAACAAGCTTCAAATTAACTCCAGTTATGAATGGCGTGGGTTGGCCAGGAAGAGTAAGGAAACGCTGACAGATGAGCTCGAAGTGGCACTCTATCAGGATTAGTTGCTGCGGATCCCCCAAATTTAGACGTATCAGGAACGACCTGCAGAGACCGAGAACACAACACAATTACAATTTCTCCCTTCATGGTAGCACAAGTAAATTCTGGATTACTAGCTTAATTTTTAGTTTTTTTAAAAAACAAAACAAAGAGCAGAATTAGTTAGAGATGATAGGGATTAGTCTTGCTTGTATGTCTTGTTAGCGGGATGCCCAGGGAGATGAGACTCCGCCTCCGCGTACGGATCATCAGTGATAAGAGCAACCGCAGACCACCGGACAGGTTCTACAGGTTGAGAAAGCCTGTGAAACACTGCACGTAAATACACGGGCTCTATCATACCGCAATAGCTGTCATTAATCTTGGAGAAGATTCATCACCAGTCCATTTCACAATGGTTAGTTCCTCTGACCTTTTTTTAAAAATTTTGCTACTACTTCTCAGGTATACGCCGCTTGTGTTGCTTAAATTTACCCAACTAAATTTTCATAGGTACCCCACATCTGGCTTTTTCTAGACCTCAAAAATAAAGACAAGATTTTACCAGCACCGCTGAAGAATACAAACATGAGCTGAGCCATGAGTGTGTTAAGATTGGCCAAAAGCAGGGCATACGGAGACCGCGCTTCAACTCTTGCACCTCCAAAAGTTGTAGACAGGGAGAAACTGAAGATGAAGATCCGAATACTTTTCTCCACAAAGCCTGGAACTACCCCATCCCACCAAACCTCTGCAACTCCTTCTGGTACCTGGAAGCCTTCCGCATCCAGCAAATAAAAACCTGGGAAAAACGAGCAGCATCATTTTTACCCATCTTAAATGCCTCCTTCAGAAGTGATCTATCATCTTTGATTGTTTTGATACCAAAACAATGAAAACAAGACAGTAATGTGGCATCAAGAAAATAAACGACCACAATATGGATGTTGAAACCTTGTGAGCTTTGAATTTACTTGATGTAAACAGCCCACCTGTGAAAAGGATGCTCAGGACAAGGGGGCTGGAGAAGGTGATGAGTACAAACAATGGAAGTGGTAACCGTAAAATATATATATATACATCGTAAACTTTGTCCAGAATACTCTGCTTCTGTTGAACCTGAGTGCACCCAACATTCTCCTCCAATTTTAATAGCTTCTCAAGTAAACCTCTACAATACCATGGATCTGAGGCCTCTGTTGTTCGCAGCCTTACATGATAGCTTTGACTTAAGTGCCAGGGATAGAAGATGTAACAGAACAATGCACTTGGACACGTAGAATACTGCTTTTAATGCTGAATCGTTCAACGTCAACGTCAGCGTCTACCAGTGTTAGAAGCACACTAAATTACATTCAACTTGAGTTAATCCACTCCTTTTCTTTCTCTAGAGAGCAGCGTCGCGAAGCTTCTTTCCCTAGTCTAAAGAATAATGAGCAGAAGGGGGATTTATTTTATTTTATTTTATTTTTTAAAAAAGAAAAAAAGAACAGAAATGTTCCCTTCGATCACCTACCTCCACAGATCGAATAGCTGCTTTACCTCGAGGCCCCACATGCGCATTTCCGGAAAATCTCTTCCCTGACCAGACATACAAATCACACTGAAAATCAATAAAAAGTGAGAACAGGCAATTAACACTGTGCTACAACTTCCGAGTCAAGGAGCAAGCAGAAATACTCCGTCGTAAACAGGATTTACACATACCTGATGCAGCCATGGAGGAGGAGCAGGCTAATAACTGCCAGCCTTGATCAAGTCATGCCTTCAAATTACTGCAGGAACTACTCTTCAAACCACCGAACCTAAGACCACTTCGATAAACCTCACACAGAGGCAGTCCACGGCACATAACAAACTGAAACAAGCTCTGTCCGCATCACTGGGGTTCAAAAACGCCTTGAAAACAAAACACTACTCTGTAATCAAATCTCCCTGTCCTTAAATCCATAGAAATAAAAAATAAAAAATAACTGGAAGCTGACGCCGATAATCGAAGGGGGCTGGTTCAGTCACACCAATACCCACTAAAGATATCTGTCACGAAACTCCTGCAAAAAACGCAACCGTAATCCTGAAACGACAAGTGCAAGGAAACAAGACAGGGAAACAAGATCCGCACGCAACAAAGTGCAAAATTGTGAATGCAGAGAGTTCTAATTTGGAGCTCTACCTCGGAAACGAAAGGTCTTGGTGCTCATGTCTCTGCAAATTCCCAGACACTATCTCTCTCTCTCACGTCCTCCATGCCTCCCACGGCCACACGCTCAAAAGCAAAGTGAGCAATGTTATGGCAAGGCCTACCTGCTCCACAGTCCTAAGCTCACTTAAAACTCTGAGCTGCCAGGCTTTTCCAACACACCCACCCACAAATGCACCACAACTAAAGCATCATCCATAAACTAGTTCACTGGAGCTCCACTAACGCCACAAGAAACAGATCAGAAGCGAGGCTCAACTGGGCCCCTCATCGCCATTGCTGTTCCATTGTGAAACACAGCTGCATAATCTTCACTGAAGGGCCCTAAAAACACAGTCTCTCTCTCACTCACTCTCTCTTTTTCTCACACACCGACAGACCCACAGTGTCCTTGAAGGGGCTTCTGAGAGCCTAACTTTCCACATGGAGTTCCTGCATATCGTTTACCACCACCTGCAGACAAAAATGTTGCTGATACCCACGTTTTTTTCATTTTTCTTTTTTTATATTGAATACTGTCTTAAGTTGGGTATGAGTGGGATCCATTTTGTGGCTCCTGTGGTTGGTGTTTCAGCGAGGATGATTGTAGTTTGACGTCGGCAACTCCGTTTTGACATCACTCCTTTGACTACAGCTTTCACTTGCTAGAAGCATGTTCCTATTTCACTTTATTTTATTCTATTTTTTATAGTTCATTCAAATTGGAAGTTGTGCTTTTTCTATCTTGTCTTTTACGTGAAGAGGAAGGGATTGTGTGTGTGTGTGTGTGTGAATGTGCATGAGACAGACAGATAAATATACTGTAATTTAAAAAAATTTGCATTGAATTCAAGTTTTGGGTTTTTTTAAGGATGCTTATAGTGGGCATTGGTGGCTTGGCAACTTGCTTTTGTTAGGTATCATAAAGTAAAATTTGCATCATAATAATGATAACAATATTAAATAATGTTTTAAAATGAGTTCAATGGATTCAAAGATTAGTTTTGGTTGTGTTCTAAGTCTCTCAAATAATAAGTTTAGAGGTTTACAAGGTATCTTCAACACAGGTTTTGTTGTTTTCAAATCATCTATTTATTTTCAGATTCATTTATTTACAACATTTTTCTAAGGAATTGGAACTGAACAAGTAACAGTCTTAAATCTAAGTAAACGTTAATCTTATAAAAAAAACCTTAATAATTTGTAAAAACACTTTTTATCTTTATTTTCTTCTAACTTTAGAAGTTTATAAAAAGGAAAAACATCATCTAAAATACCCCTAAAATTTGCCAAAATATCAAGAATACTCCTATATTCTTGATAGCATCAAATCTACTCTTCCTTTTTGTAATAATTGCAAATCTGCCCTTCAACTGATAAGTTTTGACGTCTTTGCAAAAGCACAACATTTCTTAACATGTGCACATTCAACGCACGGTTCAGAATCAACGATGATGGAGATGCAGAACATGAGAATTCTCATTAAAAGGTAGAGAAGTCACGAGGATTCCGAATCACGTGCGAAATCAAAACCGATACTTCAATCCGTCACTGCAAAAGTGGAACCGAAGATGAGCGAAAACATCAACTAGTGCTTATTATAAGATCATGAAGTTTGTGAAGGAAACAGTTTGAAGAGTACATCTGGCCATTGTAAAAAATAGGAATGTGGGAGTATAGTATTGATGTGTGAAAGTAAAGAATTCATTGCAATTTACAAAATAGCAAAGGTCAATGGCAAATTACCACCAGGTAGAATTAGCCACAACCCTTTCACGTCAATTCTAAAACGTTCTCATGCAATTCTCATTGATACAATTCATAACAACATACAATTGTTCCTGCTCTTGCCCTATAATCTTTCTCAGGAACAGCAAATAAATGGGTCAAAGTGAAAGAGGGATGGATGCTATAATGATACATATAGAAACTGCATTGCTGCACACAAAAGAAGATAGCATATTTCTCTTTACAAACTCGGATCTGAGAATAAGATACATTTCTACAGCGTTGTTCGCACACAAGGTTCACTTGACAAGAAGATAAGTAGATTATTCTCTGCTAGGAATAATAATTACAAGCACATCTAAATCTATAGCCATGACAGAGGAAAGACGGTATCATAAGGATTCATGCTGGAGAGCCTAAGTATTCACCTGAATTTCCTGATTGGAGGCTGGCAGAGCATTTTGCTCAGCAATACCAGAGAGTTCTTTTTCTAATCAGTAGGATTGGGATTCAACTCCCGCTTGCCTCTGCAGCCAGTCCGTCTCATCCACCATCAAATTTCAAGCAGCTCGGTGGACAGGAGCTCTCAACGAAGTCAAGTAAGTAGCATCTAGCTTGTCAAGACCATCGAAAAGGTAACTGAATGGCTTCATATAAACGTAGCGGCCTTTTCCACGGTGTACATTAAGCGTGCCTTTCTCCCACACCACATTTCCTTGGCTGACTGTTACTTCAATGTTCCCCTGAACAGAGTAAAATGTTGCAATCAGTAGTTATCAAAAATACTGGCAATTCGATGGTGTTGGCAAGAACAACCAAGACTTGGTCGAATCCACCCACGTACCTTCATGATCCAGCCTTCATAGACGTTGGTATCTATCCTTGAGTGGTGTGTTTTCGCGGATATAGTAGTAGTTGCATTTGGGTTCAAAATGATAATGTCTGCATCAGAGCCTGGCAGCACCGCTCCTTTCCGCGGATAAATATTGAATATTTTGGCACTAACAAGTTGCACAATCCACACAAAGCACAGAATAAGGACCTCCGTTCCTTAATTCACGAAGGATTGTGTAACTCACAATGCCTATTCTGGACAAAATAGAAACATTCAGAAGTTTCTTTAAGTGGAGACGTTCAGATGTGGATCAGCCAGACCTGTCAGCTCAAAGTGGGACCACCTTGTCATGAATGAAGACTTTTCTGGAAGATCATACTATAGGTGACACCGTTTACTGTTATAAACTCACCATGCAGCGCTAGTAACGCGGACATAGTCCATCGGTGAAATTTTGCCGGAATTCTGCAATCGAAAAGGTTGATCAGAGAAATCCGAGTATTCGAGGAAAAGTAACAATACTCCCAGAAGCCAGACAACAACCGTATCAAATGCATCTATAGATGTATAGACGACTTCAGCAGTTGACTATAATTTTTATTCTTATATTTGCATGACATTAAATATCTGCTGATGTCACTTCATCGTAAGGAATTGTACATGGAAAGGGTGCAGGGAGGTCATTACCACCATGGTATCCCATACAATGTGCATTCGCTCCTCAATCCCTGACATCAGAAGCAGACGTTGTGTTGTCAGATCCACATCTCATCAACTCTTGCAAGTACCCTAACTGTGCTAATGGTAATCATTCAACTGCTATACGCACCAACTGAAAGAATTGCAAGAGAACGAATTCTAAACTCTAACAATAGAAAGTGTCAGCGCATCTACATGTACTCAAATTTGAATGGCCACTAATAATTACCATTAACACCATTAGGAATCACCCGAAAGTCATGCTTTCCAAGCGCCTTCTGAGTTGAATTGAAAGGGGCATGATCTGTAGCCACTAACTGAATTACACGGAGATACGTAAGATTCATGCACTTAATTCTTAAGGAAGTATGTCCACAAAATCAGATATTGAATAAAACAGGTTAGATTGGACGCGTCGAATCATAAAAGGAAAAAAAACAAAGAAACTCAAGGCGAACACCTGAAGGATTCCCGAGGACAAGGCCGCTTGAAGAGCTTCCTTGTGACCAGCAGGTCGAAGAGGGGGGCTCATAATATACCTGTTTGGAACATACGGTCCAACATTAGAATCCATATTCACAATAAATTGTCTAGCTTACTACACACATGGAGCTCTAAATGCTTTAGTAAGTGTCAAAATGCTGCATTATGTAAGGAAGATTGTAGGTCACGCACTGGGCAGCGATCTTAAAATCAGGATCCCAAGTTTTTGAGTCATCCAGCGCTAATCCACTTGCTACTGGCTCTCCTATCACACGTTGCCCTGCAGGAATAATGAAAATAACAATTGAATAGTACATTTTTAATTGATTCCGAAATAAACAACTTGAGCATATATCAATTTTGAAGAAGTCCACTACGTCTGAAGAGACCATTTAGAAAGGGAATATTGAACATGACCTGGTGACTCTTAATTGAACCCCCACACTGATTTACAAGAAGCCAAGACACATACCAGAATGCCGTGCTCGAGAAATCTCATCAAGAGCATCAATGCTCATGACATGAACTACATAGAGGGGTGTGTTGACAAATTTAGCCAATCGGATAGCTCTTCCCGTAGCTTCTCCTTCGAGCTAATACACAATACAACAGAAGTTCCGCAGGACTTATTTGAGACACAGTTTGATAATAATTGAAACAAACACTAAATCTGGATGGCCAAGCTCACACATTACAACCATGGACTATGTGAAACAAATATATAGACATGTTTAGCACGTGTTCCACACCCCTTCTAAGATCAATTCCTGCGCATCCTAAAAAATTCGAAAAGTTTAGCTAGGACTCGAAGGAGAAAGTTTCTAGCATATACCATAGAGGGTCGAGAAAGAGAATGTCCTTCAGGTCCAGTAATACCAAGCTGAATCATTCGATTCTGACCTTCCTCGACTGCATCACCATTCTCAGCATGCACTTGTGGAACGGCTCCAAGTTCCTTACATTTCTTAAAGCCCTGAATAATTTCCTCATCCGAAACCATCAATGAGCCCTTGTAAGCCATGAAGAACTTGAAGGAGTTGATCCCTGTACAGATGACATAATCATGTAAATAGAAGATTCAAGCAAATATAACGGTCTTCACATTCAAACCCCAAGCCTAGCTGAACACAAGCCATGGTTACGAAATGAAGATGATTATCAAGCTTTCAACAGGCTGCTTTTCCATCTGCATCACGAACAAAAATCCTAACAATCAAAGGCTAGAATCGGGTGATACACAGAGATTTAAATGGGTGGTGTACCTTTCTCTTTGACAAGCCAATCCATATCCTTAGCAACATCATCATTCCATTTGGAGATTGCCATATGAAACCCATAATCCATGCACGACTCTTCAGCTTTCTTCATCCAGGCTTGATAACCAGCTGCAAGGTTTCCGTCCACGGGGAGAGCGAAGTCGATATGCATGGTGGTGCCTCCCGCTAGAGCTGCTGCTTGTCCACTGAAGTAGTCATCGCAAGTCTCCTGGCCCATGAATGGCATCGCAAGGTGAGTGTGGGGATCTATACCACCTGGAAGTGAAGAACAACAATCCAGTATCTTAAATCCATCAGTCAAACAATTTCAACTCTGCAGATTCAGGTATGGGATGAATACGCATGTTGATCGTCTATTCACGAAACAATAAAAAAATAAAATTCAGGAGCTGAAACACCTGGATTTACATATAATTTTTTTTTAAAGTAGAAAAACATACCTGGCATGACGAATTTTCCTGTTGCATCGATAACTCGAACACCATCAACCGCCTGAGCAGCCAAAAAGTCAAAATCACTTCCAAAAAATGCTGGAGAATGAATGTATAAAAATCTGTTGTGGCAGAAATCAATTCCCGACAAGCTGTTTCTAAATCTAATTGTTTATTATGTGAATTATCTAGAAACCTTGAGATTAGGCGCCACAAGTTTGATAATGCCATGCTCAATGTACACATCGGCTTGCTGTTGAAAGTCCGCATTGACCACAATGCCTCCCTGTATGAGCAGCTTATTCGTCTGCTGAGAACTACATTCCAAGCCTTGGCTCTCAACTGTACAAATCTGCAATGCAAACAAAATGAGGAACTCTTCATCACAGTGGCTATACGAAAATGGAACGAAACCCTCACGAAAAGTTCGACTAGAACTGGACTTTCAGTGACTCTTCCTCGGTCGTCTTTCTCATTCTCAGTAACAATTGCCAACATTCTGAGGTTCCTAAAATTATAGCAGAGTATTTGCACTTATTACATGACGAACTCAAATCAGAAGCGATAATTGTCAGCACAGCGGCCATGTTTGTGCAAACAGAATTGATACCCCCTAGACTCGAGATCAAACAATGAGCTCTCCCGCTCGGATAACAACTTCGTCGAGGAATTTTCAATCAAATATTCGGCGACAAGTCACAGGGGACAAAGATTCGAGCATCAAAGAGACGTTCAGAGTTTATCTCTCGAAGTACCCACCTCACCTATCCACTACCAAATTACGAACCATGAAATCAGACCAAAATTCTCTAGACTCAAAACCCATCGGCAGTTCCTAAACCTCTTCGCAACACAGGAAAAATCCACGGAACCACTCGACAACTGTCCATTTCCTGACCAAATCGCCAAAATCCACTATTAAAAACATCCCAAAAATCCCACAAACCTAACAAGGTCGAAATCACTGCGTATGTGAGAGAGAGAGAGAGAGAGAGAGAGAGAGTGTGATGAGAGAATCAGTTTCATCACCAATTCATCTCCACCCAGCGAGCACGCGGAAACCACGAGAAAACAAGCCACGATCACGAAAAACAACGGAAACATCAACAATCCGGCGAAGCGCTCCATGATGCGCGGCTCGTTGAGCAGCTGAGAGCGAGAATTGGAAGGAAGAGCACAAGTGCGATCCAAGTTGTAACAACCGCATCGTCTTTTGCACAGCCATTCGGTGCGAATTCGCTGTCCCCTGAGCTTGCGAAATCCGAAGCCGAAATCGCGCATGCACACTGGCCCGACAGCCACGGCCTGTGAATTTATAAATGTTTTGTAGATTTTCTAGTCGGATTCGTACATTGTAACATCTTGATAATATTGCAGATTTTGGATTTTAGATGAGATTCTTCCGTTCAGTGAGTTCATCCAGTGGATGTGGTGGTGGCGACATCGTTGCCCCTCCGAGATGGTTGTGATTAATCCAATTATTTACACATTTTTAATTATAAAAATGCAAGGCAAATCTAATTTGTGGAACAATGAAAAATCTCAGACATATATTTTACTGAAAAATGTGTTTTTATTGGACTTTTTAACAATTCAAAATAAATGATGACAAATAATACTTAAGATTCTTAAAATTTAGATAAGAAGCACTTTCTAAATATTTAGGCTATTATTATTATTATTAAGATTAATATATGATATTCAGGAATTCTTTGTTGTAAATTTTTGAAATAATCCTTGTAGTTGAATTTTTTTGGAATAAAGAGCAATATGTATTAATGTAAGATAAGAAAATTACCATTAAATTTTACTATAAAAAATGTGCAATGAATCATTTAAAAAAAGCTTATAATAAAGATAAAGAAAAATATTGTTTTCAAATCTTAAAGTTTTATTTAATTTTTTTCTCTAATTTCTTAAATAAAAATTAACATAATTATATATATATATATATATATATATATATATATATATATATATATATATATAGTGTGTAAAATATTTAATGGTTTTTTTCAAAGTCAAAAATAATCTAATAAAAAAATATATATTTTAGAAATATCTAGTCTATTACAATTAAAATTTTTTAGAATGTATTTACAAGCCATTATTTGTAATAATATAATATAAGAAACTTCACTCGATTTGTACAAAATATACATTCTTTCATAATATTAAAGGAAAATAATGTACATATTTTTATCTCAGAATAAATCAAAACGTTATTTAAATAAAAAAATTATAATATAAAAACATTATTCATTTAATTCTAAAATTTAATTTAATTATTTTATAATAAAAAACATATAATGTTATATTAAAATCAACCATTTGTAGTTTAAAATATGGTTTTTTATGAGAAGACAACATATTCACATATAACTAAGAAGGAAGAAAGAAAATTAAGGAAAATGTAGATTTATATAGTAAGTCAATAATAAAATGACCATTTTTAAAAACAAAGAACTAATAGGTTATAAACCAAGATTAGTATATAAGACATTAACAAGAGTGAAAATGAACTTTGTCTTGTCTATATATAAAGTAGCTAATAAGAAGACTATGTAGAAGTTTCATAAAGACTAGAGAGATTGAAGGCCATCCATCTAAGTTATATATCATTTTTGTAATGATTTTTTAAAACTTTATGCATAAAATATAACTTATTCATGTACAAAAATTACTAAATAGAAGAAAAAAATCGGTTTTAAAACACTAAAATGTTAAAAAATCATTCAACACAAAATCTTTAGTTTTGAAACAAAAAGTACTAACAACCTATTGCAAAATTAATCTTATAAAATCAGTGTGTTAAAAAAGGTTTAATGTATGATAATTAGATTTTTAATTATGTAAAAATTCATGTTATTCTAAACATGTTATTCTTATCTATATGTGTGTGTGAATATATATATATATATATATATATATATATATATATTTTAAATAAAATATAATTGCAAGATTTAATCTTTGAACCAAAATAATTAAATTAACCAATATAATGGTGCAAATCATTAAAAAATATTTTATAAATTAGATTTTAAACTTTTTATATCAAGCAATTAAATATCTTTATATCATACTCTTCTAATAGGATTTGAAGTTATATTAGTTCCAATTATCTTATGAATTATAAATGTGTTTTTTAAAATGTGTCATTGAATTAGAGAATAGACACAGACAAACTTGAAAAAATTATATTAAGAGATGTTGATTTTATGTTATTTCTAGGACATCAAAGATTCTATATATATATATATATATATATATATATAGCCTTCTTCTTAAGTAAATATACTTGTTGAAAATTAAAATTTTAGGTAAATTATTTTAAGTATGTGTATATACATATATATATACATAAATTTATAGATTGAAAATGTCTACATATATATATATATATATATATATATATATACATAAATTTATAGATTGAAAATGTCTACATATATATATATATATATATATATATATATATATAATTTTCTTCTCAAATTTGATGCATAATAAAGATTAAAGAAAAATACCTTGATAATAAGATGAAAATATATATATTTATTAGTAATTGCAGGTACTAAACAACAATAAATTGTTTCTAAAAAAAATTATTTAGTAACAAACAAAATTATTAATATTACTAAACTTTTAGCAGCCAACTGTAGTAGGTGTCTTGATATAGTAGCCAACTTTATTGGTATTTTTAAAATAGTTTTTAAAAATTTACAACTTTACACATAAATGTATACAAAACTATAAATTAAGAATTAAATTCCAATTAATGCCTTATTAGTTAAACCCGCTTTATGATTCTAAATTCTATTACAGTAAATTTATTTAGAATCAATTTCATTTATAAGATAAGAAATAAAAAAATGTTGTTTAAGATAGATTTTTTTAAAAAAAAAAAAAAAAAAATTATCATATTTTTGTAGTGCGAATATATATATATATATATATATATATATATATATAGTATAACTTATAATGAACACATGCTAACAAAACCAAAAAAAATCTAATTTTTTAAAAAGAGAATCTATCTTTAGATATTTTTGAATTTAAATCTGTTGAAATTTAAAATCTAAGACGTCAAGACAAAAAGAATAACACAATCTCTAACATATATTTTTAATTTTTTGTTTAAAACATTTATCATTATTATAGTTTACATTAGATTAATCTATTTTATAATATATAGATGCAGTCAAAATAAACCATACATGTTATAAAATCCAGGAAAATTTTCATATATACCCCTCAAATATCTTGGAATATCAAAAATACTCTTACATTTTTTATGATAACAAATATACCCCTTTTGGTGAAATACTATTATACATGAAAGGTGCATTTGCTATTTGATATTTCAGGATATTTGTTGGGTATATATGAAATTTCCCTAAAATCTAACACCAAGTTTGTCTTATAACTTTAAACGATTAACTAGTTCCAAGACACAAGTTCCAACAAGTCTTTAAATAAACAAAACATTTCATCTTTGTTCTTTTAGCCATTTGGAGATGCATACCAATCGGATTCAGTTTTCTAAAATATACTAAAGTGAAATGAAAATGAACTTTTAACTTGACCCATTTTTATTAGTAAGTGCATGAAGTACAGACTTTTACACATTGTAATTCATCTGAAATTAAAAAAATAAAATAAAATAAAATAAAATACTATGGTATCACCCTCAATTATCAAATACAAAATCAATTACAAAATACCAAAAAAGAAAAAGAAAAAAAGAAAAAAAAGGGAATTTCATGAAGCATCCAACATAGTAGACAATTCAACCCAGTGAGTGGTTCTAGCGTTGGAAGTGAAATAGTTCGCCTTTCTGTGATAAAGACAAACTATCGGAACGGTGTGAGAAGATCCATGAAAAACATTTGGAAGAGGGTTGAAGGTTTTCGTCCCAACTCCAAACTAGTGTAGCCTTGCGTATCAACAGTTAAAAAGAGTACAGATAACTCTTGTATGATCTCACGAAAGTAGGCAGTGGTGAAAGGCGCAGCAAAGGTTTCTACTTGCTGAGGCATGTACACGACATTTCAGTGAGTAAACTGCATATGCACACCAAGTAAACTACATATCCGCAAAGAGACGTAGCTCGACCAAGGATAGACTGAAAGCATGAACATGCTTGAAAAAATGCAGCAGCATTGCAAAGGTGGAGAAGCAAGGGTTACACATCCAACAAAACAAAGCCAATACTCAGCAGGGCATACACTTGGGTCTAGAAAATCTAGAGAACAAAGAAAAAGAAATTGTGGAAAGAAAAGAAAAATAATTTACAGTAGAGCAAGACACTTGAACCGACTCCCGCAAAACTCTGCTGCAGAAGATGATGAATCAAACTGCAACTGATCAAATGACAGCTTGAAGAAGAGGTCCAACAACGTGCCTAGAATGAGAAACAATGATCCCCAAATAAACTAAATCGTAAGCACTACGCACTAAGTTCACACTGTGCACCAAGCTCGGATCGTGATCATTTATGCACCTCCGTTTCTTGCATCCACTTGTGAAATTGACCCCTCCTCTTCGACTCCACCGTCGCCTTCCGTCTCTTGCCCCCGGGCACAGACCTCCAAAATACGTCTTCCGTGTCCAGCACGTACGACACTTTTGACGTCCGACATGACATCTTTATCTCCAGTCCGTTCAGTATGTTCACATCTTCCCCGTAATCCGCATCCTCTTCAACGCGCATCCGCTTCAAATTCCGTGCACAGAATACCTGCCCGCGCTTGCTTGATGGTACAGACGTCAAAAACCGATCCAAGTACTTTTGGAATGAGCTTTCCAAACTGTTCCCGGGCACCTCCAAATGCTCCATCAGCTGTATCAGCAACTCGCTCGGGTTCGACCTTTGCTCAAAACGGTATATGCTCTCGTCGTGCAGCACCACGCAAGCATCTGCGTAGTACACCGCATCCACAGCTTCCCGCCCGTTCTCATACGCATTCAGAGCCAGAAGCTTATGCATTACGTCGTCCGTCGCTGCAGCTTGCAGTTGTTTCACCAGCTTGAAGATCAGCTTGTCCAGCGTAAACAGTATGTACGATTGCGTGCCAATGATTGCCCTGCACTCATCCTCAAACTTCGAATTGTCCACTGAACCGTCCAGCAACCCGTACAGCACCTGCATGAAACGGGAATACAAGTTCGGAGGGTCGCCACCATCGCCGCTCTTCTTCTTGGATGCCAGCTCTGCATTTACCTTTGCCGACAGCAGCCGCTCGTACAGGGTTTGGTAAAGCCTGCGCGCACAAACTAGCTCCGTTACACACTTCTTTGCCACTAACATCGCACACATTCCACTCCAACCCTCGAAACAAACATCACAACCGCATCCACACAGTCCGCCGCCCCGCCACCACGAACAACAAACAGCAACTCATATGACAATCTCTGCTCCGCCCAACATTCCGTCCAACGAACTCTTTGTGCTAAACACTCCTCCCAAACGAAAAACTACCCCCTTAACAAGGACTCTGCTTATCTGAAATTCACTCGCACTCCGCCAGTACCAAACAATCCACCAAGAATTCCAAGCCCAACCTGAACAGGACGTAAAACGTGTCATTCCCGTAAAATATCCTTCCGTCTTTCTTCAATTGCGACACCCCCGCCAAGCCTGCACCGAACCCAGGGTACGCTGCCAACGGCTTGCAGTGTACGTACGAGTGTTCCGAATCTGCCAGTGACGAGTTCCCATCCCCGTCTCCATCGTCCACATCTGTCATACCCTCCGCCTCCCCTTCGCTCTCAGCCTTCCCTTCCTGTTCCTCCTCCTCTTCCTCCTCCTCATGCTCCGAGTGTTCATCCCCAGACTGCTCACTAGCCGAAACCTCCTCCCCAACTTCCGACGGAGTGTCACTGCCCGAGCTCGACTTCTGGGCGCTTTCTTCCCCTTCGTCATCTGCATCTACACACACGCCAAAACAATATCGTCAACCACAGCCCTATGTTACTCTGCTTTGCTGGCGCAACCACACACCAACCACCACTCGACAATACCAACCTCTGCAAACAACGCTATTACATGCCCAGTCACACAAGGCGATACCATATCAGTCATGGCTTCACAGCCGCCAACATCTTGCGTCCACTGCGCTTCACGTCTCAATTCTTCACGACTTGGTAAAGTATACACATAACATAACCTCCTGCGATGTAATCGCTTCACTCAGCACCCAAACTACAACCTTCCAATTCATCACCCATGCCCGCAAACCACGCTTACCTTGCTCATGCTCCATCTCCCTCAGACCCACGCCCTCTGCATCCTCCTCACCACCGAATAACTTCACAGCACCGTTCTCTTCCCCTCCCCGCCGTGGACTGTACTTTGGCTTCTTTCGCTCTTCCTGCTCCGAACAAGGCGATAGCTCTCCTTCCTCTCTATCTACTGCCTCACCACCCCCGCTGCCATTGCTGTCCATCAACAAACCGCCGCCGTCCGCCACCGATCTGCTACCCCTATTCTCGCCAAGCCCAGCATTTGCCCGCACTCCCACTTCGCCTCGCCCCGCTGCCCCGCCGCTCTGCTTAGCCCCGTTGCCTCCACCGTGTAACCACCCCGACCCTTCCGTCCGAGCAGCCGTGCCCTCCCCACCTTCCACTGCCACACCTTCTCTTGCCCCGTCACTGCCACGATCGTCCGCTTCTACTCGTGCATTCTCCACAACAGAATTACCTCCCACATTTCGCTCCCCACCACTCGCTGCTCCGTTCGTTGTGCCTGCCATCACCCGACCCTCGGACCCCTCCACGCCCACCACCTCCGCACCTCTGCTCGTGGTGCCTTCCCTCTCCGAACTCATGCCTCCATCCTCGGGGCTGCTCCTCCCATTCCCTTCGCTGCCAGCACTCTCTCCACCAATCCCGTCCCCGCCTTCGCTCTCCAAGGCCTTCTCCTTCACCCCCTCCTCCACGTCCTCCACCCGCTGCGAACGCGACGATACGCCCAGTACTGGCTCCACGAACATCTTCCACATCCGCATCGTCTTCTCAGTGTGGTCCGGCAAGCTACTAATCTCCTCCGACGAGTACTTAATGATTTGGTACATGTCGTCGTGGATCGACGGGTCGCTGAACTCGTAACGCAGATCCGGCAGCAAAGGTTTCCGATTGCCGGCTATCATTGCCAGCATCGTGTCGTCTTCCCTCCTCCTCTTCTCGCTCACCTCCTTTATCTCTGCCAGCAGCCCCTTCGTGCTCAGGGCCTTCTTGTCCTGTGACCTGAAGTAGAAGCTTCGGTGATCCAGGGCCTTGTAGCAGTTCTTCGCGTACACCTCCGACCACACCTTGTTCATCTCTTCCCGGCATCGAGTCCACTCCTCCTCCTTCTGCACCAGACGCGAGTGTATCACGGGCATCGCTCGGCTCGTGTTCTTCCGAACAGCTTCCAGCATGTCCAGCCCATGGTCCCCGTATATCCGCTCGATGCACCTCAAATTAATCGCTGACAAAAACTCGTCCACCGGAGGCAATGCCTCCGCTTTCCCGTTTTGCTCCTCTTGCTTCGTAATGTAGTCTCCCACCAGCTTCGCCGTTACTGCGGTCCCCTCCAACAGCATGTCCAATTCGAACCGATCGTCCTCGCACCGGAACAAGCTCTCCTCATACTGGTTCTTCCGCATGTGTTTGAACGAGTAGTCCTCGCTCCCCGACGTCACCGACACCCAGCTATCGTTCAGCACCGAGTTCCCCAGTGCCGTGCGATGGTTCGACACCGGCCGAGGATAATGCTTCGGCAGCAGCCGGTAGCTCGGAGTGCACCGATCGCAGTTCGACAGGTCCAGCTCCGAGATCGGCTTGTTGATGTATTTATCCTTGTTTGACACCACCTTGTGACCCCCCTCCTTCGCTGCCTGCGATGGCTTCACATCTCGATCCCTCTCCTTGGTGTCCCGCTGCCTCTCCCGCTCCTTCTCCTTCTCCCGGTTCCTCTCCCGATCGCCATCCCTCTCCGTCTTCACGTCCTTCACAGGTGCCCCCTCCGCAATTTCTCCCAGCTTGCGCCCGCTGAACACTCCTGCCAGGTAACCCTCTACATTCTCGCAATGCGTCAGGAACTCAGTGAATCCCTCCATCAGATCCGCATGCTTCCCCAGAATGTCGCCCACCAGGCTCTGCAGCTCGTCGCGGCTGATGATTTCCTGACTGAAGATGTTCAGGCATTTTAGAAATTCCTGGTATGTGTCCCGACTACGCAATCGGGCCTTCACCTTGTCGAAAAATGGGTACTGCACGCCGATCACGCCCTTGACCGATTTCTTGTCATCCGTCGAAGCTTGGGGGACAGGCCCAGAAAAGCCCTCACCTACCTCGCCGGCCTGAGACTGCCTCCTGATGGCATCACTTGCTGTACGAGCAGACGCTCTCTTCGCGGGCTTCTGTTCCACGAATTCCTTCTCCTTGTCCCGACTTCCTTCCTCCCTATCGACCCTATCCTTCCGGTCCCTGTCCTCACAATTCAGGAACCAAATCAGAAAAAAAAACTGGAAATGGCCATGCAGTTCTTCGACATGCTGCGAGACAACGACGAGGTTTAACCATACTAGGTGGGATGTGTGATCGCAACGTACCATGTTTCCTTCCGTTCTGCTTTGTCCCCTACTTTCCGAGGTCTTTCAGGACGACGTTCAGGTTCGCGTTCTCGACTTCGCTCGCCAGGCACACTGGAAGACTTTTCCTTCTTCAAGATTACGAGCCTGTCATTCGATGGTTTTGCGCTTGATGCAAACCCTTTCTCATCTCGTTGGCGGGCATTATGCTGCATGGGTTTAACATTGGAATGACCGTTTGCCATCGACGGACCACTCGTCCCAGGCAGGAAGTATGTAAACTCTTCCAGCAGATCAGGATGGTTGGCGAAAAGTCTAGCCACCTCTTGATACACCTCATTAATGGACTTGTTACCTTTCCGGTAATAGTTTAGAATTTCCAAAAACTGCTTATAAACACTCTCATTCGCTGCAAACCGAGCTTTAATCTTGTTCACATAATTGATCGCCTGATCAAACTCCACCGCAGGTTTCTCCTCCTCCGGCAGCGTGATCTCATATCCTTTGGGAAGAAAAGTGTTGAAACCGAGAATTAGTTGCGGATGCCCCTTGAACAGCTGCTTCACGCGGCTGATCACGCCTGCAGTATCTACCTTTTGCACTTTGAAGTCTTTCATTACCTCCAAAAACTCGTCATACTTAGCCTTGTCATCCTTGAATTTCTCCTTCACGGCTTTCAAGTACGCAAGCGCATCATCAGTTGTGAGTCGCTGTCCATTAGCCGCCAGATTATTGTTTGTGACGGCTTCAGAAGCCTCGCCTACCTGAGGTCCCGCGGTTCGTTTCCCTTGCGGAAGACCATTTTCATCGTCCCCTCTCTCTCGTTTCTTCATGTTTCCAAGGCTACGCTCAACCCTCTTTTACAACAATAGAAAACTTTAAAAACGAACAACCTCACACCCTAACGCCGAATAACCCATCTCCTACGGCTAATACACCAAGATCAATGAACCGCCTTGAATCAAACCTCCACCATCTGCAACCATTATCAAACAAATAATCAAAACACAAAAACAGGAAAAAAAAAAAAAAAAAAAAAAAAAAAAAAGGGGGGGGGGGAGAGAAAAAGGAAGAAAAACGAAAACGGCGCTCGACAATCGTGGGTATTCTTTCCCTACTCGCAAATGACCCGGTGCTTTCAAATCACAGTGTCTTTCAGGCAGTCCAGGCAACGCTCCAACCAGGTTGCAACCACAGAGAACTAGAAAAAGCAGAGCTAAAACTGCCAATCCTCTCCAACCGCAGCGCCAAGCACCACTTGTCCTGTCATTCCATCCAACCACTTCAGAAAAACCGCCTTAATTCTCCCGACAAACACATAATCAAAACCGAAACACAAACCTCTCAGGCACCTCTCTCCCTACCTTCTCCACAGCTCCAAAACTTCCAGAGCTCCCTCCTTACAACCCCTAACAAACAAAAACATACAAAAAAAGAAAAAAGAAAAAGAAACAGACAAGTAAACAGACAAGACAAAATAAAACAATACAACGAGGAGCCATTCCACAAAAATTCTCCTTCGCACACTGCAATAGAAACGAACACCACCACCACCAGCGAAACACCTCACTACATGCAGAGAACTCCACTTACCTCTCACATCCACTCCCGCAATCCAATGGGAACGTCGATGCACTACCTCCCGATGAGCACTCAGCAACACAATTCTCTCGCAACCGCACCGGTTCGCGTGGCGAGTGGGAAATAAACCTCAGCGTCTGAGCGATTCTAACGATTCCTACAGTGAGTCAGCCGCATCGTGGTAGGGTTTACAGAGAAGGGGGGAGGGAGGGAGCGATCCAGCATGGAGAACAACAAGAGGTGCGGAGACCATGGGGCGTAACGCACATAGTGAAGAGAGCAACAAACAGACCAGAAGCGCACAAGGGGGAGTTTATAGGAAGAAGAACGCCTGGCTCCTCCGCAGACACACAGCCTTCCCTTTCCTTCCTCCCTTCCTTCCTGCCTTGCCTGCCACTGTCTCGTGCGTACGAAGTTAATCTCTGCTGCTGCTGCGTTCAACAATCTCGCAAGGCTGGCCCACCGTCATTCAGAATGAAAATTATATTTGTGGGCATCCCCATCCGGATCACAGCCCGAGAGACGATTTCTCCGAACTCCCAGGCACGGACTCTTTTTTGCCTCCCTTTTCGACCATCCCCGGCCAAATATATATCTCTTTTTTATTGTGTATGACGTTTCTCCTTCTCGATGCTTTTTGTATGCGGCAACTGTAACAATAGAACCAGTTAGATTGTTTTGGCAGATACCCAATCGCTAGTCTAGTAACACAAATTGCTTTTCTTCGCAAATGAGATTCGATGTGGTGGTTCATACGATGAATAGCTTATGTTTATTGATGTTGTAACTTACATTTTAATGTTATTATTATTTTTTAATGTTATAAAGGGATGAAGGATATCTCAACTGTAAATGTCGGATACGTGAACTCCACCTCTGCAAATAGTTTACCGATGGTCTGTATTCAGTAATTTGAAGGAATGCAGTGCACAAGTTTTGACATTGAAGCATTGGCTCAATTGGAGGAAATTTACGTGTGGATCAATAATTGAAATTGGAAAAAAAGACGGATGCACGTTGTCCATGTCTCAGTAAAGACATCCTTTGCCATGCTCTGCCATGTGCTCCCGTGGAGCACCGTAGAGCAAGATAGATAGATCCCAATCGGGTGCAATCTCATATGACCTCAAGGATACACTCGTTACGTTAGCTTCCCTGTAGCTCTAGCACCCAATTCGATTGATGCCTGCATTCGAAGTTTACAAAGTGCGTCGGTTCTGTGACCCTGCTGATGTTAGAAATGTCGCGAGTCTAACACTTCCTGCGTTGCCAGTTACTGTGACCTAAGGGAATGCATGAGAGTCTTGAATCAAGGTGAATGTGATGGACATTGAAGTCAGCCCCATACAACAAGATTGGAATAAGTCCAAAGCCTTCTTATTTTAATCACCGCTTTTGGCTGCACTGTAAAATGAAAACCAACGAATGTCATGGTCTTGAAAGTAACGCAGATTCGCAAGAACCAACGGTATAGGTGCCGAATGCACATTGTTTAGATAATCACAAGAGTCTGGCTAAGATATAGGTCAAAGAAAGGTGAAGTCATGGCAAATTACCAGTTAAAAAGCGAGCATCGCAACAAATAGTCCTCACGATCATCCCTGCTACATCATGTCAGATGTCAAGGATGTACACATCTATATGCCAAATTGATAAATCACACACGCAACCAGTGGAGCAGGATGTACATGTTAATAGAGAGTCCATTGCTCATGGATCAGTTTATGAATCCACAATATCAATATAACCTATGGTGCAGAGTAACTAAGGCACCCAAAATCTTCGCCGTTCAACACCAGTGGCGGAATTGAACGTGTTAAAAATGAGGCTTATACCTTAGTTACAAACTGTAACACATCCAACGCTCAGATATTCGAGCACTACAAGATGCAATTTGAAAGACTGAAGCTGTAAAACAAACCTAACGAGGGTGAGGTGGAGAGGACGATGAGCCGCAATGCTGTGCTTGTGAAGCAGTCCTGAATGGATACATATACATAAGCAGTCTCTCGATCCGAACATCAACCTTGCCATGATATGCAACGCGAAGTGACAGAGTCACCTCTTTCTTGCACTTAAGGCTGTAAACATCGTCTTCTATCTTATAGCCACGCAACACGAACTTCATGAGCTAAACACGGCTATAAACTGATCACCACTATTGTAGATCAACCTCACGACCTCCTGAATTGCTAAAAAAAAATCTACACGAGTGAATTGGCAATGGGAACCGGTTTGTAACAACGCTGAGGAAATGATAAAAGAGAACAAACGCATCCTATCACAAATGAAAGCTCTGAACCACCTACACCTCACGGATTCGTTACGTAATACAAAATCGCGAGTTTACTCGTGTTTGCAATAATTTAGCCACTAGTAGCCGTTGCTCCAAAGCATGATGCTGGTGACGACCTTGTGTGAGGATAAGTGCACTGAAAACCAACAGTCTAGACAAATCGAAAACATCATTGATACCAACACACAAGTTGTAATTTGTGGAGTAAGAACCAAAAGGAAATAAAATCATATCCAAAATACCTTGAATGCTCTTGGAAGCGGAGAAAGCATCGGAGATTGCGGAACTCGAAGATTGTATTATTTTCGCGAGAGACAGACACTATGATCTGTGGTGTGCAAGCAACAAAACTGCTGTAAAGAAAAGTGGACAAAGCTGGCAGGCTTCTGAGTGTAATTTGCTCGTGCGCTTACGAGAAGGCAATCTGGTATTATGAAACAAATTTTAGCTTACATTTCCATGTCGCCCTGCTCGGGCAAAAGGGTTGTAACCTAAACTTTCAAGCTCCAGTTCTACGTCAATGCTCGAAAAGTCAGAACGAGCATGAGAGATAAAAATGTCTCACAATACTAAAAACTTCAAGCACCAGCAACTTTAACTCCGATAACCCCGAATCGACGAGAACGACTAGGGGTCACGGAATCTTCTTCCATCGATTGTTCCTGACAAGAATTTCAAACCAAGTGTACACCAAACCAGAATCAAACCAAGACAAGAGACAGACGGTCAACGAAGCTTGCATTAAAGATATCTCCATGAACGTTGATAGAAACTTCTAAGAAAATGATCTGAAAGAGTTATGAATAAGAGAAAAAGGAAACGAGTTTATCGAAAGACACAGAGGTTCCGAGTGTACCTATTTCCCGGAGGAAAGCAAGTAAATCTCCTGTTTTAGCCTGCTGCACATATTCTCCTGACTTGCATGAGCTCCTGTGGCCAGCCTGTAGGTACAACCAATGACAAGAATAAGAACAGTGGCATGCCATTGCCCAATCCAGACCGAAGCAAACAGAGTCAATGTACAATTTAGTTCCCAAACGTGACATTGGTTGCATGCACGACTGTAAAGCAAATCCTATACATTCAGTTCCTCGATAACACGATCGAGAGTGATCAGTGCACAATCGACGTTCGCACTACCTCCTGGCCCCGGGAAACTAAAAATCCCGAAAAAACAAAATGACTCGAGTCTCCCTACAGTGTGGCAGTCAATACATGCAGCGCCGATTGTCAAGGACAAAACAAGAGGTGAAACATCGCGCATGCTTACACAAAATCCTTGAGGACGGAATTGAAAGGGGTAATCAGATCACGCTAGATGAAACAAAAAAAAAATGTTCACTTTCCACGTCGCCGGTGAAGCTTCAACAGCGCACCGTCACCTCCTCTTCCTCCTCGGCAACCTCGGTACTCAGTTTCCGGGACCGCCTTCGACGCAAATAAAGGAATATAGAATAATAAGTTTGGAATAAGTTTGACGATGGTACTGTGAGTGATGGATGGAATGGTTACGTGAAAGGCGTGATCAGAATCAACGCAGCAGCAGCACGGTGAATCTCTCTCTCTCTAATGTAGTCAGTGTTAAGCCCTAATTTACTCTACTTTTACTTTTGCTTTTGCTTTGCTACACAAGTGATGGAAGCTCCCTTTCCTTGCGGGGCTCCTTCCTTCGCACTCCGATTCATTCATCTATCCATTGATATATTCATTCATTCATTCAACCCCGTTCCTGAAGGCTCTCCGATTGTGTTGTCATGGCTCTTATTTCGTGTTCACACCGCAACAAATTCAAATTTTTTGTTCTTCTTTAGTCGCATGTTCACACAGCAGCTCGTTCCTGCTCAATTGTCTTAGCTTTGATCGTGTGTTCACACCGCAGCCCGTTCCTGCTCTTTCGTCTCTCGCTTGTATCCATTAAAAAAGGCCCCCTTCAAATTTGAATATAATTAATTATATATATATATATATATATATATAATAAAAATCTTGAGAAATTATTATGAATTGATCAAGTTCCAAATTTTTTACAAACTACAGATTGTAACTAAGGTACGGTTTTTTTTTTAAATAAAAACAAAAATATTTTAGATTTTATTTATTATAATTGAATAATTTAAAATATATTTTTATATTATAAATGAATTAAAAAGATATGGTAAAACTATTTTTTATAAAATCTTTGGTTTTTTAAAGAATCAATTTTGAATTTTTTTTTATATCAACATTAATTGTAATGTGTTCATTATTACATTGTACAACTTCATGATTTAAATAACAGTTTTTGAATTAATTAGTTAATAAGTTATACTAACCATAAATGAATAATATTTGAGAAACAAGTTGGAGAAAAAACTAAAGACAGCTTCGATGATGTATTACAATGCAGTTGCATATTTATTTTAATACTAATGTCTTAAAAAATCATGATATGCTATTAAAACAAAAAGAAGATACTTTAAAAAAATAATGGGTATTTTAAATTTAAATATTAGAAGATATTTATATTATATTGAGACAGTTAAAGTGAACTTTAATAGTATTCAAACCTTCTATATATATGTTTTAATGAAATCATTAAAATTTGAATAAATTCTTATCTGCATATATATCAATAGCACTCTTTTTGTTGTGGGTGGTTTAATATAGGTAACATCTTTTTGTATCAGGTTTATTTACTAAATTGATACTCTTGTTGTTTTGAGGCTAATCTGGTGAAAAAAAATTAATTTTTAAAAAATAAAAAAATCAATATGTCTTTACAAGCTTTGTAATGATTAAAATTGTGAACTAACACAAGATTCTGAAAGTTCTAAAAACCTGAGCATCATTCTTTCAATAGAATCACGTTCTTAGCAATTGGAATCTTATAGGAACAATATTTATACTTTTTGTGGAAGACTATATATTATTAAATGACTTACTTACTCGCTCTTTCTAAAAACACGTTTCCTCTATGAATAGAACTTGTGTCAATTATTTGATTAGTCATTATTATCTTTTAATCTCTATGAATTGAATGCTTTAATTATAAATAAATAAAAAATAAAAAAATAAAAAACAACAACATCTGAATACAAGAAGATGAACAAAACAAGAAATCCTGAGAGACATTTAGGTGTTATAATCTACTAAATTTGGCATTGCAAGGTGGTAAAGAACTTGGGTGACTTCAAACAAATATGATTCAAGAATGTTAGAAAAATCGATTAACATAAACTTAACATCACTGCTGAAAAATATGTTACTTCATGGATGTAACCACATTTACCCTGAACTGCAGAAAACACCACAAAGATTCCAACCAAGTGTTTCTTTTTTCTTTGTACTTTCTTCTCAATGAAAAAAACGCTCACATTAATGCAGTGATGTATGGAAATTTCAGTAGCGTATTATCATTAAAAAATAGGAAACTCTTGATCAAAAGTCAAAACAATATTTTCAGGATTTTACTAAACAAAGTAAATAACCGAGTGACAGTGACTTCCAATCACCATACACACACTTACATGCGGCTGCTACACCTGCTTTTAAATCATCCGCAGAGAGTTCTTGATCACATGAAAAAAAGACGTTTTTCTTATTATGGTATTATCTATGTCTAAAACCAAACAGAGTAGTTTTAATTCTTATAAAGAGCAAAAAATCGAAAAAGGGGTGCATCAAGAGGTCTTAAAACTACTACTGAGATGATTAGAATTAATCATACTCTGGAACAGGGCCTTTCCATTTGAAGTTGTCTGCATATGCCTTTGGCTGCAAAAAACGCAACACGACCTTAATTGGCTCCATGTTTGAAATTGTTTCAAGTTGATAATGCAGATGGCGAAGGATGAATTCATGGCATGAAATGCATCTATAATAGTCAACAAAAATGGTAAGCCCAAACACAAAACTTCTACTCACAGTAGTAACAAGACTCAGTTACAAACCTTAAGTATAGCCTGGTGAGGCTCCCGAACCTGCAGCATAAGCGACAAAATATGTAATCAAATCAGACCTCAAAGAATTCTCTTCTGAAATCTTACAATTCTAGACTCGAAATACAATTACTTGCATTGTTATTTACATTGACAACATTGAACGACCTCAGGAGTAGTAGACAAACAAGTAAAAACAACAGGGTTTAGTTCGAGCTTGCAACATGAAAAATACGTGAAAATGCATAATAAACCACCTTTCACGTAGGTCATCTACTGATAGGTCCTGACTGAAGAGGAAATTACTTCAGCAATGGAATCTCCAAGGATATTGAACTCCCAACACAAGAAACGCTCCTGCTTATAACTCAGTTCTAAATTCAGTTCATGTATGACCTTTTTTGGATTATGGAGGGATGGCAAAAGTAGGTTGTCGGTAGCTAACCGTGTATTGCCAGCCATACTTCTCGGCAAAATCTACTGCGCTTTCCTTGGTATCGAAATTAAGAGATGCCTCACCAACACTTTGGTAAGGATCTCCTGTTGATGTCCAGCCCATCAAAGGATTCTCCCATCTAGTTGCACGAAGAGAAATCAGGAAATGTGTCAGTCTACTACCCATCGGCATAGTTTTAAAACACTAAAAGCCAGAGCGACGATTTCTTCTACAGTGTTGGAAGAACAGCGTCTGCCCTGACTGAAGAAATGAGACATGATGAGCTTACTTGTTAACAGATTCGAAGCTGATTTTCCATTTGTCCGTTGCCGGCCCTGATTGCGTAGTACAACGGGAAGGAGAATAAATTACCACCTGCAATCCTTCAAGAAAGCCATCTGAACTCACTAAACCGAAATGGTACAAACTCGCTTCAAGTTAACACATGATTATGGCAGAAACCGAACTAGCGCATAATCTTAAAGGAATCCATTCAAGTAGGTAGCGGAAAAAAAACAACAACAACTTTCACATTAGGGTTTTGCACTACGTGATTAACAAGAGCAGAATCTTTGATCCATAATCTGGAATTTTTTCTAGATAAAATTACGGGAGGTGAAAAATTCCTCTGAGAACGGGAGCCCGAAGCATGCACAATCAGCTCACCTTGCGCTTAAGTTGATCTGCAGGAATGCCAGAGACTTCGCCAATCTCACCATGGGTCGAAGCCGGCTTAGCGATTTCTTGAACACCGCTCAATTGGGCAGGACCACCTGAGGATGAGCAAAAGCTCCGAGAGCGAAGTGCAGAGGGAAGCAACCTGCGAACCGCCATAGCGAAGTCCTATTGCAACCGTATTCAGCGCGAATCACAAAAGAGTCCGTAAAACAAACTCTCGTGAAACGTCGACAGTACACAGTGTGATTGTCTCACTTTTGACATTTTTAGAAATAAGCTGACCTCGAGAATTGATACCCAGATGAAACAAGGGTATCATTCGTCTGCAAGGCTGGAAAAAAAAGTCGAGTGAAATAGTATCCGAATGACCGGATTTCGACAGCAGGAGATTGATGGCGAACGTATAATCATCACCACATTTAGTTGGGCTATGCCACCGTAGCAATGAGCTCCGTAAGGACCAGTAGGCCATCAATTCATGGTATAGAATACTGAAGTTCTATCCATGTCACTTTCTAGACTCTACTGCTCAGCTGCCAATGTACCATGAATGTTGGGAAATGCCGTTCTGTAGATCCCCTGAATTTGTACAGACATTGTAGGAAAGCCTTTTTTTCAAGGTTTGTTAGACTTAACCTGCTGCGGGTAGAAGCCACAAAATAACTGACAGTGATGCGGACGTTGCACAGCCTCTACAGGTCAAGATTCGTTGACATTACAAACGCATAGCTCCGAGGATTATGACAGCCGGGGTGAAAATTAACTGTTATATGGTGTGTGAGCTGGGTTCTTGCTGGCTTGTCCATGTGAATGATGTACCACGATGTCCAGCATTGTAGTTGGAGCGGCTTCATGTCTCGCACATCCATTTATAATTAGTTTGAATTCTCAATATGCATGAATGGTATTGGAAATGAGCAACCGCCCGACGTTATGCCTCCGGCATGGATCCGACTCGCTGCAAGTCTCTGTCGAATTCTAGACTAAATTCGAATCCCTTGTCATAGAGCTTGATTCATGTTTGCTATCTGGGTCGGCACTCAATTGTTTAGAGCTGCGAAGGGGCCATGCATGACTCCACAGCGAGTTCATTCCTTGCTCCAGAAGATGAGTCCCCTTACTGGTCTTCAAGTGATGAAGTTGAACATGCATTATCAAATGTTTTATCCTCTCATGCGGAAAACAACACTCTCCAATTTGCTGATGGGCGTCACTCGAACAGTGAGATGCTAACGGGACTACCAGATAGTTATGGTTTGAAAGAATACACGTTTGATCTCAATCTATTCGGGAGTGGAAGAGGGGCTATGGGAGTGAAATTGAGTGAAGCACGAATGGCAGCAAGACGGGCCGACGAAGCAGGTTTGCATGGTTTAAGATTTTGTCTTTTTACTTCTGGTTCTAGGTCAAACTGCTGTTGTAATGGAGGAACATTCTCTGTAGCTTATTCTTAAACCGGAATTCGGGGCCCTTTTTTATCACAAAGAGACACCCCAACAAAAATTCTCACAACTGATCTTTTAATTGTGTAGAAGGTTAATGTTCAATGCTTGCAGGACACCGGGTTGACGCAATCAGAAATTCGAAGCACGCAATTAGCATCGACAACCATCAGGACGCTGGTGAGTTTTCGAATTGCTCGGTTTACAATATTGAACTTCCGAGCAAATTAATGGTCGTGATCGTGAAGTCTCGCTCGTTCCTCGCTTGATGATTCCTAAACAGGATATCCACCCTAATTCTCTTATTTCAGCCCTTGGGTTTACTTTCCAGCTCATTGATTTTCCGTTGCCCTCCCCAAATCCGTTGAAAAGTTTCTTATGTACCTTCCGTCAATTCCCAAACTTTTGACATATGTGTGTAATTGAGATATCTAGCATCCAGGAGGCAGCAAGCAGCACAATGGTTGCAGACCATGGTTGGTAACACATCTCTCCCTGCTGCGGTTACTGTAGAAGACCTAAGGGTGTACTTGCAAAATGGTCACATTCTTTGTGAGGTCATCAACATTGTTCAACCTGGCTCAGTGCCAAAGGTAGGAACACATGGATTGAAATCTATTATGTTATCCTTTTGTGATCATGAACTGCCGCGTTGCGGGTTCTTTGTGGACTGTTAATGCATTCAATTAACGTGCTTTCGAAGTGGATTCGAAACATAAACGTAGTGTTCCAGAGAATATTATTGTTCGTTACTCAATCTACCATGATCCAGTCTACATATATTCTTTATCGAGAGATAAAATTAGGGGTGACAAGAGGGTCCATTAGTATTTGCCCTAAGAACAATCTTTGCCTGTAACGCAGGTATCTTCTGCGCCTCTTCGGGCCCTTTCTGGTTCTGCACATAAGGTTTAGCGAATTTACCGAAGGTCTGGACTGGACTTCGTGAGTCGTTTCCTAATTGCGGACGGTTTCCTACATGCGTAGCGGTGAAATATAAAGCCTGTCCTACAAGTCGAAATGTTTTGCCATTTTTTCTTTAACTCGCATTCCATTTTCATGAGCTGGATAGATCGCCGTATCGACGTAGCATTTTTATTTTTATTTTTATTTTTATTTTGTGTTTTCTCATTTTGCATTGGCTGTTCATGTTTTGTGTGGAGAAGTAAAAGACGAATAGAAGTTTCTGCTACTAATTTTGGAACAATACACTGTCGATTATGTGATCCATTCAGTCTGAAGATCCAGCAAATCCAACACAGATTGATGGACTCGCTCTACCCAATTACTTGTATTATGATAACGTCAGAAACTTTTTAATGGCGATCGAGGATATGGGATTGCCTGTATTTGAAGCATCTGATTTAGAAAAGGTATGAAGTGACAAAACTCTTGTTAAGTTAGAAATGGCCAGAGCAGCTCAGAAATGTAAAGCCGGTTAGCTTCTTCTTAGTCTTAGATTGAGTTTTGCATGAATACATGTAAATCTGTATGTGAAGTTGTGATACTCCCAGAGAAGCTCTGTCAAACACATTGAAGTGCTGCTATCTCTACCGAAATGACACATCAAGTCGCCTTTCTGCACTTTCGTGCACTTCCTTTTGCAAATACTATCCTGGTATAGTTTTCAATGTCATGAGCATGGGATCGAGAAGTGCTGCTATATAGAAACTGAAGCTTGTTCCTCCCCACTGGACTCATAACTGTGAATGCAATGGCAGGGTCCCATGTCCTCAAATGCATCTGCCAAGCTGGTTGACTGTATACTGGGACTAAAATCATTTCATGATTGGAAGCAAGGTGGCGCGCTTGGATTTTGGAGGTTAAAATCCCCTGCCGATTCAATAAAATCGTGTGCTACGTTATCTGCAACATACTCGAATCATTCTAAGAATGCTAACATTTGTTCAAAAAACTCGCGAAGAAAATGGATTTTTACTGATCAGGATTCCCTAGATGGCACATCGTTGTCCTCTTCACCAGACCAATCAATTAATCATCCTACTTTTGTCAAACAAAATGGAACTCCACTTGATATTATGCGCGCTGGTCATTCTGGTCGGAATTATTTTGACGGAAAGAATGAGGAGAGGGCTTTAAATCCGGATGCTTCAGGTATACACAATGGAACAATTGAGCAATTTGAATGTAATATTCAAGTAATGTAGTTTTTGATGTAATAATATAGTCTGAGACTGAAATCAACTATGAAGTGATGATTATTCTAGTAACTTCGCAAAATCAGCTACTTCTTCGCTTTCGGGATGCGGGTGATTGTAGTGGTTTCAAATCAGCATTCAATATCCTGTAACTTTTCAAATTGTGTTACACATGCTAATCAGCATTGCATATCCCTCTCCTGCGATACCGCAATGAGCACATGCACTAGTGAAACCATCCGTTTACATTCATCTAAAAGAACTGGTGTTATGTCAAGGTTTGATGTGAGCCTTGTAATATATTAGGAAGCTGATTTGACTTTGAGGTATGACAGCATTTCCCACAATGGTTGATGTCATCGTGCAGTCTCTACTACAACTTGGCTTAAAGACATTCGACATAAATTCAGCGAGGTTCTTCAAATGAAAGCGAAACAAATCGAGGAGACGGTTACGGCTATTCCCATCGCCACAGAAACTTTTGGAGGAGCAACTCTGTCATGTGATGTACGTGATCATAGGACAGTATCAACACATTACTTCGGGTCATGTTTACTTCGAAATTATTTGACATACTTCTTGCTTGCTGCCTAAGCCATATAGGGTTCCTGTGGGAAAACTGGACACCCATAATCGGATTCACACCCCTAAGTCACTAAAATCATTTGACATCCATTCTTGTAAAAACTTTTGTTTGTGTTTGTGTGTGTGCAGCATAATGCCCCTTCTCAATCACTCCTGAGTCTTATAACTGCTATTGTAGGTGACAAACCAGCTGAAGAGGTGCCCATGGTACGTTTATCCTGACGTTCAGTCCCAATTAACTTGGAGATGTTTCTTGCTTGCCGTGTGAAGTATGTTTAGTATCAGTTATTCACGGTGTGGTAGTTGGCGATTGTTGACAACTTAAAAGGTGGTCAGGCTAGTTTTCTTTCTCCTACTTCTCTTAGTGTAGGCAACTCAAGTTTTGGTCACGTTCGCTTCATGTGCGACACCGCACACGCACATATCAATTTGATTCTTAGTGTCCTGTTTGCAATTTTAGCTTGTGGAGTTAATGCTGCGGAAGATCATGGAGGAATTCGAGCATCATCTTCTCACTCAAAGAAATCAAGTCACGAAGGCAATAAATTCATCATTGTTCATGTCCAAAACATACAGCGGACTTGCGTATTTACCCCATTGCTTGTGACGTCAAAGCTGGAAATGAATTAGCCAGATTGGATTTTCTTGTAATACAAGGTAATTCATGTGGTAGCATCTAAATGTCGTGTTATTCTTGCAGATGAAATGTACCCTGAAGGATATGATGGTACGAGAAGAGAAACATGTGCCGCAGAGCGTGGTTTCAGAAGCATTAGCTGCTGGCACACAAGAAGAGAATAAAGTAATTTGACTAACCACGATGCGGATCTAAATTGTTGTGCAACCTTAGAAGGTATACCAATGCCTGTAAGAAGACACCTCGTTCGTATAGCAACGTCAAGTTTGTTCCAAAATATTTCTGTTGGAGATTTGTGTCAATTGACTGCTCTTCATGTGAGAAGTCAATTTACAAAAGAAATATGGCTGTTCCTGTTATTCTGAAGGTGGAGAAAAGTACCGTAGACGAGGAGGAGATAAACAATCAAAAGTGCGCAGCCGTGCAAGATTCCAAACATCTTTTGGACAATAATAAGCATCCGAATGACGACGGTTTCATCCATCCCGAGAAAGAGAAGGAAGAAATTATGTTGAACTATAAAGTGAAAGTACTGACGCTAAAATCACAGCTTACGGAGGCTAGTAAGGCAATGCAAGAGATGGACGATGCAACGAGCAGGATGAAAACCGCAATAAGAGAAAAGGATGCCAAGTGGGGAAAGATTCTTACCAAGATAGTGAAAGAATTCAAGGTATTCTGAGGAATCTTGATTTTACCTGAGAATTAATCTGCATCGAATCTGTTCCATACTCTGACAAAAGCTTTGAATCGGACTAATACAAGAGATTCCTGATAATAGTTTATTTATTCATGTCAGTAACGTTATGCACACCTGACCATGAAACTTGAATACCTCCTCTAGTGATTTGCACTGGAGGTTGTGAAGTCTGATTTTGTCCCAGATTTTATGTGGTCCATCTACGTCTGCTAAGACCTAAGTGGTCATAGCTTAAGTTAAGAGGATTTTATGATGGCCTTGAAAACACTTAAGTAATTTTCGGACCAATTTTTCTACACGTGATTTCTTCTGTAAGCCTCGAAGCAGATATTATAAATACTATGCATCGATGATGTTGTTTAGAATTTATTTATTTTAATTGTTTTAACATTTTTTCTTGTCCTCACTCCCTTCAAGTTCTTTCTTTGAGGAAACTTGTATTTCGTCGTCGATGCTTCAATCAAATGAACTCTTAGCTTAATTGTACCATTTGTGGTAGTAGTATCGTAGCACTCGTTCATTGAGCGAGACTTTACTTATTGCGTCCTCACGGTTTTGATGATTGTCTTAACTGCAACAATGTGATCGCAAGCATGATTGCAGGAGCTCAGGTGGGCCCAACTGGGTGCTAAGGAAGAGGTTTTGAGGATACAGTTTGATTGCACGAAGCACCTGAAGCATCTTGGTAACGTTTCAATGCTTGAGATGTGTACATAAGCGTTGAAACATCTTAAGCGTTCTTAAACATCTTGTCGCGTACATACATTCACCAACCGCTATTGAAGTGCAGAAGAAGATCTTCAAAATCTGATTGTAGCAGCATCTGGTTATCAGAAGGTGCTAGCTGAGAATCGCCAGCTCTACAATGATGTTCAAGATCTGAAAGGTGTTCTAGCTTGAAACTTAAGTATTCAGGATTTTTGTCAATTTGTGCATCAGATCAGTCCTATTTACATATTTGGATTCGCCTAAACAATATGTGTAAATGTATATGATGAAGTTTTCAGGCAATATTCGTGTCTATTGCCGGGTGAGGCCTTTCCTCACTAAAGAATCTACAAGACAAACAACTATTGACTATGTTGGAGAGAATGGAGAATTGATACTCCTCAATCCCATAAAACTAGCAGGCAAAGAATCCAGGCGGTCATTTGTATTTAATCGATGCTTTAATGTGAACGCTTCACAAGGTAAGATACACTTTCAGAATCTCGTCATAGGTTTTAGTCTCATATTAATCTCTAAGCTTTCATGCTCTTGTAATGCCGCCCCAAGTTTGTCTATTCCCTCATCTTTCTTTGTTCTAATTTTTGGCGCTCTTGCAGAAGAAGTATTTCTGGACACACAGCCCTTGATTCGATCTGCTTTAGATGGATTCAACGTGTGCATATTTGCATATGGGCAAACAGGTTCTGGGAAGACCTTCACCATGGTAAGTTAAAATTCACAAATCTTCTCATAGTTCTTTCCATTTGTATCAAGCGCTTCAAGTGCGTGCCTCACATATCAGATTCTCAAGTTGCGTTGATATGCTTACGGTTCATTTGTATAATTTCGAAGTTATATTCCTCATGTATTTTAGAGCCGTTGCAAATATAGGTGAATACCAATTTCTCTTAGAGTATGCCCTGGAACAGTTCATTCTGCATGCAATTATTTATGTCATTAAGAAATTCTTTGGTGCCCTCCTTATCCTATTAATATTTTTAAATGTACCTGTCAAATACAGAGCGGTCCCAATAACCTGACACCAACGACGTGGGGAGTAAACTACAGAGCCCTCAATGACCTATTTTTTATAACTCAGAGTAGAGTTCATGTTTTTCGGTACGAAATTGGAGTGCAGATGCTAGAGATTTATAATGAGCAAGTTCGTGATCTTCTCGTCACTGATGGTAGTCACAAGAAATATCCTTCCTGAGAACTTTCAGGGATCGAATGCTTAAGTTTTGCTGATTCGTCGTCGTTGTGGAGTTGCTCCAATTCTTTTGTACTACTTCACGTGGGTTTTGTTCGTTTCATTTACAGGGACGATTCTTATTACTAAATATTCGCAGCCAAGGAGCTATGCGGTTATATATTCATAACTTTAGCTTTGAGGTAGTTGTATGTGGGTTTTGGTAATCTAGATTCATTTTACACGAATATCCTTGACATTTGAAACGCTTGAAATTCGGAATAACTCGCAGCTGAATGGACTAAATGTACCTGACGCGAATATTATGCCTGTGAGATCAACAGATGATGTTTTGGAACTGATGAAATTAGGTCAAAAGAATAGAGCAGTTGGATCTACAAGTCTGAATGACCGGAGCAGCAGATCCCACAGGTAAGTAAAACCGCTGTGCTTCGTCTATTTTTTTCCTATTTTGGTATGACAAACTCAATTCTGCTCTTCTCCTCAGTGTTGACCTACGCTGTCTGCTTTCAGTGTGCATATACTGTTCATGATTCACCAAGGTTGTAGCTATGTTAATCCGTAAAGCTTTATGCTTTTCCCTCCTCCATCACACCCCCCCCCCCCTCGCACACTTATTTTAGAAGTGCGATTGATAATAAATGACCTAGATATTAATCATCGAACAACGCAACTGAACACAATACTAAGAACTCGTTTGTTAGAGTCCTGTGGCTAACTTGGAAGTGATCGTTTTGACTTGGAATTAATTGTTTCTTCTGTTTCATCTTAATTCTTTCATTGCGGGACATGGAGGTGTATACAACTCCAGCTTCTCCTATACTTCCTTGCCTGGGACATTTTCAACTGTTTTTTTTTGAAGTCGCTCCAGTCAAAATGTGGATTACAGGGCTCTTAATCCTTAGCCAAAAACTAAGAACTGGGACTCCTGTTGTTTGCAGTGTGCTAACAGTGCACGTCCAAGGCACAGATTTGAATTCTGGAGCTGTTTTTCGAGGCTCACTCCATCTTGTTGATCTAGCTGGAAGTGAGAGAGTGGATAAATCTGAAGTAACTGGAGACAGACTAAAAGAGGCTCAACATATCAATAAATCTCTTTCAGCCCTGGGTGATGTTATCTCTGCTTTGGCACAGAAAAATGGTCATGTGCCCTACCGGAACAGCAAACTCACTCAGCTCCTCCAGGATTCTATAGGTGTGTTATGAACACTTACGTGGCCATTTTTTTCTTTGTCTCCTTGTTATTTTCAATGATTTCTTATGTTTTGATAAGCATTACTTTCTCAGAAGAATTATGTCTTCATGCTTGGATAGAGGACGAACGTTGTTCATCTGAAATGCCTCACAAATCAATGTTCTCTTAATTATACTCTTTAAAGGTAATTGAAATAGAGTCTGTGAGGAGGGTGGCTTAATTTTTACTAGCACTCTCCCTCTACATGTATTGTTTCTCATGATATCATGCTGACAGGGGGGCAAGCGAAGACCTTGATGTTTGTGCACATAAGTCCAGATGTCGAATCATTTGGAGAGACTCTTAGCACCTTAAAATTTGCTGAACGAGTGGCATCAGTGGAACTTGGTGCTGCTCGGAGTAACAAGGAATGTGCGGAGATTGCCAATCTGAAGGATCAGGTTACTGGACTTAAATTAGTGAACCTAGGATTGTGCTCATTTCAGCGGGATCTTTAATATAAAGAATAATTTGGATCACTGCCGTTGACCTACATCTACACTAGCCTTGTTGAAGTTTTTGAACCAAGTAATACGAGAAAGCATCTATGCTACTAGCAGTTTTCTATGCCATTTACACTTGGATTCATGAGATCTTCATATGCTTCACATCTTAATAATCACATATTTCTATGTCACAGGTCAGCCAACTCAAAGATGGGATTACCAAGAAAGATGCTGAGGTAGCCCGAAAAGAGTTCGAGATAGCCAATCTTCAGATGATAATTGAACGACTTGAGAAGGGGGAGAACAATGAAAATAAGTCGAGATTGAAGCCAACGATCTCATCTAAACTTCATCGACGCAAGAATAATGAAGATCAAAAGAGCCGGAAGATGACTAATGAAAATGGAAATGCGAATGTAGAGGTATGTTTACTTCCATCTTGATTCAAAGTACCTATTCAGGATGTTCGATGTACAATGTATATCATTACGCTGGCAGTTGTGCGCATGTAACCGACGCATACTGCTTGCCGAGTCGACCCAATTCGTCATGTCTTCTTATGTCATATAAGGGACTGTTGTGTAATTTTGAACCAACCAAAGTTTGTGGAGCAGACACGTCAACCTACGCCAAAAATAGCAGGGGGAAAGAAGGCGTCCACTTCAATTGGTTTGAAAACTGGCCATGTCCCTGAGAATTTGGCAGAGCACTTCGGGTCCCCTTCTGCATGCTCACCGTCGGATTCCCCTTCAGAAAACAGAATTCAAGTTGAGGTGAGTGGGGACGGGGCTGTCAACATTTTTGAGAAGCTCACTCTGCTTAAAAGTCGTCAAAAGGGTATTGGGAAAAATATTGGCTCCTTTCCTAATGACAAGTTACTGGAGCATGATGCTTCTGAGTTCATGAATGCTGAACTATTGAGTAAGCCACTGAAAACAGGTCTTACTCACCATGAAGAAATAACAATGTATGATTACTCAAGGAACTCATCTAGCATCTATGATACCCCCACCCCATCGAGACCTTCGCAACGTGAAGGGAATATGTGTGAGGAATCAACTGATACATTTCAGTCCTCTGGAGATGATAATTTGTCTTCCTTCCAGGATTGTCAGCAATTAAAGATTGAAAATGAACGTCACAGTGCGGGAGCTAAAACGTTTGACGCTGGAACAGGGCGTTTCAACCTGTGCCCTATGCAGAGTGGTTTGCGGATCGGAGCCCCCTCAAATGTGCAAAGTAATGAGGAGCCTACATGTGGAGGTTTCGAAACCATACTACTGGAGAATATTGGGGGTAGAATTGTTGCGCAAGATGATCCATTTCTACTGAAGAATGTCCTGGATGAGGGTTTTGGAGATGATGAAGCGTTTGATTGTCGGGGTGCTTGTGAGGCTGATAGTGCAAGTTTGTATTCTGATAGCTGTTTTTCAACTGACGTTGATAACTCTGGATCAAGCCATATGGAACAAGACAAGAAAGTGGGATCTAGCTCTTTTCGACCCCTTCATAACCGAAAGTAAGTTTTACTTCTTAAGGTCCACAATTCACTTTCTCAGTTAATTAAAAATTACTTGTATACCTCGTGACTTGTAAGCTTTGACACACTTTTGGGCAGTCTTAACAATGCACATTAATAAGCTGAAATCGCTCTCCTCCATATAAAAAAATACCAAACATGTTTACTCTAGTGGAATCGATCGTCGTTGTGGTGTGGAGAGCAAAGAAATGCATAGTACGTGGTTGCGCTTCATGGTCACATACACATCTTGATTCTGCCAAGCATTCTTGAAATATATTCTCGTGTCACGTGTTTTCCTTGGGACAGGTATATGATTAAAAATGAGGCGTCTACCACTCCAGACACAAGTACTTTCAAGGTCTCACCACCGAGGGGGGGTTGTAAATCAAAAGGAGGACTATCTCGTCGACATAAGCCTGCTGGGCAAGCTTGTACTTCTGATACCAGAACTTCTGCAAAGCGGAATGCACTCCCCACCGGAAATCCCAACCAAGAGGTTGAACAAGCTAGTATGTCATCTTGAACTGACATGTCGTTACTGGTCATCAGATTTCCGTGTACTGTGTGCAAATGTTCACTAGTGATATGCAATGCAAATCCTTGGATGTGGTGCCTAACAGAGCTTCATGGTGGTTGTGGTGGAGTATACCATGTCTACGATAATGATAAAATTCTACTGCATGTTTCTTCATTCGGTGGAATTGTGTGTGCATGTCTGTCGAGTTGCAGGCAGTAGAAGGTCGGCGACGAGTGCCGCATTGTTAACCACCTGGAGATAATCGTCAGTAAGTCTTCCTTCATCTTTTGGCCGTGGTGAACCCTCTGCTTGTGTCATATCTACAGTAGAATGGCTGGATTATAATGACGCTGCCAAATTGGTACACAGATACCAGAGAATGAAGCTGGCCAGAAATCAATAGCTTGACTTCTCCACAACCAAGGACTATCAGGAACCTGGATGATCGAGATGGCCGATGACCGAAGAAAACTGAAAATTCAAACCAATGCTTCAAAATGGAAAACATACACTTTCAAGAATTTGCTCATTGTCTCCAGTGTAGAAATCCTCGATGCAAACAATGAAGATTCGTTGATCGTATAAATTATATTCACTCTAATGTTGAGAAGTAGAAACATATCTATCATGTTTGATCGTGCTCAAAAAATGTCGAAATGTTTTTCGACCCTCAAGTTGCGGGCGCAGCTTCAATCTCACTAACTAAATTAGCCACTGTTTCCATCCACTTCGATTTTAGAACACTCGTGGATCGAAATTCCGAGTTCAATTTTTTCACGTCCAAGAGACGAGAAAACAGAGACCACATTGTCCATGTCACACATCCTGGTGCCGATTGATTAATAATAACTTTTTTCTTTTGACAACCACCCATTCTCATCCTAAAAGTCTTTATAGTCTTTCAATGCATAAACTTATTCATGTTTTTGTAAATCATGTAAATAACTATATTTTTGTTTAATTCTATTATAAAAAACTAAAAAGCTAATTAATTGCTAACTTGCATCAAATCATGAATCAATTTATGGATACAGTAATTTCGAAGGTAAAAAGCTGTCTTGTTTTTCCAAAACACGACTACTCTTGACAATTACCAACAACTTCAAACTGAAATAATTTTTAATACTCCATCTTGTCTAACGTTGAATGATTTTCTATACAATATTAAATCTTATTCAGCCACTTTCTTTCAAATACAAAATAACCACTACTGAGCTTTGCAAACAGGGCCTTAAATCACACAACTACAGTTTTTCATTTGTTGAGTGTTTTACAACAAAAACTCCCAAAAAAAACATTGAATCTTTTGCATGCCAAAAAAGATACAGCAAAATTCATTCCACACAAAAACTTTCGAGAAATTGAATAGAGAAGGCACAAGCTACTTTCAAAGGCATTACATGATTATCCATTTCATATAGCTGTAACACTTCAAACTCGGTTGCAAAAACAAGACTGTCCAAATTGAGGTCCATGTTGATTTGAACACGTTAAATAATTCTCAAATACACGAAGTATACTGAAAGGGCAACTAGTGCAAGGGTTTCGGTAACAGAATCAAACCTGCAAAAGCTCATCTGAAACTGATCATCAGATCCACCATTTTATAGCTCATCTTCAGAATCGTCAAACGTGGTTGAGCATTGGAGGGTTAACTTGAGGCTGGTGAGGTGGGCTCTTTGGCAAGCCTCTCGCTCATGCCGTGCTCACACAGGCAAGAATATGCTGGATGGGTCTTTGCGGCCACCATCTGGGACACACCAAGCAGAAGAGTGGTCTCGGTGGCCTGCTTGGGCCTGGTTACTAGGCTGGGTACAAGAATATGAGGGAGACCTAGCTTGATGCGCTCCCCTGCCACTGCAGTGTAGAATGTGTTGGAGTGGATGGGCACCAACACATCGCTGTGTGAGCAGATGTAAAAATCTATGGCCAGCTCCAGCTGGGTCCTTCCAGAGTAGAGAAACTGGCTCTCTTCGTTGAATGGCATGCTATATTCCTGCCAAAACATGGAGATATAGGAGCTTAGATGGAAAGCAGAAAACCAAGTAAAGACCTATAGAGCACTCGGAAGGATAACTTGTGGGTAAAGGAAGGTAATGTTAACTTGAATTGAAAACTTTGATAAGAAGGGTTCACTGCAACAGAAGTTGGATGCAAACAGCTCGGTGTAACGTAGGATGCCTGCAATCCACACTTTCAGGAAACCGCAAACGTATTGACAGAACAAACGTGGTTCAGAAAGATTTTTAGTTCGCATACCTTGGTAATGACATTCGGGAAGAGGTTGAGCAAAGGGTCGAAGGACTCATCCAGTCGAGTCTGAGTCAAGTAAATTGCTGTCTCACGAGCAAACCCATGCGACTGCAACAACAAACCAAGGGCACGAGGGGACAGGCAGCGCTTAGACTTTGTATGAACAACATCACGCTCCTCCTCACAAGCCGTGTCTGTAGATCGATAATCCACCGCAACATACTTTCCACCCGCTCTCTGAGCTGCTTCCTTCATCCTGTTGTTCAGCCTGTTGCCAAGCTTTTCTATCTGGGACTGGAACATCAAGGCTTTGTACTTGATCAAGCACCGAATGGCCTCCATTTCGACGTCTTGTTCTTCTTCCACATCTTCCATACTGGGCAAAAAATCATCCAACACGATTACCGTGCTTTTCTCAAAGATGGGCCGAATGTTCTGGTCGATATAAGGCTTGGTGATTCTGTAAGGAACTTGTATACTGGTGTGGTTTAAACCCCGGAGGTCTTCAGGTAACCGCCCCATTATTCTAACAACTCCCTCCAAAGTTGCGATGAAGTGCTTGACGGTGTATAAGTCATCAAAATTACTACACACCATACCCATGATTCCCACTATCAATGGTTGCACTGATTTGCAAGTTCAGCTTACGGGAAAAATACAGAAGTTTTTTTTATTAATCAACGAATAAGTGAAGAACAAAAATTTCCTGAATGGCTAGTTTAGCTAGATGCTCTTCAGAGAATCAAAGAGAGTACAAAACCTTCAAAGAAAAGGATGAAGAAAACATCTCAAACAAAGTATTTTCGGATATACTTCATAAAGCATGAAATCTTCAGGGGTCTTTAGGTACATGGACAAAAGCAATTCATACCTAGCCAGCTCGGTTAAACCTTCTTTTACAATAGGTATCACAAGGGTAGCTCCTAACTGGCGAGCAACAATCACCGCATCCGCAATCTGGCAGAGTGCAGAACCCAACCAATATCGACTAATCGGTTATGCTGAAAATTTAGTGGATCATTACGAAATTAAAAAAAGGAGATGAACAAATCAGGGGACAACATAAGCGATTTTACATGAATCCTAATTCTCAAGCATGATTGGTCTATGAAATACGCATAGCCTGTTTAAGTCTGACCTTGTTATCCTAAACCCATTCTGTAGTGGCTGGGTTAAAGACTCACGATGTAGCTATTTTAATTACTGTGTACAAGATACCTGAAACCGGTGGTGGTGCGGCCCTTGAGAGCACCTGACCAGAACGTAGCCCCATTCCTTTCGATTGCTCTCTGATGACATAGAAAACATACTTCAACGTTCGTCCTCATTAAAATATTGTGGACAGATCTTCTGTAGCTGTTATGATAGCAGCAAGGGAACCCCGGCGATGCTCGAGAAGTATTTCTGAGGTTTCTACCTTACAACTAGAAGGAAACTGGTCTAACTTAATACTATGATGAAGCAAGTAAACTAGGATAAAAGATGGCGAATCGCAATTATTGTGCTTGTTCAACGGCATATCAGAATGTCATCACAGCATTATCAGTCAATCTTGCCAGTTTGAACGAACAATATCCGGGAAATAAAATTTGAACGCCTGCTGTTTCCGCAACCACAGAGGTAATGATAATACCTGGCCGTTTACTCACTTCTAGAAGGTTCAGTCCAACATGGTTCAAGTGGTCGGAACGGAACTCCCCATAACTTTATTTGGGTACTTGTAGACGATTGGACCTGCAAAAACATAATATTGCGAATCTTGAAACGAAAACGGGATCTGAAAACGCAGTCTTTGAAGCCCATGAAAAAACAATAAAAGTATAATTTATTATATATACAGGACAGAACTAGAGGCGCCTTCCATGCAAGGATACATCGAACTGACAGACACAGACAAACAAACAAACAAACAAACAAACAAAGCTTGTGGAGTGTGATGTCCTGATAATCCCTAAACTGGATCTAATCCTGGATGATTTCCATAGAAAGCCGCGTCGGCTACCAGAATAGTTCTAAAGTAAAATTCTAATCTAGACATCAAGCACAAACACTTACAGCATTGATCTATGCTTGCATGAATTCGTTAACAATTTGTTACGTGCCAGATCAGACCAAAGCATTGGCGCAATACAATAGTTACATCTTGATTCAAGCTCGACCTAAAACTATTCTTTGTTATTTGACACAAAAAGCTGGAAGATATGGGAGCAACATACCTGTCCAGCCTGGGATCGTATCTGAAGAGGCCCGTTGTTGAGAATGTTGTAAGAAAAGACCAAGAACATAAAGCCGAGGAATCCGATCACTCCTTTCCGTAACCCCAACATTGTGATGACCACTTAAGCGACCACTCCAATGCCGTCTGCTTCGTTATTCCTTCACCATCAAACCTTCACTAACACCCTCATAATCTAACCATGATTTCATTTCCCCCACCTCTCCACTACTCCACTGCATCCCACCCGCCCACGCACAAACTTAGGTTCAGCACAAACTGGACTTCAACACTACAACATATTCTCATAGTCAGCAAACGATGCGCTGAACGGTACCCAATTGACAAAACAAAACAAAACAAGCAAAAAATTCAAAAATTGAAAAGAAGCAAACGCTGACAAAGCTGAAGCGCCGATTCCACTAAAATGAAAACAATTACTTGCAACAATAAACAATTGTGGGTCTCCTCAAAAACTGTTGCACCCTCACAGTTTCGAAATCATAACCTAATGTCATAAGCCACACTGTGTAGGTTAGAAGCAACATTGGCAAACTGAAAGAAAGCTTGGGACTGCAATCACAGACAGAAAAGAAATCTGTTTACAGATTCCTAAAGAAGTTGATGTTTTTTAAATTAATTGTAGTTATCTTGTAATTTAAGAAAATTGATTATATAATCTTGATAAGTATTCAATCAACATGTTTTTTCACAATCATGTTATGAATGTAACTTTGATAAAGTATGCAAAGAAAAATATCAAATGGTTGAATAAAGAACATATAGAATTAAAATAAAAAACATCACTTTAACATTATTTTTTATTATTAGGATGATGTCTATAATAATAAAATAATACATTATTTGTACAAAAAAAAAGTAAATATATCAATCACATATAGTTACAATGCTTAAACTACATACCATTAGAAAAACCAAACTTTTATACTTTAAACTAATACTCAACTTGCACAAAACTTCTACACTTTTAATTAGTATTGAATTGATTCATAACAAATGTTGCACCTTTAAAGAAATTGCATGTAACCACTAAAATGTTACCAATTCTTTTGTAATCAATTGTAAAGTTAGTTTCAAATGCTATTTGTCTTATTATTGATGTCTTCTTCTTCAAATAAACCAACAATGGCTTTCAACCAAAATTTCTTCAAAATTCAATAGCTTGTAATTGTTGTTAAGCCATCACCCAACCATTTCTTTTGATACTTGTAGTTGTACATACAAGTTTTATGATCCATTGTAGCACTCAAAAGTTTAGATTCTATTTTTACAATGATAACTTTTTTTACTTGAAAGCATTAACATCTTTATTCTTATTTATAATTGGTGAATCAAACAACCTATTTATGACTTCTTCTTGATATTTGATGAAATTTCTACTCTCTATTGTTCTTTACTTATTTTCTTGAAATTCCAAGTAGTATAACATTAAATCATTGTATAATTTTTAAAAATATATTGTCAAAAAAATAGTTATTGGCCATTAAATCTATAAATAAGACTTTTTTAATATAAATTATCTTTTCTATCTTTTAGATATTATTAGATTGCTACATATAAAGAAACCAAAATTAAGAGGTTAACTACTTAGAAAAAATATTATAGATATTGTTTTTGTATCAAACAAGTTTTAGGGGCCATTTTTAGAAGTTTCTTAAGCAATATCTTTTTTTAGGTTGGATTATCCTAATTTTTTTCTTTGATAATGAATTGATTGCTTAACAACTTCTTTATTTATTGAGAATGGTCTAATTATAACTTTTTAATGCTGAAATTACTATTTTTAGTTTTTAATATATTTATCCATCTTTCATGACCACACCACACAATTTTCTTTTATATGGTTTTAATGCATTTCTTCCACTTTAGAAGTATAAAATGTCTTTATCCTTATAGTCATTGTATCTTCCTTACAACTTCTTTCACTTTTGTAGCAACTAAACAATCTTCTATATATAAGAAATATTATTTATAATAACATTAAATAATAATAAAAATAGTAAATATAATCATTATTATTTGAAATATATTTTTTCAATTCTTAACATGTATAACTTACATATATTAGACATTTTTTCATGATGTCTTCCATTTTTCAACTTTATAACTTGTTTGTCTTGTTTTTATTTTATTTTATTTTTTATCCTATATCATTTCTCTTCATGATTGCCAAAATTTGTTCTTATAAAAGTTTTTCTTTATTTATTATTATATGATTTTTTTTAACACTGTAATATAAAACTTTAGATATTATATTTAAACTCTCTAATCCATTTAACAAAGAAATTTGTAAGTATTGAGAAGTGGTTTATTTTTATGGGTACTTTATTTTCTTCTTAAAATTAGACCTTTTTATTTAATATTTAAGCACCTATTTACTAATGCTAAATAGGGCACCTTTGAGGTTTTTTCTTTTCTTTCTTTTGTCTTAAAGTTTGACTTTCTTATTATTCTATCAAGAAGAGCAAATAGACTTCAAACTCTCTATTTTTCTGTGTGTGCAAGGTTGATGTTTACCAATGTTCTACTTTCTTAAGAAAATGTTAAATTATCCTCTTTTACTTTGTATTTCTTAACTTCATAAATTAATCAAATTTAGATTTTATGAATTCAATATATATATATATATATATATATATTTTTTTTTTCTTGTAACTCTTTTTTAAGTCATAAGATTATTTCCATGATTTCTATTATGACTTTATTATATTTGATAACTTATTATTAGAGTTATCATGAGAAATCATATAATCAAGTCATAATAGAAATCAAGTTATCCATAGAGTCAAATTATATTTCATAGAGTTTATGACTTTATTATGACTTTATCTTGAATTTGGCCTCTATTGTTTTGTCATGTTCTATCACAATTGATCTAATCATCTTACTAATCAAGTTATCTATTGGTTTTTATTAAAAATAGTTATTATAATTTAGGTCTTATTAACCCAAGATAAGTGTGGTTTGTATAAGTCAAATTAAGTTTGGTTTCTGAGTTAAGTTTGATTTAGAAGCTAAGTTGGATAATGGTGGTCCTTACATGTGTTATTAGATTTAATAAAATTTGATATTGTGGAGGTTTAGGTGTGAGTTTTTACAGAGCTAGCACTCAACATCTCAAGATGTTCGGTAAAAAAATAATAATAATGAAAAAAACCATTTAGAAGTTTTACAATAAAAAAATAACATTAAAAATACTTGGACCAAAAGTAATTAGTAAAGTCATAGATACTTTAAAAGCAAAAAATAAATAAAAATAGAGAGAAAATTTGCACAACTCCCTCCACCAAATGTTGCAAAGAAATAAGAAAATAACAAGGAGGTTGACGAAGAAACAGATTCTTCAAATCCCTCACAAAAGATAGTGAGGAATGAGCAAGAATAAAAAGAAAGCATCATAAAAATAAGTGGGCAAAGATCAAACGACACCACAATGCACAACTTCCAACATTCATTTGTTCCACGCTGTCCAGCTTCAAAGATTTTCCGAAGATATTTAACATGCTATAATTGGAAGCTACGCATCAAGCAGATCACAGCAACAGTACATCCCTGAAAATGGAATTAAGATGCTCTCAATCGAAGCATAATGTAGTTCTCTTTTACTGTTTAAATTTACACTAATTACAATTATAGAGTTATTACTCGTTCCAGCATCATAAAATACAGAAGTTCTACGCTACTACTGAGGTGTTTTGTAAAATACACAAACTTCACCCAAGGCTTTGGTAATGTACCAACTGAAGAATAAGAAGATGATGCTCTTATGAACTGTGGAGCCAACCAATCCATGTCTATCCATCTTATGCTGCAGTCTCAGATTCTTCTCCTTCACTTAAGTCAACTAAGTCTAATCCAATGCAACTTAAGCGTTTGCAGTGTGCTTTGACTCGCTGGAGAAGAATCCAAATTTGGGCCAGCGAAGGTGGCTAACCAATAAAATTGAGGTGAAGACATGGTGCCATAGCTTCCGCAGATGCAGCTACGACGGACACAAATCTGCTGTCTGGCAGGTGGGCAATCTTGCGCTCAAACCTGTTGATTCAGAATTGCTGAATTCATGACCATGACATGAGAGGTGACGGCTCAGTCAACGATCCATGACGCTGAGTGTGGTCAAATCCCCACAGCTCTACATGCTTGAGGACAAACTCCTCACTGTTTGCAAGGCATGAACTCCCGAAGGTATCACATTCGCCACTTGAACCATGCAGGAGCTCTGAATCTATGTGAAGAGCAAAGTGGCTCCCGCCTCCCAGTGCGAGGGAATCCGACATCGCCAGAACGTAGTATCTATTCAAGCCTGAGGCATGGAAGATCGTTGCAGTTCCCGAGACATTGGTGAACACAAATGAGTCGTTTGTCCCTTGATATTTCTTCTTCGGTGATGGTACTAAAGGAGCCGTTATCAGGCCACCAAAAACGGCGCCTTCCTTGTCCCCGGCAACAAGTAACAGAGGCCCAGTCATCATGTTACTATTCCGGTACAGAGTAAGAAGCGACATTCCATGCTTCTCAGTACTGTAGAGTAGCACCCATCGTCGACCTCTGGCAAGCGTCGGCAGAGCAGGGTGGATGCTGCAGCGAGTATCGTCGGAAAGGAGACGTGACTGGTCGGACATTCCGGGCAAGCGATCTGGGGTATTACTTGGCAGCTTCTTTTTTGAATTACGAGGAGGGATACCCACCGGGTCGCTCACCTTGACATGCTCATCCACGAGCAACCAATCGACATCATAAAACTCACCATTCTGTGCAGTCCCTTCCTCCTCTGCTGCCCCAGACGGCTCCCTGTGGAACCGCGATTGCAAAGGCGATTGGTTCTCAGCCCCAGCCCTGCCTCTTCCAAACCCTAAAGACTTATTACCTCCACCATTGTCATTCTTGTCAGACGTCAAAAGATTCATCAGAAACGCAGACAGAGACGACGTATCCGGCCCCTGAGGATCCGGCACTCCTCTGCTGCAACCGTCATTGTCCAATGCATCCCACTGGCTCCCAATCGGCACATCCACATCATCCTCAGCACCATAGTTCACCAAATTGGGCGCAGAATTTTTCCTCGGTAGGGTATCCTTGTTCTTCCGGCTTGGCAAAAACCGCCCCAATTTATCCCCGACGGAGTCCGCCCACTCCCCTGGCTTCGACAACAACGCCTTCTTCATCTTGCCGGTCCCCAACATGGAACCCTCAATTATTGCACTCCCAAACCCTAATCCGACACAAAGTACGCACCTCCCTCCTGCCGCACATCAAACCCTACCTGCGTACGTCGAACCATTCCCTCTCCTCCTCTCCAACAAACTCTACCACCACCTCATCTCCGAAGACGCACCACCACACACGCCCTCGCTACCTCCACAAACCTCGAAACCTACCCCTGTCTGTCTCTTCGCCCTCTCTCTCTCTCTCTGCAAACTAACGGACGAAACTCTCGTTCACAATAGAATTATCAATATGCCGTGTTGAGAGCTAATGCAGAATGCTGAGGGAGCGTGGAAAGTGGTGACAAAAGAGGAGGACCGTGGGAATGGTGCCGTGGCGTCGCCGAGTTCGATCGATCCATCAGATCTTCTGTGCAACCCCCCCCCCCCTGCGAACAAGAAGGGGGGCGTTGTTGGATCCACGCTTTTGGATGGATGATTGTGTGTTTTAACGAATGAGTCAAGAAAATCCCGTTTGGACGGATAAACTCATTGTCGATGGATGTGTGCGTCGATGAACCTCAGTTTACATGGATGAATTGAAACTGGATGGATGTGTACATGACTCTCAATCTATATGGATGAATTCCCAGTCGATTGATGGATGGATGTGGTTGTGTAAGTGCGATTCTTATGCATTTTTCATCTACTGGGCGTGTGTGTGTGAATAGTATGTCCTTATTAGTCTTTGTTTGAAGTCTCAAATGTGGTGGTGGGCGTTACAAAGTAGTCCTTAAATAAACGGTATTTGGTCACGTTGGGGTTGGGGGGGGGGGGGGAGATTCTGTTGGAAAATATGCTTTTAAGAATCAGAGAGTTGTTGATGTTTGTTAATAGTCATTTTTTTATTGAAGTGAGAATTATACTCTTGTATCATTTTTAAATCTTATCAATGAGAGGATTGGATCTTGTTAAAATTAGGAGATGGCAACTGAGTAGGGCGGCTTTAGGTGGAGGTCGTGACTTTTAAGCTCATTCTTTCTGTCTTCCATTCATGTTCTTCAACAATTATGTTTCATCTTCCTTTTATATTATTCAGAGGCTAGATTCTTTGATAGTTTCGTTACTAATACGATTTTTTAAATAAAAAATATATATAATTTTTTTTTATTCTACATAGTTAGTAGAGGAAACTGTATAAATATTATAATGTATCATATTTTTTTGTTCTCAAATTTAACCAAAACAGCACTAAATCCAAGATATTTTTTCATACACACAAAAACAGAAACTATATATATATATATATATATATATATGGTTTTCAATAATAATAAATTAAATAATTATAATAATGAAAAAAGGTACAATCTATTTTCCATCATTGCTAAATGCAACTTTTATGGAAGAAACATTATGACTATATGTAACTTTTTAACTTCTGCAATTAATCAAATAACTTTATATCATCTACTTATTTCTACATCTATTAATTTATAATATTATAATAACTTGTCATCAAAAAATACTTTTATGATAAAAAGCAAAATTTCCCAAAGTGATATATAAATTTTTAACCAAACAAATGATAGACTAAAATAGTTTCTAAAACAATTAAATACACTAAATATGTGATTCATTATTTATATATTATTTTATATCTAATTTAAACTCTTTTTTAAATTTAAAGTATACATATCATCAATTTAAAACATATGTAAAATTAGTATATTGCTAATGACACCACAATTTTTGCTACCACCACTCACTCAACATGTTGTTTCTTACAATCTCATACACTCCTCTCATGTGCAATACATCTACTACAATGTATGCATTGTTTTTTCTTGTGAGCTTGACACTGCTTGCATCTTTACAAACCATGACACTTGGATTGCATATGCACAAAAAATATGCTTGACTATAAGTTATGCAATTTTAATAAAACATTCTAACACCTCATACAATCAAGTAGAGTTGGATGTGGGTGGCCTACAATTGATGGTGAGTTATGGTGACAAAAGCAAAAATAGTGGTGGCACTAACAATGCCCTAAATTTATACATTCAGCTAACTCTTTTGAAACAAATCATTATTTTTATTTTTATTTTAATTTTAATAGGAGCATATATACATTTTCTCTTGCTTTTAATGAACACAAATTTATTTTATTTTTTAAAATAAAAAGGAAAAACTAAACCTAAAACTAAAACTAAACCTTCAGCATTCCAACATTGTTTTGAAGTCCAAAACTAATGTCTGCAACATGCCTAACACATATATAAACAAGCTCACAGTTAGCAAAATTGTACTAGTGTAAAACTTGTAAAATATAGTATTGAAAATGGAAATTCTACAACACAGTGCACAACCTCATACATGAAATACAAAGAATGTAGCGAGATATAGCTCCTTGGGTATAAAAATCAACTAGTAGTGCATGATATTTACCTCAAGCACGGAACCACTTGGAGACTATGATAGCATCCATCCAGCAACAAAGATGCTCTGCATGCACTCTTCAACAAGCATGCAACAACCCTCTGGTTGCCATGATGATAGTCCCACAAAATGAATCTCACCAACTACTTTAAAAAAGAGAGGAATTAGTTCAAAATTATTTTAATTAGACTCAGTAAGAGCCATGCAAAACTGTCTTGTGAGCCGGTCCTACTCATACTTGAGTCAAACAAGTAAATCAAGCACCTCTAAGGTAAATGTGGCAAAAGACACCGGACACAATACCTAGAGGCGGATTCTGTATGTAAGAGGCGACTTCTGCTTTTATCGAGAATGGCCAAAACCTCAAACTAGCGTTGCTGTGGGTGTGACAAAAGGAGAGCAGAGGAAAATGCTACATTTTCGACATCCACGTCCACAGACTTCACGCCGATCCAACATCTTCAGACTTGTGCTGTGTCTTGGTCACCCACCGATCCACCCTCTCCCTCAGCCGCATCTTGGATTTCGCCCAGTCGTAACTGTGTAGAGTATACTTAACTTGCGTACCCCACAGTGGATCACTGCCATCCTCCACCAAAACTCCGACATCAGTGCATCCAATTTTCCTTAACACGGTCCGCATTCCTTCATTCCCCTCGGATGTAACCCACTCTACCATCTCTAATCCCAGCACCTCGAACCCAAATGTCAGCAAGACGAGATGTACATCCCAAACCAGTCCCCTTCCGTGGTACGCATGTCCCAAAATCAACCCCATTTCACCTCTCTTGGGGCTCTCTTCCATCCAAAGACTCCGGTATCCTGCTTGACCGATGACTTCCAACCCTAAATCCTTGTTACCATGTCGAAGAAGAACGGTGAAATTACGTGCTCGCCCCAGAAGTTCCTGGCCTTCATTAGCTTCCCGTCGGGCAGCCATACGAGCTCTGTCCCAGGGTTTACTGAGAAATACTGGAAGATGCTGCATCGTCATAGGGTCTGAGAAGAATGAGATGAAAGTATCATCGTCCTCGGGGGATGGAGTGCGTAAAACAATGCGCTGTGTTTCCAAGCCCATGTTGAAACCCTAATAAACTCTATCTCCAGGATGCAAAGACAACGAGATTGGAATAGCTCCACCTGAATGTCTTCTTAAAAACACTGTTAACGTTGCTTGCAAAGAACTCATCAGAATCGTGAAGGGAGAGAGGGAGATAGAGATGGCCATAGCCGGCACAAAAAAAGTCGCTCCACTTTGCAGCTTTAGGTCCACAGGTCACATGGGTATCTCGAATTGGTATCAATGTTATCCATTATGAAAGCGTACAGGAAATCTGCGTCGTCTGAAACTCGTGTTTTACAAAATAAAGGATGATATCATAAAACCAGCCGTGGAATGCGACAAATCCATCACAGATTTCACGTCAACGTAGCAAAGATCAACTACAAACTTCCTGACGTTGCCATTCGGCTAACATGAACTGATCGTGCCTGGCCAAGATAAACAATCGTGGAAATTAAAATCACGGCTAACTGCACAAAAAAAAACAAAAAAAACAAAAAAAAAAAACAAAAAAAAACAAGAAAAACAAACAAACAAACAAACGCCTCTCACAACCAACTACGAAATATGAATATAGACCACAAAAATTTAGAGTGTTCTCCAGGTCATAATAAAAACCTGTAAGCATAAATTCATGTTTGCCGAGTTGAATTACTTCGAGAATTTTCGACGACATGTCCAGGGCTTCTTCAAGGGTTTTGGATAGTAGATCGTCCCATGTTTCAGGTCATTTGAAATACAGGAGAGGAGATAGTGTGTTCTTCAACGCTGAGATGCAATCCTTGTCGTTACAGTGCCGAGGAAGAGGATCGCCTTGCATGGGAAGTCTTCCGACACCATCAACAACAAAAACACTACAATTCCAAACGAAGAAGAAAACCTTCACCAAGCCCAAGAAGCTGAAACATGAGAAGAAGAAGAAGAAGAAGAAGAAGTAGTAGAAGAGGTGCGCATGGATTCGCTTCGAACTTGGATCTTTTTCAGGAACATGGCATCTTTCACACCCTTGCGGTGCTCCACGCTCGGGATTCGGACCAGGCAAGCAAGACAGCAAGGAAGCAAGATAGCAAGCAGGGCTGGCTGGCTGTCTGTCTGTCTGAAAGTAAGTGACCATCCTTTCTCTTTGTGGTTTGATTCTTCATGGCATCTTTCAAACCCATGACCCTCTTTTGCTGTGGCCCTTTCGCTACAGTTTGCTTCCTTCATGGCATGTCCCAGATGGGAGTGTTTCTCTTCTCTTAAAAATGGGTGTTTCAGCCATGTAGGTGTGTTCTCCTAAAACTAGGTATTTTGGCCACTTGGGTGTGTCTTAAAACTGGGTGTTTGTGCCATGTGGGTGTGTTCCCAGAGGAGATCCCCCCAAGTTTGACCCACAAATGAATGTTGTCCAGTTGATGATTACCCACATGGCCTTGAATTTGGGTTTAGGGGATTATTTTTTGTTTTATTATATTTTATTTTAACATGTTGCTCACTCACTTCCCTATTGTATGGAGTGATATTTTTTAAGTAATTGATTATAATAGGGAAGTGAGTGAGCAATTGATTATATTTTTCAAATTGAAAACATGTACTAATGAGACTCTTTTACATGGCAAGCGTGCCTTTTAGTAACTAAGAGGTATTGAATTGAAATATGGGTAGTGGAGTCAATATTAGTTTACATTGTGTATTGATTTACTAAGCCACATCACACTATTTCTCTGCTTTTCTTCCATTCAGTTACTTTACCCACCTTTTGGCTTGTTGTTCAATTAACTTCATCCAATATTTGTATGTGAGGATGAGGTCATTTTTATTTGTATTTTTATTTTACTTTGTTGTGCCATGAAAATGGTGTAGTATAATTGAAAGTATGACTGAAATTGTTACAATAATGCATGTGATTGCAAACCTTCAGTTTGAACATATTCATGGTTAATGTTTGTTTTCTTTTGGAAAGAAATATGTGGTTAAATTGCATTATAAGAATATATGACATGAAATTACAATGACCAAAGATGTTTGTTGAATGTCTGAGTTGATACATGCAAACAAACTGAATACAATGTAGTAAAAATTGGAACAATCATGTCAGATGCAACATATTGGATATGAGTAAACCTCTATTTAAAATAAGTTAAGGATTAATTTTAAAGGTTTTGTTGAAGATTAGAAACATTGATGTCTACAAGCATGCTACTATATATATACATATATATATATACACACACACACACACACACACATATATATATATATATATATATATATATGTATACGTATCTGATCTTAGAAACTTTGTGCTTGCAGATTTTAATTTTTAATTTAAAAAAAAAAAAAAAAAAAAAACAACACCAAAGAAATAACTCTGATAATGTATAATTTATATACAGCTATTGATACAATTATGAGAAATTTTGTAACATCAATTGGAATTCAAACTAACATCCTAAATTATTTTATAAGTAAAAAAAATAAGATTGCTTAATTATTTACAACAGAGCAAGAAGATGTACTAAAGATCTTCATCTGGCCACTTTGATAATTATTAATTATAAAAAATAAAATAAAATAAAATAAAACATTAGCTTGTGTTGAAAATCAAGATATGCCTGGGTAACGAGCTTAAAGCCTTGCAAATATTACAAATAAATTTAAGAATTGTCTATTTTTGGTTCATTGATTCTTCTTTTGAAGCTTATTAATTTTAAGGTTTTAAAGCCTTCTTGTATCTTGATACAAATGCTTCATAACCATGACACATTTTAGCTATCATTTCATAAATTCTTTGTGTATAAAAATATGAATTCACACTTCAAGGTTTAAATTATGCTATGAATCATTCTTTTAAAACTAGTTGTTATTTATAACATGTGCAATATTAGTATTTTAATATTATATAAGTATTTGGCAATATTGTTGGCAACATCCTCTATAATGTTTTGATCAATTATATTAATTACCTACTTGAAGTTTTTCATATAACATCAAAATTGTTCATTGATCTGTTATATACATAAATCAAAAGTATTTTGATTTTAATTTTTTTTATAAATCATTTAAAATAATTATATATATATATATATAGATTAATGTATTAAGTAAATATATAATGATTATAATGCATTAAGACCACATCTATTGTGTATTATAATACATCATACAAGAAAGGAAAGAAGTTGATATTTTCTGAACAAGAAGTTCAATATAAAGAAGCCCATAGGATTAAGGTAGCCCTTCTCCCTTTAAAAGATCTTATACTTACAAGAGAAGGTGAGATAACTTTTGAAATTGGAAGACTTTATTCAGTTGATTTTATATCTAGAATAATCAATCAAAGGATAGAAAAAGGAGAAAATAAGGTAAAATAGACTTTTTCCAACGTGGTATGAATATTATTGTCTCTTGACATTTGTGTTAGGCCCACCACAAAGACATATTTTTATAAAATGTTATGGATGTATATTTAAGAAATGCCATTAGTAACCATCAAAAGCAAGAAATCAATGTTATCACGTCCATTCTAATTGTTGGAATTAAATATGTGCGTCGACATGCTTAGATTGACAACAACAAAATGGTTTGACCCATTTGTATATCATGCATGTAAAGATCTCTGCTACTAAACATAGTTGTATTTTTTCAAAGACAACATGTTCTACATTTGTTGTGGTAGGATAGATAGACACCAAATTCCTCAAAATTTATTTTCTCCTCCTAATGCCACCCGCTCTAGTCATGCCTACAAATCCCCATCCTACTGTAGAGATAATTGTGCATGGGTTATTTTTGTTGCGTTTGCAGGGCAAACCTAACTTCGTCGGCCATCGCCGATTCAGCATCGTAGCTTACAGTAGATGCCTGTCATGTCTGCGGTTGTCTAATAATGGCATGATTCCATGCTGCCATCCATTGGCGATGATGACGTAGAGCAGATAATTTCTCCCGATCGATGACGTCGGTCTTGACGGTACCGACTTTTAGGTGACCCGCCGAGCAATTGCTGATGCATTCTCTCTAGTTTTGGCGGATTTGGTGGTTCTCTGGCACATGAGGTGGCGATTCTCTTCTTCACGTGGTGGCATCTTTGTTCTTGCTCGGAATTAGGATGTTAACTTATGCTGAGAGTTTTCTACAACACAGTTTCTTGCATGCAGGGTATTATATAAGCAGCTCTCTCTTGTCGGCGTTAATTTTTCTTGTAGGGTTGAGGAGATAGTGGGATTTGGGTGACCACCACACGCTCAGAGTAGGTCTCTAGAGTCGAAATTTTCAGTGGTGAGTATTGGTGGTGAAATTTAACCGTGGTATTGAGCTGTTGGGATATCTAATCTGTTCTGGGTAAGGAGATGGCCTACCCAAGGAGAAATGGGAACAAACCGTCTTCGAGCTTTCGGTTCGAATTTTACACGAATGTGCTAAGATTCTTTTTCCCTCGAGGTATGTGTACGGCTTTCTTGTGTTAGCAATGTAAAGAACCAAAGGCCTTAAAATGATTCCGTACATTATTTAGCTGGCGAAAATGTCAACCTCCCGCTTTTTTAGAGTTCAAAGAAACTTGTCTCGATCCTATGTTGTCTCTATTTTCACTGATACGCGTGTCGATTGGAATGAAACAGTCGGTATTGAATTGCCCATCTTTTTCCTCGTTTTAGGAGATCTTCAGCTTCTTTGATCGAATCTACTGAGAAGACCAAGACTTTTCTCAGTGCCACAGCGCGTGAGGGATCTGTCGCCGAGCTGAGTTGGGGTTGGTCAGTTGCCCATTTGCTGTGTAGTATACTTTAGATCTTCCTCCACCGAACTTATTTCGAAGCGGTTTGTTCGTAGAGACTTTGAAGGTTGTAAACTGTTTAGGATTACACAAGTTAGTCGCAACGATATTTGTAGCAAGAGGTTTTGATAAGTGGGTTCTGCTTGTGAAGGTGTGTTTCAATTAGATGCTGTTGGTGGTGGTGAACCCATTTTAGGTTTTAAGTCATATAAAACCACAATTTCAGTGCTCCATATGAAAGTAGGTTTTCTTAAGATGACAGTATCACAAGGACTGCTTTTTATATTTTCGAGTTTGGGTTGTACTGGTTAGATACTTAATTGTGAATGCAACGATTTCTCAACTCGTCGTTGTTGTCCCTTTCGTGCTCTAATGGTGGATTGATTTGATGGGAGTGAATTGATCTATCTCGTCGGTTCAGACCAAAAGCTTTCTTGTATGAATAACACTAGAGCGAATGGTCTTGAAGAAATGCATGATGATCTAGGTTTGCCCCTCATTTTGTTAGAGTCGGAGAAGATTGACTAGGATAAGAGAGACTGACCTCCGTTAACCCTGTCTTGTGTTTCAAGGTTTGGTGTTCAGGTCAACTCCCTAAATTGTTATTACTTGTGGAGGACTGTTCGCTCTATCACGGTTAGAATCGCTGACGACCCTAGTTGGATCTTGTCACAATTTCATCAGCTTTATCCATTGGAAACGAGCGACCGACGAACAAACTGCGAGGTTAGTACTGGCACAAGACGGCTATGTCTTAGTCGCGGTTGCCCTTAATTCAAGCTCAACGAAATGCTTATTTTTGTTCTTACTTTTATTTCCCTCTCTCTCTTCCGCGCAAAACCAAAATACGAACATATCCTAGTTTTCAGAGGCAGTTGTGCGAGTCAATTTTTTGATGGTTGGAAAACTTTCATGCTAATGAACTTTTTCCTGCTGCCTATTCTGGATAAAAGCGATGTGTCTAAGTCATCAACGTTCTATTACGTGCTGGGATATAATGTAATCTGTAGCACTACAATAACACTTACTTTGAGACCATTGACACGCACGCTTGAGATAGCAGCGACGTAGTAGGGTTGCGTAGGACGTTCCATCTGTATACCCATGGTCGGGGGTCCAATTGCTGTTACTTTAGAACCAAGCCGTCTTGGGTTTGCTAGTTCTTTGGAGATTGGAAATCATGTATGCTACGTAGCAGTCACGTTGAGATTTGGAGTACTGGGTCCTGTTCAAGTTTTACCAAATATACTTGTACAATACCATATTTGTGTCGCAAACTTCTCTTTGGAAAGGCAGCTTCGAATCTACAAAGCGTTTACACCACTAGTAACCCCTACGCAAATACTTCAATTAGAGCAATGAACAATCGAGTTGCACTCTGAACGCTGGTAATTTTGATGAAGCTTCCCTAAGGTAGACGCTTACTCCATGAGATCTCGAGATGATAGTTCACTAATCTGTGTTTAAGCCTTTGTTCTTTCGCCTGAACTTTAACTAGTTGACATTCGATTATTACGTTAGCTTCTATGTTTGACTCTGCATTACGTATAAAAACAAACAACACTTATCCATGCCATTACCTTGCTCCTGCACCATAGTTATAATGATGTTTCAGCTTTTCTATCTCTTCTCTTTTTGGACAGGATTATTTGAATGTGGAAACCTTAAACCTGTGCATAGTTTTGCAACATGTACTTGTAGATTCTGGGTCACATTTTGAGTCATTGAAGGCTTTTCATTCCATATCCATGTTATTTGTTTTTGGGTTCCTGATTTCGTATTTTTTTAGATTTCTCAACTTTGTCTAATGAGGTTTTCGGAGCGTCAGTCTGGGAAATCAACAATAGCAAATGCAAGTGCGTAGTGTAATATTGTGTTCTTGGTGGGACTTGCAGACAATTGACTAGAAGCCATGGGGAAAGTTGCAACCGTACTTGAAAATGGAACAGACGCTCATTGTGAGATCAAGTCACGAAGTGCATCCGGAGTGCATATACTTGTGAAGAAGCTTGCCCCCAAAGAACAATATACACTAGAAAGAAGAACTAGTGACACTTACTTGCAACATTGGGTTTTTGTGGGTCGAGATGCTGTTGCCAGTTTCAGCAGCGACGAGCTGATTGACAACGACAAGATCGTAATTGAACATGATGGTACTGAGTTCAAGGTGGCTAAGAATCCTAGGCCGGAAACAATGAAGTCATCGAAAAGCATGTGAGTCTTTCTTCCTTCTAACTGCAAATTCATATTCCATCTTTGTTTTTTTGGGCTTGATAAGTGCTTTATTAGCCATCGGAGGTGTGAGTTGTTGAGTTCCTATCACTTGAACTGGATAGTTTCATTGATACTATGTGTTTTTTTTGTTGGTACCTGCCATCTTAGGCCTATTCCAGGAAGATCTTCTTATCAACCTTATAATGATATTGGTAAACCACCCTTACACACAAGAATAGGAAGGCTTTTCAACTCCTTGATAAGACGCTCTCAACATCCTACCACTTTAGATGTATCCTCATCAGATGTAGAACCACATATGCAAAATTCTCATGCACCTAATCGTCTTCATTCTATATAGACAAATGAATTAATAGAGTGACACTAAGCTAAAACCCCATAATCTCCTAACTTTTGCTGTAGTCCACACAACAGAGTGCTGTATTAGCTTGATGTATTTCAACGTCACTTGCTAAATAGCGAAAAAATATTTAGGGTCTTGAGGATGTTTCTGGAGGCAAATTTTGGATTTGCTTGTTTAATGTCTTAGGGTCCTTGAGGATGTGTTTGGGTCAGTCTGGACCTGCCAGATTTAACTTCACACAGCAATATTTTAAATGTGGTATTGGATGTGTAGAATGGGCGACTTTGTCCCTTTGAGATCACAAGATCTGTGTCTGACCTTGAACCAGTAGTTGAATCACTCATTAGTGCTTTCAAAAAAAAGGATGGAATTAAAAGCTTTCCATTAAATTGGAAGTTACAGAGAGATGTGGGTAAAAGGATGTTTTGGGATCAAAATAGGGGTGCTTTTGTGGAAACATTTAAGTTATGAACGCATAAAATTTATCAGCATGCATTGAATTTGTCAATCATCTGTCACGTACGTTTTCCAACTTTTGTTTTTGTCACAGTTACGGAATTTTGGTCCAGTTATTAGAAGCAATATTTGTTTGCTTTTGCTAGTCTAGAAATAGCTGTGCTCATGGCCTCACCTTCCTCTTGTATCTGTCAAATTTCTAATTCTTATCAAGACTTGTGGGGTAGCATCTGCAAATCAAGGTTGCCTAGGCAGCATTTCTTCCTCTTTCCTTCAATTGTCTTGTTCCTTGGCTCTCCTTGCTTTTGTGCAATATCAATTTGCTTTTCTATCTCTTATCTCGTCTCCCTACATGCTCTCGATGCTTTTGCAATGGATATAGTTTTGGAGAAGATAGTAGTGTTCATGTTTGTTTTTTTAGAGGTTTACAACTTAAAAGTTATGGTTGTGGTGAAGCTGTTCCTTTTTGTGTTTAACTTGTAGTAAAGTTGTGGTTATCTCTTTTTTTTGTTGTATACATGCGGATATATTCCAAATATATATAGGGAATTGTTAAATTGACTTAAGTATTTACTAAATTGACTCACCCATCCTAACTGTTATCAAAAAATTATCCATAGCCAAATCCATATTGGTTGAAAATCAATGAAAAAATAGTTGGATCATCAACCAATGATGATGGGTAAGTCAATTTAGTAAATGTTTGGATCAATTTAATAATTCTATATATATATATATATATATATATATTGTGTTGCAATAAAAATATATTCTTTTAAATATTAAATGTCTAAGGATGTTTTATTATTGATAGTCAAAAGCCATTTTGATGATGCATTAGTCCTTAGGGATGTTTTACTATTAATAATCAAAAGCCGTTTTGATGATGTATTAGTTCTTATTTTCACATCTAAAAGCATGTAATCTATAATATTTTAAAGTTAAAGAACTAATAAGTAGCATCTCTTGTATTATGGCCACTAGGACTTCATATCTATCAATTATTGCTAATAATTTCTTCTTAAGTTATAAACATTAATGAAACAAAATTACATGATACATTCTCACTTATATTTGGCATTGCAATCACTTATTGAAAAAAATATATGCAACAAATCATGAACAACATTTCTAAGTTGAAATTAAGTCAAAAAACAACATATACAAATTTTAATTGTATTTTAATTAAAATTTTCAATACCTCTTTGTACAACTTAATCTTGTGAGATTTAATTTTTTTAAAAATTAATTAAAATAATATCCACCAATCAATGTTTGTTATCACACCAAACATTTGGTTATGCAAATAACCTGATTTTCAGTGCCAATACACTCATCCATCCTTCATCCATCCACTCTCCGAACCACCAAAGGACCATCCAAGCTGTGACACATCCATCCAACATCCATGATTCATTTATCCATTCAAAAAAATCCTTGCTGAATAACCCATTGAAGGCGAAGCAAGTGTGAACACCTGGTGGCTGTGTACAAACAAAAAGTGCGTGATTTCACCCCGATCCTTTAAAGTGAAACTTGTACCTTTAAAGTAAACGTTAGAACCAGAGCTCATCCTGCTTGCTGCTGCTGCGGTGTCGTCGTCCTCCTCGTCGACTGTGCTTCATTCAGTTGAGTGCTTCACTCACGGTCCCTCCCATTTGTCGTCGCGCTGCTTCGTTTCCATTTATCCTGGCGCTGCATGTTTCGTCGTTGCACGTATCGTTGCAGCGCCTTGAACCATCGGTCTTCTTCGCTGTTTAGGACCAGGAGGAGTATGATCCTAAGGAGCCCGATTTTGTCACCGAAGCTGTGGCTCCTCCTCCCTTGTGCTCGAATTCACTTCCCGCGGGTGTTTTGAGGTTGTCCCGGAGGATGGAAGAGCGACGATGCAAGAAGAGCTGGTCATGGTGTTGAGTGTGTGGTTGGTCCTTTGGGGGATCGGGTAGCTTTGAGGTGCTGTGACGGGGAGAAGAGGAGATTTCCTATTACTCAATGGAATCTGTGTTTGAATAATAAAGTGGACAATTCCGTGTGGTTTTGCTTTCTGTGAAAGATAGGGATCCGCTGCTGGTAATGACCGATTCTCATTACTCTTGCTCTCTCTGTCTCGGTCGGGCTTGGTCTGTAGATGTCTCAGCTTGAGAAGGGTGGAAATTGGTTTGTAAGTTAATTCTTCCCTTAGGGTTTGTCACCACGTGTTTTCCTCTCGTTTGGACTAGAGTTTCAAGGTATGCTGTGCTTAGTCCTTGGAGAGGTTTCATTACGGCGATGGAACTACATTAGGTTGGAAACTACTACGCGGGGTTTGTCTCAAGGAGGTTTCGCAAGTGGTGAACAGCAAGATGCCGTTTCAGAGATATATTACTTTTTGCGACTCTGAGGAAGTCCAAACTCTGTGTCAGCGTTTGAGGGCGTGAAGCATAGACTGGATGTGTGTCCGCGTAGTGATTAAAGTAATTGAAAACGTAGTTCTCGACGTGAAGATTCCGGTTGGAGGAATGGGATAGTCGAATATGATTATGTAATTGATAGTGTCTTTTGGCTGTTTAGACACGGTTCCCTAGCAATGATAGAGCAGTGTCATTTGGTTTATATGGCGAGAGTGTTTTTTGTCTCAAGCGGGGTCTGACTTTCCGAGAGGGTTTCAAGCTTCCGTTTAATGGTACTCCGTCTTCCTAAATGCCATCTTTAGCTGGCTAATCCCAGTCGATTATGTTATCCGAGGAAAATATTTCTTAAATACTCGCTATGAACTGAAATCAGCGTGATCTAAAAAAATTCCACGCTATCACTACAGCTCACAGCCTACGATGAAACCCTACACCTGAATAGTCTAGGTCTTTTTCCACGTTCATGTCATTGTGTGACCTGTATCCTGATCCTGTAGATACGACACTTTTAAAGTGAGCCCGGTGTACATGATAAATCGTATATGGACTCGCAATCTGTACATGTATTTGATGCCTACTAATACTCAACTGAACACTACGGAAATGGTCAGGTTCTTAGCATTAATCTGGGGCTTGTTTTTTGAACATTCCTTTTCGAAAGCAGATTACGGCGTAGCTGTTCTGCAGAACAAGTTTGAAGAGCAAAATGAAGAGGTTTTTCAAGTCCATTGGTCGAGAAGGTTCTTTCAAAAGGTTGGCAACCTCTCGTGGAGAAGATGGAACTCCGACCTGCGCCAGAGAAGATTCCGAGAAGAGGGAACCAACCAAGTTCATGTCATGGAACACCAACAGCTTTTTACTTCGCTTAAAAACTAACCGAGAAGAAGTTCTCAGCCTTCTACGCCGCCTCGATCCAGATGTCATTGCCATTCAGGTTCCAATTTCACTAATTTAAATAATACACCTTAAATTTGGAGGTTGTAAAGCAATCAGTTCCCGTACTTTCCCCGATTTTACATTTGATAATATCGATTTGGTGGGAGTTCTACTCGTCGTGACGATAGTCATATTTGCCACATGTTGCGAGGAACAGGAAGTTCGCATACCATCGGCAGGTCGGAAAGGGGAACCTAGGAATCATGGGGAGCTCAAAGACGATACTAACTCCGCACGTGAAGACAAACAGGTTTGTTTTACAAGTGGCACTCTTGTTAAATATAGAGTTGGTTATTAGATCCCCAAAAATTAGGGTCATGATGCTCCCTGATTAAATTGGCGATTTACCAGATATACCTACATTGTTCAGACATCTCTACATGCTTCGTCTCTTTGCCTATTCTTATAAAACTTGTCATCATTAGAAATTGATTACCACGGTTGCTTGTTTAGTTGTTTATGAGTTTCTGTATGGGAAATGAATGCGCTTAAATGCTTGTGTGCTCCCTCCGTTTGCATTTCACATTTTCCACCTTTTGTCTGGACAAAGATGAATTTCTGCTGTGTTTATTTCTCAACATCTAGTTCGAAATGTTTATTTAGCTCATATGTTGCCATGTAGCAGATAACTCATAAGATAGGGTACACCATCTGGTGGGGTGGGGTGGTGTGGTGTTAATCCGTTTGAACAGATCATGATGCGTGCCCTGTCAGTGTCACCACTTTCAGACTACGGAGTTTGGTGGTCGCTGAGTGATAGCAAGTACGGTGGAACTGCTCTCCTTGTGAAACACAGTTGCTCCCCAATCTCAATATTATACTCTTTGGATGAGTCAGGTGCTTCATCGTGCCTTTGAGATTGTGCAATGGCATATGTTGATGGTTTTACATTCAAGTAAAACTCTGATAATTTTTTGGAGTTGCGTTATGAGTTTTGATTGTTCGTGAATTAGTAAAGGTCGGAATTTTAACTAATGCATTCTAAAGCATCTTAATTGAATATGTTTTGAAATGTCACTCTATTATAATACTATTAAGCTTGTGTGTATCTTGTATGCTATCAAAGGTGTTCTCATTATACCTCGTAAATCTAGTTGTTAGATGTCGGTGGATGGCTTCAATAGTGCATGATCTGGTGTGTTCCCATTTACATCCTCAAAGCAAACAATATACATATGTTTAAACTAGAAGGTTACTTGGTTTTCCTCACTTGTAGTGGCTCATTGCCAGAAGCCCAGGGTTCCACATGATCATCCGTGTTTGAAGTCAAGGCTCCAGGTCCAGATGTCATTTGTATGGATTCCACCACTAGGTCTGTTAAGTCTTTCCTTGACGACTAACTCTGTGTGTGGATCGTTGTGCTTGTTCTGCTACGTTCACTTCTGGCTTGCTGCTGTGCCTCCTACCTCTTGATTTTTGTGATGGTTCAGAATTCATGTGCCCGATGCAACTTGCGTATGTGTAATGTTTGATTGTTCATGGTCACATAAATCAGTAATTTGATATGCATCGGTTTTTGAAATTTCCCTCTTAGAATCTTACTTATTTTTGTTAATAGATGGAAGCAAGTTGAAGCACGAAGCAGACGGAAGGGTTATTTTGGCAGAGTTTCACTCTTTTCGGCTGCTTAACACATATGTCCCAAACAATAGCTGGAAAGACGACGACAATGGATTTGCAAGGCGACGAGCTTGGGATGCGCGAATGATTGAGTTCTTGAAACGTCCACATAAGAAGCCCCTTATTTGGTGTGGGGACCTCAATGTCAGGTGAGTCTTTGTGTTCAGCCCTTAGTAATCAGGTTTGATTGTCATGTTGTATTTTATTGGAGTATAGTGACAAGTTATGGTCCATCATACGCTTGTCCTTAATAACTGGTTGAGTTGTGAATTCTTAAATCCACAACTTAATTTCAGATTGAAGCTGAAGTGGATTCCATCTGGAATTGTCTCTACTTTTATCTTCCATCTGACCTGCTTGTAATCCTTTCTTTTTCTCTATGCAGTAACGAGGTTATCGATGTGAGTCACCCGGACTTTTTCAGTAACGCCAAACTTCAGGGTTATACACCCCCAAATGCCGAGGTATAAACTAGAGTTATGGTTATCAAATTCGATAACTAAAAGTGGTCGTCTTTCTCACAAACAATCAAAAAAGTTGGACAGTAATAAAAAAATTAACACAATCGAAACAACATTTCTTGGCCGTCTGCCTGCTATTGAAGGAACTGCAAGTGCTCATGCAGGTTATGCTTATATCATCATATACAGGTAGTTTGTTTGTTTGTTTTGTTTTGTTTTGTGTTTTTCTTTTTATCTTCTAAAATCTTGGCAAGCCCTGGTCATCCTGGTTCGAAGACGTGAGATGCTTGCACTGCTTGATGACTTGTCTACTGGACGACAGTCTGTGTTGTAGATCAATCCTCATTTAAAACTGGCGTAACCCTGTATATGAGAACTATATTTGGTATACTTTGGAACAGGATATTGGACAGCCAGGCTTCACACTTGGGGAGCGTCAACGTTTTGCTGAATGTCTATCGAAGTGCGTATTCTCTCAACCCTCTTGGCTTACTTTTAACTGGCGTGGATGTGGTAACAACCACGGAGATGAAAATATTCAGGAATCAGCTTCGCAATTGTCACATAACGTCCTAGTTACGTTCTAAAGTTGAGTAGGCAGGCGCATTGATCCACGATACTTTTTCGTAATTGAAATAGCTCCTTTTTTTCACTTAGTTTTTTTTGGATTTTAAACCCTAGTATGTTCATTGAGGATGAATGTGCCTCTAAAATATGATTAGTCATCTGATTTTGTTGTGGAAATGCCAGAACATGTTCCTTATTCAATTATTGTTTATTGACTTTGAACAGGGGAGATTTGGTAGATACGTATAGACATCTCCACAAACAACAGGATTTTGATGCTGGCTTCACATGGTCTGGAAATCCTGTTGGAAAGTACGTAAAAATGTTTCACTTCTTTGCAGTATTTTTATCTTTATTTTCATGGATGTGTTGGGGTACAAGCCTTGAGCTAAAATAATCTCATCTGTCTAGTGCATTGAATCCTCCATATGCCCAAGACAGTCTCAGCTGACAATAAGTTCCTCAAATTCAATGTACATTTTTTTCCTTCTTGACAGATACCGGGGAAAGCGCATGAGGATTGACTATTTTTTATTGTCGAGAAAACTTCTTGACAGGCTTGTAAGCAGCGATATTCATGGGCAGGGTATTGAGCAAGAAGGTGTGTGGTTTTCCTCTCATTATTAGACATTTTCTCACAATCGAGTGACATTTGAGCACTTATCTTGCTAGATTTGTTTGAACTTGTTATTTCTATGAATGCGTAGGTAAGAAAAAAACTTATCAGTGGGTGTACTGTTTTCGTAGTTGGTTTTCTTCTTTTACCTTTATTTACATCTTGAGGGTTCTCGCCTGAAGCAGGTCATGATATAGTCGACCACATTACTTAAAATTTATTTTCTTGTGATTGGCCACTTTCTCACGGTCATTTTCAGGTTTCTGTGGTAGTGACCATTGCCCTATCACAATGGAGATTCGAACGGCTACAAAGGAAATTGCCAAGGTCGAGTGTATACAAAGCAGACAAGTGGATTCTTTAGATTTATGAAGTTCAGGTGTTCAAGTTGTAGAATTTGCTGTTGAGAAAGTGGATGATGTGCTTATGCACCATGCTTCTCGACACAGCAAAATATATGTTAGATGCTGTACATTGTAATCTATCTGTACTATGGTTACAAGATACAATTTGATATGAATGCTTTTATCTGCTGCGTAAGACTGTTAAGAAGCGAAGATTGTACCAAGCATCCTCAAGATTTGAGATGTGGTACTGTTTGTATTCCTTCGTTTGTAGCATTTATCTTCAATATTTTCAATTTTGAGTTCTAACGTTGAGCAATCTTTCAGGAGCTTTTGTTCTGCGAGCAATCGTCATGCAAACGCGTGGTAAGGAATTCTCGCAACATGTTAACATGAACTCCCATGTATGTATGTAATATTCAACAGCAACAACAAAATTGTTAAACAAAACATAATGAAGCATATCAATTTTCATATTTTGAACTTGACTCACATATTACCTGGATCATGCTGGAAAATCAGACATAAAAAGTATTGATTTCAACTTTTCTTTTAAATTAAAGTGAATTTTTAGTAACTTTGTAGTAATGTGGAAGAAATGTGTTGGAGCAAACAATTTTAGCTTTAAGGAACGTTATTAATGTAGAAACTCTGACAACCAATTAAATTATGATTTCAAAAGGTATAAACGACAACTTATTCAAAATTAAAAATTACTGTCAAATTGAAAAGGACTTCTTTAATTGGTACTCATCCACTTTGGAGAAACGTGTGATAATTTTCTTATTACATTTCTAGTATTTCCGACAGCGGACAACGTTGATCAGAACTGAAACGAGCTACACACCCGCGGCAAATATTGAAGAAGTTTGCATTTCAAATACTTCATGTTGACGTTGACATTTGCGCAACGCTACTCTTCTGTTCATTGGCCAGCATGTGCCTGGTAATTTTCAAAGGACTCAAAAGAAAAAGTGTACAAATACAATATCAAACTACGACATAGTCTGTAATTCTTCAAAGACTGAAGCCAAAGCACATTTAAGTATAAAAAGTAGCAAGCAAAAAGGTAAACACCATCTTGGATCAGTCACCCTCCAAGAGTACTACACTCCCACAATGAGCATAAGCATATGAGAGTTCAAGTTAGAGTTCTGCCAATAGAGAAGGTCACAGCTACAAATCGGACTGTTCGTAATCAAAGCCAGAAGATGAACGTTATGAAAATGCTCCACTAAATGTCCGACCATGCCAAGTCTATCGAAGCCTGGTCTATAAATTGACCTGCCATGCACAATAATCTGCAGCCACCTTGAAATTATAACTGAACTTCACCAGAATCAGAACAGCCTTAGTTTGTTGTCGATTACAAACCCGAGTGCATACAGTGTCAATAGAAGTTGCTAGTTTTGAGGTTGCAACATCATGATCTTGTTACCTCCAGAAACAGCAATACAGGAGCTCATTTGGAGATAATGTATTCACAAGCCACCAAGAAAACAAATACATTACGATGACATCAGAAATCATCCTTGGTAACTTTAAATTGGCGGTGGGTACTGCTTGGCTTGCTGCCTAACACGACGCTTGTATTCAACTGGATCCTGCAAGCAATGACCACCAAGTCCAAACCATTTGTCAGGTTAACTAACGTATACGATTGCAACATTACTTGTTGAACTAGATCAGAACCGAGGTTGGCCTACAAGTATCTATACTAAACAACATTCTAAGCTTAGCCTAAAAGTAGTATTCACTTCTACCACACATTGTCAATACAGGATGTATCACAGTTGTCATATAACTTTGAAAAGCTTGGCGTATTAGAGCATATACTTGAATAAAAAGCTGATAGGCTTCGGTTTGAGCGGGATCTGCTGGGTTCGGAGCGTCGAGAAGCTCCTGAATACCCACAAGGATCTGTTTTACAGTGATAGCTGGTCTCCAACCCTGTCAATCACACCCACTTCAGATGAAAAAGGAGAACGAAAGTCTTCTGCACATAATGGACCATAATGAGAGAGGAAGAGCTGCCTACTGAAACCAACTAACCGGGAAACAATGTGAACCCAGAACTGTCTGGGCCAAGACAATAGAGCCGAAATAATTCACCATAGGGAGAGGGAAAAACTGATTTGGTAACATGAACATAGAAAGATAAATTTTGAAGGTCAATGAAGAAAAAATCAGACATGATCCTTCACAAGGGCTGAGGGACGTACAGAATCTTCATTAAGGATGGATAGGCAAACTGTGCCTGAAGGATAAACGTTGGGGTGGAAAAAACCCTGTGGAAACTTGCACTTGGGGGGCTTGCTGGGATAATCCTCACTGAAGTGAATTGCTACAGGGTAAAATCCACCTTCCCAGTCCGTCTGGCAAAATCGAAATACATATACAAATACACTTTAGTACAAAACCTGACAGTACTGAGTTCCCACCACACGTATACGAACAATGCCTCAGGTCACCAGATGTGGTCTAAAAGCAATAATCTAGAAATCGCTCACTCGGACGAAATGTAACAAGAGCGGAAGCCAATAGTAGTCTCTTCACATAGCATCTGCAATCTCTAATACTCTGACAAACAATAGATAGCAGTCTGCAACAAGAAACATGCATTGTGCTCAAACAAAACACCACTCTCCAGGGTATAAGGGGCATCTCACAAGGAATGCAGAGATGGGACTCTGATGAAACATTGTGACTGTAAAAGGAAACAGGACAAGAAATCATACCCCAACTTTTCCAGGCAAAGTGCACTGCCAAACCATCAAATTTAGAGCTCCATCTGCACCTGTCTCCGGCCTCGCTACAAATCCCTGCCCATATCAAATCCGTAAACCCCTCGCCTATTGAGACAACTGCTCGAAGTCACATGCAAGGATTAAGAAACCTCTGAGAGTACAGCATAACAATATTCATTTCATCTCACAACGATACTGCCGTGAAGGCAATACAGGATGTTAACATGTATTAATAAATGACTTAAAACGGGAATAAGAAATCGCAAACAATCAGTCCAATGAACGTAAGGAAAAGCTCAATGGACTAGATACTAGCTAACTAAGGAGGAAGGACGTTCTGAGCTGTTCTTTTTTCCTCTGTTCCTTACTTTTGACGTCCTCCGGGGGATTGGGAGGGCAGGTATAGACTAAATAGTTGGCGACCAGCTGCAATCTTGAGAAATCCAGGGAGAAGTAAAAACATTTACAACGATGAACGTTGTTCATGACGTCCAGAGACGACGTGCTCTTTCCAGAATGTTCTGGATCGCCGGTACTCTTGACACACATCTCTACCTTTCTCTAAATAGAAAAAGGCTCAGAATAGCCACAATAGACCTCGACGTTATACCGTGATCTTGAGAGAGCTTGTGATGAAATATGAAGTTACTACATGTAAAGATGGTCTAGATCTTGTTCTGGTTAAGTGGAGCACAAGTCGAAAACGAGAGGAACTGATAGTAGGACATGGTTACATGTATCACACTCTTCAAATCCATGAATGAAGAAATCAAAAATGGGAAAAATGTCATGGTCGATATGAAGGAACAGAATACAACGAGAAGTGGCCACCTCACATACACACATGATGGGAAAAAAAAAAAAACAAAACAAAACCAAAAAAAAAAAAAAAAAAAAAAAAACAACAACAACAACAAGACGATACTAAAACTCAATGGAACTACCTAATAATCGAACAACGTCCAGAAAACCTACGGAAATAGAGCTAAGATACCAACCAACAACAACTAGTGTGCAAGCACACAAACTGCCAACAAAAAAGTCTAAGAAATGCAAAGAATAAGATCGAACTCGAGAATCAGGCACCAATGCCCTGAACTCGGTACTAAGTGCCGCTCGAATCCACATGACTGTCTCAACACTCGACTCACACCATTCGAACTACGAAACATCGAGATAATCAAAGGTAGCGTCAAAAGCTGGAGGCAAGAAGCAAGAAAAAATGTCGCAGCCACTTGAAAGCAAGAGAGAAAAATAAATAAATAAATAAATAAATAACAACAACAATAAAAATACATAAATGAATCCTCATCAAGTGCGCGCCTCGCGCAAACGAACAAAACAAAGACAGGGGCCAACTAAGGTCACAAAGCAGAAGAAGATGAAAAAAACAGGGAGCGAGGAGTATCGGTTTACATGAGGATGATTCTTGCGCCAGGCCTTGCGCTCCTCCGCAAGACGACCGCGTGCGATTCCTCCTGACATGGTTGTTGTTGTTGTTGTTGTCACGCTGCGCTCCTTCAAGCTCCGCCCTCACTCCTCCTCCTCGTCCTCTGCCTATGCTTGTGCCTCTGTCTGCAACTATGTGCTTGATATCTGCGCCTTTTTCCCACTGCGCCTTCGTCTTCATCTGAGCTGCCGCAGCATACACTGCTTTTGATCTACGCGGCCCACCATTCCCGTGGCAACCACTGCCGCCCAATGCCGTGTTCCCCCCTCGTGCGCTCACACCACAAGAAAAAGTAAAAAAATAAGAAAAAAAAAGCAAAAAAAGCAAAAAGTTTTCTCCTCTACATCCTTGGATGATTCTCAATCCCACGTTCATTCGTTGATGTAGGGTCCACGTGGAATATTTTCTGGACGCTTCCTTGTTGTTCATGGAGCCAAACAAGCATGAATTGTTTGTTTTATTTCAAACTATTGATGTTTCTGTGGTACTAAACTTTGCTTCTTTTTATTCTTCTCTTTATTTTTATATTTTTTATTCTTATATCAGGGTTAGGTTTTTTTCATAGACAAGGAATTGTCTAAGTCATGCAACAATAATGATCCATTGCATTTCTATTTCTTTTTTAATAGCCTATTTGTGTTGACTTTATTTAAAATAATAACGTTATTGTTAAGCAACTTATTCAAGGCAAAAGCCAATTATGTGTTCTTTTTATTTGGATATGTTTGAGAACCATACAAGACCCTCATATCACTTTATAAAGGTTTGTTAAAATACTTTAATGTGTTCTTGAGTTATTATCAAACTTGTCCACTAATTGGAGAGTTTGTCACATGGTCATTGTAGTAAGACTTTTAAATAAGATCTACTACATAATCTAATTGTTAGATAATTGATGGAGGTCCACGAGGTTGGGGCCTCCAAAGCTTGTGATGGATTTTCTTAATCAATCTTGTCATGGGTCAAAATTTGCATATAGTTATTCCAACGACCTTTCAATAAGCTATTGCAAAATACATGTAAAAACTAAAGACATCATTTTCTACAATGTTTTCATTGTAGAATTTATATATTATCCTATTTCCATTATCTTCAAATCTTTATAGACAAAAGATTAATTTCATTTTAAATTGGCACAATAAAAATATTCCAGAAATGTTATTTGAGTTATAACAGCAAAGAAAAGAAAAGAAAAGAACAACACGACAGAAAAAAAAAAACATGCAAAAAAATTATACTAATGTATAAGATAAGTTTTAACTAATTTACAAGTGAAATGTATTAATAGGTATAAAATATTTTAATTTAAAACTTTACCTATTAATAATATTACAATTTCTTAAGTCTACAAAAAAATAATACATAATAACAAAAATCATCTTATTATTTTGGCTGAAGTCAAAGTTGTTCATTTACTTACAAAAAACGCCTTATTTTCTGTGGCATGTATGTTTCGATGTTACTATTCGATGTTCTGTGGCATGTATGTTTCGATTTTGTGTTACTATTCTATTTATTCTGTTATAATCTATGGTTTTATACTTTGATTACCTCTAGCATGTATATATATATATATATATATATATATATTTAAATATTCATTCTATTATATTATGATGAAGTTGGATAAGGCGCTCCATAAAAGTACCATGATCATACATATATTTATTTATTTTAAACCATTTTTTTCCTCTAAAATCCTAAAGGAATGTACTGATAGTATAACGATTTGCATAACCCGTGTTTTTATTTGTCAGATTCTAGAAAACACCAAATTATTCCTCCCCAACATCTCAAATTTATTCAGTACTATTATTTTGAAAATTTAAAATTAATTTAGCCGTATTGAATTCCATTCTATTAATAACACACAGACAACTTCACAAACACTAAAATACAACCGATTATTTAACATATGCGTTTTGATCGACCCCTTAGAAGCCACATTCATCCATGGCCGAGCCCGGCTGGGGCTGCTGCTCACGGCAATAGGGCGGAATCCGCGGCACCCATCCGCCCTTTGGCAGCACAGGTGGGCTCTCTCTCTCTCCCTCCCTCACTGTCTTGTACTGTGCTTCCGGGGCACAAGTGTTGCTTGGCGATCGATGGCTGCCGCTGCAGATCGTCTTTGTACTCAGCCTGTTGCAATTTTCCTGTACTTTTTCAGGGTTACTTGGATGTAGTAGCGGGGATAATTCGAGGATATATTTATATAAATATTTTTTGATTAAATAAATAAATAAATAAATAAATAAATATATATATATATACATTTGTTGTAATTCTTTTTTGGCTTGATTAGGACTGTGATAGGAATTTCGGTCGTATGATTTAAGGCGCTGTGGTGAAGCGGACGGGGAGGTGGTGAAGGGATTGAGGAGGTTTGAAGTCATGGCAGCATCCGGGGGGAGGAGAGGGATGAAGGCGATAGGGGAAGCTTTGATGCGGTCGCAGAGGAGGACCGTCACGTACATGCCGCGGCCCGGGGATGGTAGTCCAAGGGCCGTCACGTTGTTGCCTGGGGATGGAATCGGGCCATTGGTCACTGGAGCGGTGGTGCAAGTGATGAAGGCGATGCACGCGCCGGTGTATTTCGAGGAGTATGAAGTGTCGGGGAAGATGGACAAGGTGCCGACGGAAGTCATGGATAGTATTCGCCGAAACAAGGTTTGCTTGAAAGGAGGCCTTGCCACGCCTGTTGGAGGAGGTGTTAGTTCTCTGAATGTGCAGTTGCGGAAGGAGCTGGATTTATTTGCTTCACTCGTGCATTGCTTTAACTTGCCAGGCCTTAAGACGCGCCATGACAATGTCAACATTGTGGTTATTCGGGAGAATACCGAAGGGGAGTATTCTGGTCTTGAGCACGAGGTCGTCCCCGGGGTCGTCGAGAGCCTTAAGGTACATATTTCGTTTTCTGACCTGAAAAATAACACTACTCTATGTTGTGCCTAGTGATTGTAATATTTTCTGTCCAAGCATTTTTTTCACGCCTTTGTTTCTCTAGGTTTGTTGGAGATGAATCGGTGCAACGAAAATTTGTATCATCTTCCATCATCTTGGAATATGAAACACTTTTAGGTACTGATCGATGTACTTGGTTCTTTGTTAGCATCACTCCGGTGAACGAATTGCTGCCATAGTAGAGGTTCAAAGTAATTCCGTTTTCGGAAGATCGACATCGGTGTGCCACAAGTGTGGGTTTAGCTTACCTACTTGGAAGCATACTCGTCGTTCTTTTTTATGAACTGCTCTTCAGAATTAAGTTTTGTGAAGAAGTGGTCATTTCAGGGTCCATGGTAAATTAGGCGGTAGCCCTTTGTCTGATGATCATTTGGAGACTGCGTCAACATTTGGCAGCATCTCCTCGTCATGCTTCATGCATTGTGGAAATAATCTTATCTACTGCGTGGTACCTGTCAAATAATTCTGTAAGTGCCTTACAGTGCCAAGATGTTCAGGTAATCACCAAGTTCTGCTCGGAGCGCATTGCGAAATACGCCTTTGAGTATGCTTATCTCAACAACCGCAAGACAGTAACAGCAGTGCACAAGGCCAACATCATGAAGCTTGCAGATGGCCTTTTCCTAGAATCTTGCCGTGAGGTAGCTAAAAACTATCCAGGTATCAAATACAACGAGGTTATTGTGGATAACTGCTGTATGCAGCTTGTGTCGAAGCCCCAGCAGTTTGACGTCATGGTAAGTTTCTACTCGCATCTCTGTGATTTATCTGTTTGTTAATTTTAGGAATCGTGGCCGTTGCTTGCACTCAAGAAATGGTCCTGTGTCTGGTGGCTTTATGTTGCTTGGGTAGGAACTTAGAATTTTAGTTTGCATCTCTGCTTTTTTACATTGTTCGGTTTTCATAAGGCTTGGAAAACGATATTTAGCTGCACGTTTGGTGAGTATTTGAAAGGGCGTGGTATGATTTTTGCAGGTAACACCAAATTTGTACGGAACTTTGGTAGCCAATACCGCAGCTGGTATTGCAGGCGGAACTGGTGTCATGCCAGGAGGTATGTCCGTTTGTTTTATTTTTCAGCTTCTTGTTATCACTGTAATAGACCGATGAAGACCTTGTTCTAGTCTTGTTTTTGGAGTTCAAACTCAGATGACCACATACAATTTGTGTGGCACTTGTCATTTATTGTCTTCGATACACTATTTCAAATCCCACATTCAAGGTAGTCCTTGAGAATCTGAGTATTTAGACAGGTGAATTTCATTATCACCATCCTCTGGTGTATTGTTACTATCTCATCCTTAGGCCAGGTTGCAGATAAAAGCTGCTTCTACGGTTTTCAACTGATCAGTCTTGTAATTTATCTAATGATCATTTTTGCTTGCAGGCAATGTCGGAGCTGACCACGCTATTTTTGAGCAGGGAGCTTCTGCCGGTAATGTGGGAAATGAAAGACTGGTTGCTGGTAAAACAGCCAATCCCACAGCACTGCTCTTGTCATCCGCCATGATGCTGCGGCATTTACAGTTCCCATCTTTCGCAGACAGGCTGGAGCAAGCTATGATGGCTGTCATAGCGGAGGGAACCTACCGCACTAAGGATCTCGGGGGCACTAGCACTACCCAAGACGTAGTCGATGCTGTTATTGATAAGCTACAGTAACTGCCTCATTTTTATTTATTTTATTTATCCTGTGCTACAGCGTTGGTGACTTATTTGAAGCAAGTTTCTGTTTGTAGAAATTGTTTCTTCCCACAATTCCGCCATCAAGTTTAACAATGGTCTTGCCTATTACTGGTACGTCTGTGATGAAAAGTAAAATCCTTCCACATAGCCGATGTCGGCCAAATGGGGCAGATAGCAGGTTCAGGATTACATATTGTTGTACGAATAAGAATTGAGATGGCCATCCGCAAGCCACAAATAAAGAGAAAGTTGCGTCAGAAGTAGGAGCGCAGCCTTTATGGCAGGTCTATGCCAACGTTGCTGCCACCATCACTGACAGCACCAACATTCTAGGGTACAGGGTGCGCCATGTTTTGATGTTTCCGCCCTGGTTGAGGCAATTCTCATGGGGATAATAGTCACCATTCTTTGTGTATCCTTACAGTCAAAGTTCTCGGCTGCTCGAATTCCACGTTTGTTTCACGCTGGATTTGTCGAGGCTTGGTTACAAAATACACAAGGGATGATGAGCGGGCGCGAACTGTCAGCTTAGTCATAGTGCATGTTGGTTGGGATCCTGGTCCATAAAACTGGGCTTGAGACGGGCCTACTGTATGTATGTTCCAGAATGAATAATCGTTACGATTCTATATCGTAGGCTCTTACTTCAAAATTGTTGATGGGGGCTTCACGGATGAAATGTAATGAATCGCAGTTATTTGGCTGAGGGTTTTGTTGATTACAGAAGCTCTTACTAACTAAATTGTCGCTGTTGTAAATCGTAATGTTTTGATTCTCCTATTTCATTGTTTTTATCTTATTCTATTATGATCCATCATTGATTGAATTTTTTGAATCCTTGTACATGTAATTGTTAATTCGTTTAGTCGGATGAGGTATTGTGTCCCTTTTATCAATCCTAGATGTTGAATTTCAGTCCCATAAATAACAACAAAAAGGAAAATAATTCAAAATTTCTGATTTCGTTTAATTATATTGAATACATCTACTATTTAAAAATTCTTTAAGATCAGGTTGTGCTTGTGTATGTAAGAAGATATACTAATTTTGTTTTGTAAGTTGAATTTGAACAAACAAAGTACCAAAAATTCTTTATAATTCATTATATATTTTTTCATATAATGTTTAGAGTTCTTTTATATATATATATATATATATATAGAATTTAATGTTGAGTCAAATTTCGTAATTTTTTTGATGTAACAATTTTCTGATTTTAACATTACTTTTTATAGTTTATAATTGCAACAATTTTAAATGTATATAAACATAATCTTAGCAATAAACATATGCTATAGGATAACTTCAAAACCATTAATGTATATTTTAAGTTTACGTTAAATAATCATTGGCATATATCTTAAGAGGTTTTTATATCTAAAAGCCTTAACAAGGTCTCTTTTTTTAATTAAAGAAAAGCCATCTTTTAGAAGGCATCTTTTTGAGATAGTATGAAGTTAAAAGAAACCATATAAAAAATCTATATATATATATATATATATATATATTTTTCAAAATGGTTGTTAATGCTCTATTCAACTTGTCTATGATTATTACTTACTTACTTACTTTCTTAATAAATAAATAAATAAATATTTTTCTATATCTTCATTCATTTCTATTTCTACTATTTTTATTGTTTTTGATAAATTTAAAAAAATTTCAATACTATATAGAGAAGATATAAGGATGTTGTAATGATATTGTATTGATGCTTGTATATGATAATACAGAGTGTTATTAATATGTAAGTGTAGTAATTTTAGAAGAATATACAAATAGAATAATTATTATAAGTTGTCTTTGTTATGGAAGTATAAGAGATTGTATTATTTTTTCTTATAAAAGATCATGTGATTTTTTAGATTAGTTTTTGTACTTTATTTATTTATTTGTATAACTAACAATGAAACAACAAAGTACATTGTTAATTAATTAGTTAATTTTAAGTAAAAATAAAATAAAAATTTTATGGCATTAATTTGGAATTAGAGATAGGTTGCAAGATATATAATATTTATTTAAAATTTTAAGCAACAAAAAATTGGTAAACTTAAGAAAATTATGCAAAGTAGTGAAAATGTAATTATATATATATATATATATATATATATATATATTTATAAATATACATATTTATTCTAATATTCTAAATATTTATTCTATATGATTAAGTAAAAGTAGGTAAAAATAGAGTTATTTATAATATTTTTAAGAAAAGCTTCTTAAAAGCTTCATAAAGGCTAATTTGACTTTACATGTATTTGTAGTTGATTGATAGGTTAGAAACTTAGTCAACAAGTTAACCATGTGCTGGTAGCTTGTAGAACAAGGTAATTATGTGGCACACATATATAGAAAACTTGCCTTGCAAGTTCAGATATATGTATTGTAAAGTCAACATGTTTTGGAGGTTTTATAAGACATTGCCATGTAGCTCTTAGTTAAGAGTATATATGGAGGCAAGAGTGAAGTCTTCTTCACTCTTGTCAACACCTTTTTAGTCCTTAGTCTTGTTTCAAGACTTTCTAGTCTTCTTGTTTTTGGCAATAATCATTCTAGTTTAATACTATATCATCTTTGAGTGATTTTCTAGTCTTTTCAAGTATACAAGAATGTATTGATATTTTTTGTTCTTTGAGGTTCATGTCCTTGACAATCTTATGCACAATTTAATAATTTAGTTGAATTTAAGATTTTAGTAAGTAAATTTATAATTTTATATTAAATAATTTATATTATAGAAGCCATTAATAAATCAAATATACTATTACTTATTCTACCAATTAACAAAAATTATCCTTACTACCATAGATCATTTTATTCAATCATATTACAAGATATTATACATATCAATTATGTAGTTTTTTAAATTTTTAAATTTATATTTATATTTATATTTTTATAATTATATTATGTATTTATAAATAAGATTAAAAAGAACTTATTTTTTTTATAAAGAAAAGATTGCCATATAAATTGATCAAAAATGCCATATAAATTGATCAAAGATGCCATTTATCTGATGAGATCCAAAATGTAAAATTCATCCAAAGATTCAAGTAATGATTTTTTTAGCACAAAAAATAAAATAGATCATCATTTAATCTTCTACACGTGTTTATAAATTACTTATAGAAAGATTTAGTCATGACTTTTTGACTAAAATATAGAATTTAATCTAAGATTTAGATTTTAAAAAGTATTTTAAAAAAATTGGTTTAAGAATAATTGATTTTAAAAATAAAACACTTCTATATTATTTAAAGAATTTTTTTTTTTTAGAAGTTACAGAAAGACAACTAAATCTTTATAGAAGTAATTGTTTTTTATACAATTTGTAGTTAAACTTTTAAATTTTAGTGATTTGGATGATAAATAATTAAAAAAACGTCACAATTTTTCTAGAATATATATCACATGATGATTCAATGTTTTTATAAAAAATATGAAAAAAACTTAAAAGATTAATAATATATATATATATATATATATATATATATATTTAATATTTTTGCTACTTAAATTTTTGTTTTTGTAAAAGTTGACTTATAAAACTTTTTTATCTTGAAGTGCTTTATTTTATTTTATTTTTATTATTAAAATATTCTTCTTAATTAATTACACTTGCTGGAAGTTAGAATTTGATACTTGCTTTAGTAGAATTCTATAGTTCTATTTGGCCAAAAAAACTTACAATCTTGATGTTGGTTTAATTCTAAAATTTTATTTGCACTCTTATTGCTCTTATAACATGTATACATATTTTTTCTTGTCTAATTTTTATGAACTATTAGATCTACAAATTATTGTCATTATTTGTAGTTGCAATTTTAACAATGTATTTATAGATACAAAAAATCATCAAAAACAATGAAAGTGTCAAATTGAGACAAAAAATTCAAAACATATCTTTAGATGGTTAAGTTATCTTAAAAAGTTTTTTAATTTTTTTAAACAGCTATCTAGATTATAAAATTTAAGTGAATAGGAGATAAAAAATAAAAATGGAACATTGGTAGAAATAAAAATATGATGGATTGGAGTACACAAAACTATAGGTCAAGTTGTTAGTGATCCTTGGTTCTATTTCAACTATTACTTTTTGAAGCAAGTCTTTTTCGATCAAAATCAAATACAAGAAAAATAAAAGAGGCATGAAGAATTTTTAGTCTTTGATACCTTATAGCAAAAAAAAAAAAAAAAAAAAAAAAAAATAGGAACAAAAATTTTGACCAAAATAACTCAAAGTCTATTAATCCAAAAGTTTGTAGATATTACTTTGGATGAATACACACATGGTTTTGTTCTTGTTTTATTTTGATTTATTTATTTGCCTTTGAAATCCTTCATCTATTTCAACTTTTATAACTTCTTTTATAAGGAAAAAATTGTATAGAAAAAATAAATAAAAATAGTTCTTTTTTTGACAAAAAATATAAATGTCCTTTTAAAGAGGTCATGAATAGTTACTAAAAATAAAGTCCTTTAAAAAGTTTGCTAATATCAATCATTAAAAAGTCGACTAACTTTATCAGAGTCATTCTAAAATTAGAATCTTTATCGATTTTTAATTAAAGTTCTCAAACTTTTACAAAAACACCACTTCTTAATGAAGACCTAATATAAATTTTAGAAGAAAAGTTTGTTCATGCTATGTAAAAAAAAAAAAAAAAAAAAAAAATGTTATATCTCGTGTCCCCTTCTTAATGCTTTTAGGCTGATTTCTCCCAAAGCCAATCAAATGAATCTTCTCAATTTCAACCAACCAAAAAATTTAAAAGTTGTGACCTATTAATCTTACCTCTATACAAAGACTCTCTTAGCCCACATCTTCTTTCTTTGATTTTATCCTTTTCCTTTTCAATTTGATAGAATCCTTAACCATTATAAAGAATTATATATTAGAAAACAAATAACCCGTCTTCCAACTTGTCAAGGCGTAACTGCTAGTATTCAAAGGTTGATCTCTTAAGCAATGAGAATGTACAGTATCTGGTTTTTACCTCATCCATTCCAAATATGTCATTGTTATTTCTCTTAGAAAACAGCAACGTATGCTTTGCCCTCAAAATAGGGGATGTATGTTCTGCACAAACGTGTCAACGTTTTCATCAATTGGAAGACTTAACCTGAATGGTCCAAAGCGGAAGTACAACGTCCATATACAAGGTGTCAGGTGTTCAAGTTCAGCTACAAACTGGCTTCATTTTCATCATCAGGTAACTCTATTTCATCTGGGTCTCTTGAAGCCTCTAGTTCATCAATATCATCAGGTACAACCGCTTTTTCTTCAGCATCTTCGTCATCCAGAGGAATCTCATCAGGGTCAGCTGCAGCTGAAATTGCAAGAACAAGCTATCGTATCAGCGTATTGACAAAAATTATGCACCATAAGTACAAGTAATACTACTGCTAATGTTTCCACCGATAGCAATATTCATGATGAAGAGGGATAAGACAAAGGGGTTAGCAAACATGAATATTTGTTGAACAATAATGTCTTCACCTTGAGAGAGAGCTTGTTGTTGCCATGGAGTTGACTGTGGTTCTGAATCTAACAAATAAGGCAAGTCCAATAGCTCTAAAAATGCCACGGTTTGTGGATTCCGTTGATGACCTGCAGGTATATTAAAATCAAAATTAATGTAGTGGAAGCTTGGACTTAAGCCTAGATACACATTGGATGCTAAGCGTACATGAAAAATGCTACCAAGTGAAAAAGTTCACTAGTATGTCATGAAGAACAATAGAAGTGTGAGTCAACAAGAGGAAAATCCGGACACTATCATCACAACTTTTAGAACTGTTTATTTGCATATATGTATGTACGCATGTATGCATTTATATACACATGTGTGCGTTTGTGTGAGAGCGAATGTGTAGAAAGAGAAATACCTGAGGATTTACCAACTCTACCACCAGGCTTATTTGGTTCATACGGTGGTGCAGTCTGGATGAATTTTGTGGGAATGGTTGATCCTTTCTCAGCAAGTCGCTTCCGAACCCACACCCTATGTGGCTCTAATTCCACATGATACCTGATAAAACGAGTATTAACATCCAATTAAATGAAAATATCTCGCATTATGTGAAGACAGAATGGACCAAGTACCAACATGAGTCGAACACATAGACATTAGGGATACCAAAGAGAACCACAAAATTAATTAACCAAAAAATGGCAGCTAATGAGAATAGTTAAATGAAAGACATTTCAGTTTTGTCCAGCAAGATAAAGGCTTCACCAATCACCATTGAACAGGCCTTCGACTTAAGGGCATCTGAGGGTGATGTGCCCGAGTGATAGCCAGCCAGTCATCATCGTAAGTAAACTCAAGAGGGCTATCCGTATCTGCTACGTCGAATACCTGAAGTAGTTGCATGGAAGGATTAGCATGGCAGTGAACAAGGACGACTTGCAGCAAAGGTAGTTAATAATATAGGAGCATTCTAAACCAATTATAACCAACGACGTAGTATACAATTACAAGATTCAAAAAGGAATTGCTACACACATAGATTATCAGTCAGAATCCCAAATTGGAAAATTGAACATGGAACACTTTAGTATGTATCTTCAGAAAAAAGATACCGACCTTTACAGAGAAGAGAAGTAGAGATGGTGGTTGCAAATAATCACCTGCAAAAAATTACGACGAGGAAGACACTTGTCGAGGGCTAAAAACTTCGTCGCTTTTTTATTAGGATGGTGGATCACAGCAGCAAATTTTGTGTGCAAATGAGCCGAAAACCAGTATTCAGGCTTTAGCTTATGAAGCAGCTCCTTGCCTGGAGTACTTCCTAGAATATCTTGTTCTACCTAGGCAAGAAGTCAGTCAGGGTCAATGAGACGACCATTTAGCCATATGCGATCTTTTACTAGGAACAAAACAAAATAAAATGCTTGCGATACCAACGTCCGAAAATCAAATATTCATGTGAAGTAGTTTACCTCTTTTCGAAAGAAAGGTTTATGTCTGAGAAGTTGCTCCACATCTCGTTGAGGAGCATGTTTCACTACGCCTCGAGGCCAATCATGCGAAACAAAAACATCAATTGCTCCTTGCAGTTGCAAAAGCTTGTTAACGTCGTACTCCCTCACGTGATAAACTGACCGGAGGTCACTAGGATCATACGGATAACGCTCAAAGTGGCCTGTTCATCTAATAGTATCAAAATCAGCAAGGTTGTAGAGGGTAAACAAATCCTGCAGCTTTCAGTCTAGCGTGCAAAGCTTAGCAACAACCAGACTACTAGGATCCGATTCCGAAACTGCACATGCAAAAGATTCAAAAAGAAACCACAACTAGTACATGATCGACAGGGATGAGTTGCAAAGACTATCAACACAATCACCTTTGCGATAGTCACCCTCCTTATAAATCCCCGACAATCCCGCTATTCTTACGCCGCCAAACTTCACAACGCCAGCAAAGCCTAAAAAATAGATGTTGGGTGCCACAAATCCACCATAATACCTGCCCTAGCCACATATCCTTCAAAGAGCGGTCAAAAACATTATTCCATCTTCCCGTGAAGGCCATCAACCATCTTCCAGAGCTTGTGAATGATTGTTCATAATGTCGATCGCAGCAAGGGAGTCAAGACAATGGTACTTACAGATCCCACAAATAATTGGATGCTTCGTGATTTCCACCTACAAAGATGGTGGGATAGGGTGCGCGCTCGACTCCCGCATAATACTTCCAAAAGCTGTTCATACTGCGGTACTTCGGAGGACAAGCAAGAGATTCCATATCATCCTCATTTCTAATTGCCTGCATAGAGAACAGCAAATCTCAACGCCTATGTGAGTTTTCAAGGCGCACACAGTCATGATCAATGCCTACTTGGAAACAGTGGCATGCCCTCCAACAAGAAACCCTAACCCCCTAAACCCTGAAACTCTTTACGCAACACTGCAACCCCATGACAATGACGAATGTTGCACCTGCAAGCTCACTGCAGCACCGCCTTCGTACCGACAATTTCAACACCTTCAAAATCCCGGGCATTGGCCAGACAACAAACCTGAAAATCGCCGCAGCATATGAGAAGGTCGATTTTCACATTCTCCACTCTCTCTAAGTGCTGCAAAGTGGCGTAGATATCATCAAGGTGACCATGGACGCAACCCTCCACCGCAATCTGAGATTCACCACCACAAAACGAGCGAGAGAGAGTGAGAGAGTAAACAAACTATTCTCCATCAGTCAAATCCATGTCCACCGCAACATAACATGCAGAATCATCTCACCACGGCGGCATAATCGATAGAAAAGTAGAATCCCTCCCCACTCACCTTCATAGCGGAGGCTAGATAGATAGAGATTTCTCAGCCGAGCCTCGACAGCAAAAACCCAACTCACACTTCCCTTCCAAAATTGGCAACGATCCTTGCTCGCCCACAATGACTACCACGAAAGCACGATTCTCCGAGCACCAGAGGAACTAGCAGTGATCATGCGACACAACCAACAGCGTTGCCCTTCAACGACGTCGACGCCCGTTTGAATGCATCCAGCCTCTTTCAAGGAAGCTTTCCTGTTTCGTTATGAGCGTATTTATACGAATTCGTATATAAAATATACGGTTGTATGAATCCTACGTGGCACTGGGTTTCGTTTATATTTCTTTTATTTCTTTTTGTTTTGTATTTATGGCGATGTGGTATTTGGGATTAACTCATCATGTATTTCAATTTCTTTTTTCCTTTTTCTTTTATTTTCCCACTACTCAATTTGTGGATGAATGCCATACATGGGGTCATGTATTGGCAAGGGATTTTTGGCTTTCAAGTTTGTGACCTACTTTTTGTCCATGAGCATAGAGCAATAGGGTGGGCACAAAATAAAGAAATAAAATATATATATATATATATATATATATATATAATTTTTATATTCAATATATTGTACATATAATTGAGAGAATAGCTAAAGTGGTATATTATACCCAAGAGGTTTTGGATTCAAATGTGGATGGTGGTATTGGCTTTGGTTTTCTTTATGGGTTGATTTATCTAACCACAATATATTGTTTGAGAAATATTATATTTGTTCTTGAGCTACCAATTTAAGTAGGCATGTTAAAAAAATTGGATTCACTTTTATTTAGATAAACATTGGTTTTGAAAATTCATTCTCCAAAGTATCTAAGCTAAGGATCGATTCTTAGATTGCCCAAATTGGCCAAATTGTATTATATTTTTCAAAATTACATTGTCAATTATAAGATGGGTGAGTAAATTTTTTTATAAAATTTAATGAACTCTGAAATTTTATTCTCATTTTTAAAAATAAATATACATTAAGTGAATCTTGCAAAAAAAATTGGCAATATTATCTTTTAAAAACATGTGTGCTTTTTGAACAAGTGTTGCATGTATAAATTTATTTTTCTCAGAAAGAAATGGATCTTTTTAAATTTAGGAAAATAATCTATAGTGTCAAAAATACTTTAGGAATTAAAATTTAACATGAGAGGTTAGGATTGGTAAGTACATAAAAGGGTTTGTTAACATATGAGAATATCATAGATTCTTTCACAAACATACGATGAAGGTTTTACACACACTTTTTAATTTAACTAGATGACATTAAAAGGTATTGTCTCAAAGATGCTTCTTTTTCAAGAAAACAAGTGTTTGTAAAAGTAGGAGAGAAGAGAAAAAACTCTCAGGTCGTAGCTTTGGCATAAAACTTACGTCTCACGTTTCTAGAAAAATTTTATACCTCAAATTACAATAGCAATTGATGATGAAAATACTGCAAGTCTCACCAACTCAATTTGTAGTTACAACTGCATTACAAAGAAACTGTACATGTATCCAATAACAACCTTGCTAAAACAGATCCATAAGTGATAAAATGAAATATGCCATCAGTGTTTGCCATTGAGCATTCTTACCAAAAATTTTAGAACCTAATGCAAAGAAACCTCTTCTTAACATTACAACTTGTGTAAACAAGGGTTTAAGCAGGTGAACACAAATCCGGAGAAAACGGATAGTCTCTAACGGTGTGGGTATAGAGCCAACAAATTGTAACGTCTGCTTCTAGATGGTCACTGCTAACTCCATGGATGAGAAGAAAAGGTCAGCAAAGCAAGTTCTGAAGGCGTGGCCTAACTTTGCCTAGAAGCCTCCCACACCCTGTATTTCGCAAATTTATACAACTCTAACTAGAGCAAGCCGGGGGCATTTACATTTTATGAAAAAAAAAAACTTTGATGGGGTTTACAAACCCACATTTTGCCTACATGCTGAGCGCACCAATAACGTTGATTCCTTACAATTTAGGTCAAATCTTGCCACTTTTCTCTTTCCAAGAGGTACTTGCAGCTCAGGAAAGTGAGTTGTGCACACGCTCAAGCAGGCGCAACACACGATCGACAGCAAGGCTTCGTTCTAAAAAAGAGGAACCTGGGTTTGGAACACTAAGAGAGACAACGCCCTGAGGTTCGGTTAATACATTCTCCTGTTGTGCGCTTGTTAATTCTAGAAACTGACACAGCATGTCGCCATCAAGAACTTGGCAGACTCCCGCCTGCATTCAACCCAGTTTAGGTAGAATCACTACACTGGATCTGGAACTTGTCATCCACATCACCCAAAGGAAGCCTAACACCATACACTCGTTACATCGTATCCTAATAAAAGCATCTAGATGAAAAGCACCCTGCTGCGCACTGAACACTGACATCCACATCTTTCAACTTACAATAACAAACTTTGATGGTTAGGGTAACTGATTAGCGATTCTGGGAATACTTACAGGGCATCCTTGGCCGCGATAATCCTCATGGTTGTTCCCAAGAAGTGGAGTAGTAATGGGATAATGTGCAAGCCGAGATTGCACAGCTTTCAACAGATCGTATTCCTCCCTATACAAGAAATATACGTGGAATTGGTATACAGGTAAGTGATTAGCGATTCAAACATAATCTAAAAGTACAAGGAAATATGATGTGACGTAGTAAACGGATGCCCCCACATTCTAATTTGAACTTTAATGTGTAAAAATTGAGCAAGTTTCAAATGCACTGGATAGATTAGAGAGCTCAATACTAGAAGAAAATTTGAAGTAATGCCATGGATTGATCTATTACCTTGTGACTTTGATAAATATGAACACACTTCCAAGAAGTGAACTGGCAACTACAGACGAATGAGTAGGATGGGCGATAGCATCATTGCTACCACAGTTCTTCATACTCTCCTCTGCAGGGCTTTCATATGCAAAAGAGGCCTGTCACAAACAAGAAAACGTCAAATAAACACGCTTTGAAAACATTTCCCAGCACCCAAAAAAGTGAAAAAAGTAAAAAAAAGAACAAGAATGCACATTCTCAGATTTTCAACATAAAGAACGACGATGCTATCTACGATTGCTCAAGGGCCTTAAGTGCTTATTATTTACCAGAACACCTTGCGTAAACTGTAGCTATGGTGGGATAAATCAATGATTAGTACGAGGTTGGTCTACAGTCTCTACACGTTTCTGAAGATATAGATCACTTCTTACCTTGTGAATCCTCATCAAAGTTTCGCCTATGTGGTACCAGCAACCCAAAGATAGGTTGCGCTCTGGACTCACGCTTTCTGCAAAAACTGTACGTTAACAGGAAAAATTACAACCAACTCAGAATTATGCTTAAATTACGGTCCAAAACCCCAAAGCTCATACAGAGACTACATGTGCACGGCATTTCAAATCACGAACCGCAGCCAGACAGAAGTTCAGATCACCTTCAGGAGTGCTGGCACTGGAAAAGGTGCAGAAGTTCCCACGACGGTCTGTAACCACAGCAGTGTCGGTATCCATGAGAACGCAATCTGCAACAAGTTGTTGGATGCCACCGCAGTACAATAGCTCCAGCTGCCCGGAGACCTACGTACAAGAGCAGAAACACACCAGTTTATCACATCAAAGGTAATCAGGAGTCGGTCAGAAGCACTTAAAGCAACCAGTAATTGCTATTAGTGTCAGTGACAAATTTATCATCCTATAAGCGATGCCCGCTTTCTTGAGGATGTGCTTCACTACAATTTTGAAACTACATGCACACGTTCTATAAAAGCTTGAAGTACCTCTTGATATGTATAAAATAGAATTCCATCCCGACAATCACCAACTGCAATCCTTGAGAGATGAACCGAAAGACTTGTTATCATAAAACGTGTCTTAACCATGGCCATTCTCCGTAATCGCTGTGGTGAATCAGGTCGAAATCCTAGACAAAATAGCTGATGACCCACCAAATCAGAATTCAAACTACCATGCATTACAACCTCAATCGTAAACAAAACGAGCCGCACACAGCAATGTACAAAATAAATAGTACGAATCACTTTATCTCTTCATTAAAATTAAAAACGAAGGGCAACAACTTTTAGAAACACAAGATTGAAGCAATTCTACTCAAGCCTGAACGTCGAGAAATGTTTCCATTACTTACACAATTGCCAGCGGATGCAAGTACATACTGCCCTAAGTATGAGCTCACAGATAGGACAGCACCGGGCAGAATAATATGAGTTTTAAGCCGCAGCTCCCACCCTTCGCCATCGGTTAAATCACTCTCATCAGATTCCGAAAGCACCATAGGATCCGCTGCCGATGAACCAGGAGTTGATTGGTTGGATAAGGTTGGAGTATTTGTAGAACTCATTACAGGCTGTGAATGTGTTCCTACGTGCTTCGACAGCAGCTGAAATACCAACAGTCGGCCTTTTGCGCTACACAAAATAAAGAAATTATTAAATTTCGATCTAAATTACTCAAAACACATCAAATGATTCAGAAAATCGAATCTCTTCATAGCCCACAAACAAGCGTCACTATAAACATAGAACCAATTAAAAGATTGAAGTCCATACAAAAGACCGGATAAGTAGAAGCAGAACCAGCATAGAAGGCTTTAAATAATTTCTTCAAGACAAATTGCTCCACAAGACAAGCTGGACCTAAAATTAGAAAAAGATCAAGCAGGACAAAAAGGAGTAGACTCGTATATCTGTGCAAGTACCTCTCTGCTTCACCACTCGACATAATACCGCCGCCACCAATGAGACTGGTTCCAACCAGCAAGAGCTGTTCCTGTCTGCGCTTCCATAACTGGATTGAGCGGGCCACCTCTCCAGCATCGAGAGTGTAGCAAGAGTAATTGGCACCACTGAGTGGATCAACACAGCATACATCAGAAACCAAGCCGCCATCAGGTCCATAGTCTGTTCGCATCACGATCAACGTCTTCGACTCTGTGTGATACAGAACCCTACGTGGAGTTCGGCCCAGGGGCAATTTTTGTACGTTGAGGCGCTTTAAATGCTCCATTTCCACCTGATATATTCGTGTCAAAACAGTACAACCCAATCAGCACTGAAGATGAACCCACAACAGTCGATTGTAACTTAAGACCAAGTACGTATAACACGAATTAGCTGATAAAATTACCAGAATGTATCAGGAGGGCCATACATGACTATCACACCAAAAACAGATAAAGGTCCAAACATCAGATGCAAAAGACTAGAGAACCAACCAAGTGTAAACTGCAGTCCGCCACGAAAAGTATACCATTAGGACAGTCAACTGAGTTTACAGGCGCGGCATGTGAAGATGATGGAAAAGAAATGGAGGTGTGTGCAATGCGTTGGCTATGTCTTGCCGTTTGCAGTAACCATGGCCTATCACTGAGAGCAATGACATCAGCACTCAGTGAAGCCTGCAAAGAGATTAAAGAAACAGGAGAAACACCCATTCTCCGTACAGCGACCAGATGTAGTAAGACTGGTGATGAATCTTCCAACACGTCCTTGTCACCACCCAAATTCGGTTGTGTGATCCCGATGTTTTCCCAATCTGAGGTTGACAGCAGATTCGTGCAATCTGGAAGCGTAGCAGTAGAGCTAGCTGGCCACTCATAGCGCAAAAGCATTCCATTCCTTAACCCAGCAAGAATGTAGAGTCTATCAAACTGTGCAAGCCTAACACTTTCAGGAACACATCCACTAAGTGTTGTCCCTACACAGCTTACAAGAGAAATGTGACCCACAGCCAGAGGAGCCAAGCCCTCACCAGGAACTATAGAAAGAACCTCCACTGATGGCTCATGCGTCCCTACGACGCAGATCCTCCCCACCTCTACCCCTGATGGGTTCCTACTTTTAGGAGTGCCTTCAACCAGTCCAACAATAGACGGGGGCAGAGGCGATGAGGTCCAATCTTCTTCGTCAGGAATTGATATACAAGACAGTTCTGCTTTTAATTCGCATTGTTGTGTCATACAGAGTTCCAGAGCCCCATTAGCACCACGCTGAGAACCCAGCATCACAATCAGCCCTGGTTTAGATAAGGCTAACACAATGGCCTTACTAGCTACTGCTCCCAGACTCACAACAAGACCCTGTGGAGGTTTCCATGATGAACAGAAAGGAAGAGGTGAATCTATGCCCGCTGGATGGGCAGTTTTGGTGGGTACGCACACAATGACTTCTTTGCTGCAGACTTGTACCACATGGTAATCCTCAATTGTTCCACACGCAAGTGTAGATGCGCAAGGCTGAAACCCTACAGCTTCTGTGATGTCTACAAAGTTGAGCCCAACTGAAAGGACTCTAGTTTCCTGAACAAAAGACATCACAAAAAAGGCATGGTATGGATCTCTGCAGCACATCCGCATGGTATATGTACCTGTCACACCCTGGGAGCTCACCGTGTCATGAATGCAGAAACTTATGTTCAAAACATGCGAACAAGATGCGCACAAAATCGCATCCGAAGTCAATAACAGAAGACACGTATGATCTCACATGCGTAAATGAATGATACGGACAATACTAACCTCAGATTTTCATAAGAACGACCTGTCACATTATTAACCTCTTCACTATTCAACACAAATTCGGCAATGACACAAGAAGCGTTTCCCAGAAGCACAGCTTAAGGGAGATTGATCACCTGATAAATTGGGGACGTCGTGTAAAGCTTTTCAACACTGATGCCATTTCGTATCACTCGTAATGAACCCTCGTTTCCCGCCCCAGAGCACGCAAACATTTGATCTTGTTTCTCATTATGGTAGTCAGCTAATGAAAAATCAAGAATAGGAGCCACGTTCTGAATAAGGCTCTTGAAGATCAATTTACCATTATCACTACATTGAAGAACCTGCCCATCCCCCATCTCGACAAATACGGCAAGTAAACCTCCCTTTGTCCAAAGTACTACATTGCATGGAGAACATTTATACTGCCGCTGCTGGACTTCGATTCGAGGTACATCATCGGGACTTTCGAAAATCAACCGTGCCAAGTGAATCTCCCCAGTATCCATAGCCAGTGCAAGTCTCGATTGACCCTCAGCGTAAGGTTCCCAGCTCCACGCCGTGATAGTTGGTAATGACGATGGGTCCCAATTCAAATCCATAACTTCTGTGGGTTCACCATTACTACTGGAAGCTGGACTCTTTGTACTAGAGTCATCTTGACCTCTTGATAAAAGCTCAAGCAGTGCAGATGCTGCTACGCTGTTCAGGCTACCTTCCTCTTCATCCAAGCTTATCTGGAAACTACAGACGCCGGCTAGTAAATGACTACTGGGACGTCTTAAGTCAAGCAGCAGTAATTCCCCTGGCAGCGAAAGTAGAAGGAATCCTGGAGCTGCCGGGACATCTAGGACACTAATCCACAACGGTGAAATGAAGGGTCTTATTACAGAAGAGTCGTAACGGGCCGTGACCTGAATGATGCGCTCTTTTGTATCACACTTAAGAATGACAATTTCATTGCTAGCAGCACCTTTTCTGCAAAATAACCACTCGCGGTTCATGTACTGCTGTCTATTAGTTGACTAAAACGTATCAACTTCATCAGTATAGTAAACCTGAAAAGGTCCAACTGCGACAAATACGACTCGGATATACTTTAAACTTTCAGGCAAACACTTCCAAATAACCACAATCTTTATACTCGGGAGGCAGAAGCAACAACTGACCTGTGAACAAGCACTGCAAGAAGAAGCAGTGAGTCAGACTTGACTATTGGTGTTAAGTGGTCCACTGGCATGCCAACGAATGTCATACTCCAGATCGTTCCCCAGCCTGTGAATTTCTCTTCAACTCCACTAGTGCTTGCTTCAGTTAATCCTGTCGAACTCAGCAACTCTCTTGGATATATCATTCTCTGAATCGCATCAGCAATACAAGAGACCAGATGTAAAACCATGATCAACGAAGAAAACTAGTAGTGGACAAATATCTTCATTACGAGACTTGAAAGTTGCAGCCGCAAGAAAGATGTTCTGCCACAAAGAGTAACAGAAGAAGGAAAGCAAAAGAACCTTGTCAACAATATTATTTCCTGCGGCTATGGAGGTTGGAAAGATTGCAATTCTATCTTCAAAAGCAGCCACAGCCACTGCACGACCCCTGCGAAATGCAAGCAACATAGGATGTAGGTCCCTTCTGATCATGGAATAAAAATGGTAATGACGAAGCTAAAAGCTGTGAGCTGGAAATGTGACCATTGTCTGATCCCCAGATAATATTGTGCACGACAAACACGAACTTCAGCAAGATGATCACCTGGATTCAATTGCAAGGAGTCTTCCCAATTCTCGCCGCAGATTCCCACACTCTGCAATATGGATGTGTACAACAGCCAAAAATCTGCCAAAACCACTGCAAATCAATTCATACTTTGCCTCTAAAACATCAACCCAATTCTCTGATTCGATCCTGACCTGCTTCAGACATTGCGTAACCAAATCACAGATTGCTCTGTACCACACTAGAATAAGCAATAAATAAAGAGTTGCGATATGATAGATTTTCATTTAGAAATTTTGTCGAACTTAAAGTTCCTTAGGTCAGACATTAGAATCACAGAGTATCTAAGAGACTAGCGTATCAAAAACTATGACAATTAGGCACTAGTGAGATGAAAACCGTCCTAATATCATCTCAGTTACTTATTTCTGCAACAAAAGAAAGAAATCATTACCTGTGAAGATCAACGTTGAAGGTTAAAAAGGAGAGCTTCCCAGAATCTGATAAAAGCACCAGCAAGTCTTTCTCGTACGTCTGCATTGCTCCATTCACATTCCTCAATTTAGACCTTTCAGGATACGTTCTTCAACATGAGCAGGCCACGAAAAATTATATTTTGAAAACACGTATATATATATATATATATATATATATATATATATATGTGTGTGTGTGTGTGTGTTTTGTCCAGATGCCAGTCAACGTTTAACTTAGATTTCACTTTTGACACAAAAAGTTACTGTTCACATTCTAAGTTAACTTCGCAATTCATACAAGTAGACTCTGGGAGGTCACCAGTACACATTGCTGGTATCTAGAATATGCTGTAAGGACAGGTTACACCTTACGTTCTGTCGACACTTAAGTGGCGAAACGGCTGATATCAAGTAGCAGTAACAATGAAAACTGAAGTCGGTGGAACAACCTACTAATGTACATACAAAATTAGGATAGCAACCTGTGGCAATGGACTTCGACGAGATTCATTCCAGGGCAGAACTCGGAGATCTTTGATGGTCCCGAATAATGGCTGCTCGCAAACTGACTGAACAATACCATCCTCGCTAACAACCACAAGCTCCAAAGATGTTTCCTGCCGGTAAACGACAACATAAGACTCAGCATCATTGTACTACTAAACTCAGAGAGTGAGCTAACGAAGCAGTACTTTATTCTGAAAAAAAGTCTGAATCTCCTTCTACATGATTCGAGCCCATTGTGTCCCCTGTTAAATTTATGCAAAACGAGCAGTGCCAAAGAAAACATTTCACAACTATTTCACGAGCTACATTGGAATCACCTTCCTTCAACAAGAGTAATCTATCAAACTAACAAAGAGCACATCAACACAGATGGACAAAAGCTAAAGCTACGGAACGAAAATGTAAGAAAAATGTCTTACCTTGCCAAGTACAACGTCGAATGTGGAAGGACACCGAATGTGTCCATAAACAGCGTGCAAAACCACGCTACTTTTCAGCACACATTTTGCTAAATAACTCGCTTTAGTTTCCTCTCCGGGGTCCTCTCCTCCCCCATCTTGAACCGCCATAACTTCCCACTAATATATTGCGTGTGCTAGCGTCGGGATTCCAACGCCTCCGCTTTCGCTAAAGAAGGATTAGTTTCTTCACCACCACGTATATCGCTCTACTTTCAATTTAATACTTATCTGCAGTAGAATCACCTCACATAATGACACAAAACTCGCTGTCGTGCTGGCAGTACAACGCACCAATTAACCTTCCAATTCAACAAAACCCAAAACAATTGCACTCCGGATGTTTGACTTCGAAACACAACACCCGCTGCGCACCGCATCCTACTCGTGGGAGGGACTGATCATTCTCTTCCTGCGTAAGTTACTGTCACCGGAAGCTCGTAATTGTTCCGCTTCTTAGAAATGACTCGTACCCGAACATGGCTGCAAATTGGGATCAAATTGAAGCTCAATTTTCGAGAGAAGAAGCTCGTATTCGACAAAGGACGGCCCTAATGATCCAAGCGGAAGCTAACAAGTGTATTGCATTCACGATTGCCTTCAGTCAAACTAACAAATGACAAAATAAAATCCAATCAATATTATTCTACGGCATCATCCCACTGTTTCGGACGCAATCAATTGAAGGAGGATTATCTATGATCACCAAATGAGTGCATACGAAACTCTCAATTGACACAACCATCTCAAATACAGAAATGATCATGTACGAAATTCTGCACAACAGATGCACCCTAGCCAATCGCTACGATTACACGATCCAAATCTCTCCGAAGCAATCCACCTCATAAAGGAACAAATTGCAACCTTCCTCTCATTGGCACCCTCAACTCTCCATCAATCCAAAAATCCTCTTGCACTGCATCACAATAATAAGGATGCGGTGCGATTGTGCTCCAGAGATGTCAAATACGATTCTCTCTCCGCACAACTCTGGTTGCAGAAGCAGACTCACTACCTCACGTTTCGCCAAATGTTCTGTTCAACCAACATCGCAAGAGCCCAATCTCCACAGAATGAAACTTTTTCTTTCAATTTCCCTCGATAAAAACAAAAGGTAAAATAAGTACTCCCGTTCAACTACCACTACCACCACCACCACCTTGCCAATCTCCACCCAGCCAACGCACAATCTACATCATGCTTCAACTGTTCACGACCTGGATGTAGAAGAACTAAGCGCAAGTCCCCTAATCCTGGACTGCACAATCCATCTCGCCTCCTCACACCCCAAATGCAACTCCGAATTAAACCCTCAACAAACTGTCAACAACTTGGATGATCTATGGTCGAAGATCGAGAATTGAACCCAGAACATGAAAGGCCAAAGGGCTCGGGACGAAAATCCGAGAACCGAACGAGAATGAGCTTCAAAACCTAACCCTAAACGTTTCTCTCCGAGCCCTTCATTCTTCTGACACGTGGAAGCCTCGCATTGGTCAAAGCCCTGTTCGAGGATGTGTCCACGTCAGATTCTTAACACTTTATCTTCGTTCATGAATTGCTGACCTGGACTCGTTGGACTTAGTTTGACTTGCTTTCAGGCTTTTGGGAGCAAAGTGTGTAATAGAAACCCAGCTGGAATCATTTGAAATTGTCTGCCTCTGATTTTGATAAAATACACACACACAAAATATATATATATATATATATATATATAAATCGTCTGATTTAGATTGATTTATCGTACAGTTGGTTTGTTTGCATAATACCAGGAATGATATGTTAAATGAAATTGTTTAAATTTAGAATGGAATTTCAACCCTTTCTTGTTTGATTGTTCATATGTTTTCAATGTGTGTTTTTTTGAGTGTTTGTCTTTACATTTTGTCAAAAATACTGTGTTTGTTGAATGACATTATTGAATTATGATTTTAGAATTACTAAAGGAATATTAATAATGGCAATAATAATAATTTAGTTGTAGTTGACTTAGTAGCATATTTTTAGTCTAATTTTAATGTTAGGATGGAAATAGCATTAAGTATGTTTTAAGCATTATATAAACTAATAATAGATTTATTAAGACAATAAAAAAATATATAAAGTAAATATGGTTAAAAAAAAATCATAAAAATCAAATAATAAATGTATATTATAAGGATTTTAAAATTAAATATATATATATTAAGCTAGTTTTTAATATTAAAATTTTAAATAGTATTCTTGAGTGCATTTTTATTATCAACCTTATACAACACTATATATATATATTTTAAGAGTTTATTAATAAATTATGATGCAATATAATTACATTATTTTATTTTATATATTTTATTTATATTTTGGATAATTTTATATATATATATATATATACATATATATAGTGTTTATATATATATATATATATATATATATATATATAATATTGTAAGAACTTTATGTGATAAGAAAGTTGCATCTAAAATAATCCCAAAAATTAGAAAAGTCTAATTTAGATTTATTTTTTATTTTATTTTATTTTTTTAAAGAACAATGGTAATTTAAAGTTGGTATTAAAGTATGGTTATTTTTTCATAATAATAAAATCTAGTAACTTTACAACAAGTTAGCTTATCAAAAGCTTAGACTATATATTCTTTTAAATTTAATCAATTTAATTTTATTTTAATTATAAATATTAGATTTATATTTTTAAAATGATTTTATTATGTATATTTGTTTTTATTAAATTATAAAAAATAATCAAAATATTAGAAGAAAAGAAGCTATTTTTACATCTTGTCAAAATAAACAAAAATAAGATGATAAAAGTTTAAACTCAAGTCAATAAAAAAATGAAGTAAAATATTTTATACATTGCTATAAATATAATATTAATATTTAGACATAAGAACCATTTAATAATCTTATAAACATCTTTAACTTGTTTTGATATGTTTTTTTATAACATGTTTTTTTATACTCTATAACTAATATTCTTTGTTTTTTTGATAATATTTGTTAGAACAAAAATTCTTCTTAGGTTGTAAAATTAAATTCTTTAATTAATATTCTTTATATAATTTATAAAATTCACTAAGGTTATTAATTAAGAAAAGTATATATATAGAAATAAATAAAATAATAATAGTAAATAGATACTAAAAAAAGTATGTAAAAATATATTAAATAATGTCTTCTTTAAGAAACATCTATGAGATTTTGTTAATATGAATTAGATTTTTAAATGTTCTTAGATATGCAATATGACTTTTAAAACTACTTCAAGAAGTTTTTTTTATCTTTAAAAAGTCATTGTAAAAGCAATGTTTGCTTTACAAATTTCATAGTATTTAAAATACTTCCACATGATTTTTTTATTAGCTATTTTATATAATAATAAGTATAAAACCATCTTTAATCTAATCAACATTTATCTTATATTCAAGTCTTAATTTATGATTATTTATTTATTTAATAGAAACCATTTATTAAAATAATTTTTTTTATTTTTTATTTTTTAAAATATTATATTTTTTTAATAAAGTTACATACAATATTTGCATTTTATTCAAAATATGCCATAAATATATTTTTATAATAATTGTTTTGTTCTATAATTGATTTTTTTCATTAATATTTCTTAATCTTATTGCTTAAGAATAAACAATCAATATTTGCTTCTTACAATAATTTTCTTTAAATGCAAACACAATCTAATCTATGAGAGAATTTTTTTCCTATCACCAATAAATGTCTTAAAAAATTAATAGCATATATTTTAAAAGATTTCTTTAATATTATAAATCTATATTGAACCAATTCAAAGCATGCAAAAGTATAAAATTTTCCAACTTCCAAAATGTTAGTTACAACTCAACTTCATGGAATGACTAAAATATATATATATATATATATATAATGACTGCCAAAACCAAGTATGAAATCAATAACTCTACCATTAGTCATTCATATTTTATAATTTATTACAATAATAACCAAAAAAATTAATAATTCAAGTTCTATTTTAAGTAATTGATGTAGCTACCAAATTGTAAGTCCAACAATGCAAGATAGGTTGAGAACAATGTGAATCAAAATGAATTACTTCGAAAACTTAGTTATGCTAACACTTAGATTTCAATGACATGATGTAATCTAATCTACAAATCTAATATGCACAAGTAGTTTTTTGAATGTGACTTAGAGCATAGGCATGTTCTTGGCCTTCATACATATAATTGTGTCCATCATCAGTGCACATCATCTATGCAAACTAAGCAAAATGGTTTCATTAAGTATCTCTTTTTTGTTGTTAGGAAGCTAGTAGAAGTGGTAGCTTTACAGAAATTGACGAGAAGTGAGAGTACTAGAAATGTTACTTGAGACTTATAAGTGTCTCAAAGTTGGATTGCTTAGTTTCATAAGTAATATTTGATTGGTTTGAGTTTTGTGAATCATAATTTTGGTGGCAGGCCAAAGATTTATAGTGGAGTCAATTGAAGAACTTGTATAAGAAAAATCACTAGAGGTGGTAAGGAAACAATACATAAAGTTGGAAATTACTTAAGAGAAGAGCTTCATATTAGTATGAGTGATAGTACTGTGAGGAGAGTATTATGTGAAGCATGTTTGAAATGCAAAGTGAAGCAAAAAAAACCAAAGTTCACACTTTGTCAGATTAAGACAAGATTAGAATTTGCTAAACGTCATTGTCATTGAATTGATGATAATTAAAATCATATAATATTCTTTGATGAAATAAAAGACAACCACTTTTGCTCTGATGATTGTAGTTGGTATTGATTTTATGACAATCAAAGTACAAGTGTTAGAATGGTGCAACAAATAATCAAGTTTAGAAGTAGGGAATGATGATGTGAGATAGTATGACTCCACATAGCCCTGATATGATGTGTAGAATTGAGGGAAGAATATATCAATTCATGTATAGAGGGATTTTAGAGCAAGAATTAATTCATATAATACATACAATTTAAATACTACAAGTTTGATTTTTCAACATGATAATAATCTCAAGCATACATCCTAGAGTTTGCATTGTTGGCTCAATTTGCAAGAATATACTCTTTTGAAGTGGCCGATACAATCTAATCAAATACATGTGGGCAACTTTAAAACGTTGATTGAACCAATATGAAACATCTCCCAAAGGAATGCTAGAGTTATGGGAGCATATTCAGGATTGTTGGGCTTCAATTACTCGAGATGAGTGTAAGAACTTGTGTAGAAGCATGCACAAGCATATTAGAGTTGTGATGACTGCTAAGGGCAGGTAGACAAATTTTCAAATTTGTTTTAGCTAGTATGAGTAAAACTGAGTTTTGGACCTAATTTCATTTTAATTTTTCTTGTATTTACATATTTGTGTGTAATAGACTTCAGTCATCATGGAGGTATGATTTACTAGAATGGTAATCTTGTGCAATTTACTGTTTTATTTTTGTTGCATCTAATTTACTTCCATTGTCTATCGAATTTGACCAAGCTGATTTCATACTCAGTTTCGGCAGTCACTGTGTACACTCTACAATGATTGGTTACATGATACTAAAAAGAAGACTAGAACGGGCAGTTTAGAGGGAACAATCATTATACATTTGTCAGGATGCGGCAATTGGCACTTCTGCACTAAGTTTTCAATTGTGTTTCTGATTTCAGCCGAATCCACGAGATGAAAAGAATCCTACATCAGCTGGATCAAACTAGTCATGTCACGTTGAATCGTCCAATCCACATAACACAAGCCAACCTGGTCATCAAGACTAAAAACTGGGAGCAGAAGAAATGTGCAGAGGCATAGAACGTGAGCAGTTTTCCATAACTGTGAATGAAGCGCTATTCCCAGAAATAGAACATCGTTGATCTATTCAAAGGTTCGCCTATCATTTATGTATATCAGGCCCTCCACTTTCAGGTGCCCACTACTTTGATTGTTACAATTACCTGTTCCTCTTCAAGGGCTAGAGATTACATTGGAAGATGTTTACCGCCCTTGACGGAACACATCAACATCCCAAAACCTGCCTACTAACTTTCAGTCCCTAAATAGTAGGCTGCATTCTCTGCCTCAAAACCAAAGTCCAACAGAAAAATTTCCCAGCAATCTTCAAAATTAAACTACCTGTACGTGATACTTGACAAATCATCAACAAGGTTCGAAGAGAACACTATTCTATCTGATTGTACAACTTACTCACAAGCCAGCTTCGTATCGAAGCTACTCAAACAGATAGCGAAGGCTTGAAATGCACTCAAAGGATATCGGTAGTCCATAGTAAACATGTCCTTGCCAATCTTTCCGAACTGTAGCAACACTTTGTCGTGGTCATTCTGCGAATTTGTAGGTGGCAGATCTGTTGCAGCCACCAACTGAAAGTTCTTCACTGACGCCACAGTCACCCTGCCACGGAAGTTCAAACACCAACACTGCAGCTGTTCATGCCATCGTGGAGCTTTATTCTTCAATATCAGAGGTGCATCCTTGGTCAATGGGCCGCTGACAAAGTCGCAATCCAATGTGCTACTATCAACTACAGCAGCTCTCGATCTCGGAGAAGATAATATACCAGAGTACGCGACATGCGTGTCTTCCAGGGTGCTCGCAGTGAACTCTGTTGGTGTAGGCGCACTGCCCCCTGATTCCATTGCAGACATGGGTATTGTATGCAACATGCATTGCATACGTCTTGGACCTCGTGTGCCCAGGACATTCAACTCATAAGCTATATGTGCTACATTATAGCTACCAGCATGTACACGCGATGTCAATTGCTTTGATCCGATGCGTCGACTACTACGGTTGGATGCTACACCCCTATTGTGAGGAGGCTGACTATCATAGATTGTGAATTTTGTGCCCAAGAAATTTGATCTGCAGGGAAATCAACATATTGTAATCAGTTCGAATACCCCATACCAACTTATTGACTGTAATTAAATTGAAAGCTAGTAGATCCATATCAAGTTGCGTCACTTTCATACCAAAATAACAATCTGCAGGAAGTGAGTGGGCATGTACCTCAATTTTCCAACGTAAGTGTTACTTCCTCTTGACATATCTTCTTGGTTGAGCGAAATTATGTAATCGGTGCTAGTGGCTCGCCGAAATTTTCGAGCTGCTAATAGAAACTTCCCATTCTCTATTAGACCTGCGTCAATCAATGAACCAGGCATAATGAATGGACAAGTATACTTCCTGAAAATTGATGAGCCTGGTAACTGTGAGTTCGCATCATATGTAAGTTGGAAAACAAAAGCGATCCCATCCAAAGCTAGCAATGAACAGGGATTACAGTCACAATGACCAAATCCACACCTAGCACACATCACCGCCCGATCTTCTGTCAACATACATTACTCAACTTACTCTTGACATGCACTTCCATATTATATACCCCGCAAAAATTCGTAAAATTATTCAAGCACCGGTTCCAAGTCTTAAACACTACCATTTCTAAACAAAAGAGTACCCTACACGTTATGTACTTGAAACAGGCGCACCTCCTATGCAGGACATATGCCTCCCTCTTGAGACTACTTCAGCATCCTTTAAGCATACAAAAACCATCAATGAGTTCAGATTCTGGCACTAGGAAACTTACTCGGAGGAAGCCCTAGAAACAGCTGATAAGTGGAGGTGGTTCTGTCCCGTTTGATGAAGCATTGAACTGTGTTCTCTCGAGGTCCAGGCTGCAGCAGGCGGTACAGTATCAATGACTGAAATACAAACAGCCACATAAACAGAAGAGACCACAAGTATCAACTCCCTCCTACCCTTTTGATATTTAAAAAAGGATATACACTTAGTTGCAACCATACTATTAAAAGGACCAGCCGTCTTCATTCACAGTTATGAAACATCTCCAACCTTTTCCCTGAGGATAAACTATCAGAGAGCCTTCCCAAATCCTCATACCAGCCAGAGTCCATTCAACAACGAAAGAAATAAGACTTCGCGAGTATTCACAAGAGCCCATCCCGTTCCTTGAGGGACGTGCACAGATGACCAAATACCAGAATGCACACTCTAAGAAAAACATAGCCCTTGAAAGGTAACACAAAAAAAAATAAGAACAAAAAAAAAAAAAAAAAAAAAAATGCGACTCCTAATAACAAATCACTTTAACACCAGTACATTTTGAAGCCTCCTTAATTATAATTTCATCATCGGGCTTAATTACTCACACTCCCTTCACCCCCATATCACCTGCTTCAAAGCAATCGGAAACGTCAAGCGCCCCGATTGCTCCGGTGTACGAACCAACTCCTTTGTTATCTCCCTCCACGAACTGCACACTGCTGCGCATGCCACCACGTGCTTCCGGCTGGGCCACGTGCTCTCGCTGACCTCCACTCTCTGAATCACATCCCTCAACAACTCCGGCGGCATGTTCGCCCAGCAGCTCTGCTCCACTACACGCTCTGGCCTCAATTGGGACTCGTCCAACACCATTCCACTCGACCTTCCCCTGTGATGGTGAGGAAACTTCAGCTCGAAACTCCGCCGCGATATGTTCCCTATACCGCCTTTCATCTCCTGGAACTCTCGTATCAAGCTCTTCAGGGGCATCATGGAAGACGACTTCTGACCAGACATAGTCCACTTGCAAAACCCAAGCTCTCTGCGGCTCACCTCACACCAGATTCCCTCTAACGATCTCTTCAGAAGAATGAGCCAGAGCTTGAGCCATCTACGTAGCCCATGTACCGTCAAACACTCGCTGGCCAACATCCATACCTCATTGCGCACACCTGCAGCCGGTTGTAAGTGCCGCCATGCAGTGTACGGATCGGGGCTGGTGTCAAAATCTATTCTCAAAAGTTCACCGAATGTGACGTAGGAGTCGAACACAATCAGAATAAGTGGCCATTGTGCCCTCAATCAAGCAGACGAAGAACTAGGGTGCCATTATCTCACTCCTCCGCCTCTTCGTCGTCCTTATCACACAACATAAACTGTGTTCTTAGGGCTCTCATCCCCCCTTGGGATGCGTTTCTTGCAAAGCTCGCTTGCGCTCGGACTCATCTCTTGTGTTCACACTAAGCGACATCTTTAACGCTTCGGTTACTCTCGTTCCAAAAGAAACCTGCATCTGTGTGATTCTCCAACACCCTCAGCGACATACATCTTGGCAGGCAGCTACAAGCAGCAACGACCTCTCAGGCACTCGTCAAAATCCGAAGCTGTCACCAAACCACAAACTCAAAACCTCTGTTACAGAAATAAACCGTAGATCTGCTCACTTCAACACTCCTGTCACGCCCCCGTGTTCACCAACCACTCGACGATCATGCTCACGCCCACACGCGGACATGAGGAAATTGCACCCTTCGGCACCGTCAACTGGCTATCCCTCTCGCTATCATCGCCTCACATCAAATCTCCCCGACCTCGCACCGCCTATGGGGTCTAAGCAGACCTGCTGCGCATCAAACTCTGAACCAAATTCGACGGTTCCGGGGCGCAACAACAGCGGGACGTCAATGGCCAGGTGAGGAACGACTAACAAAGTGGTAAGTGGAAGCTCAGAAGCTGCCGAAGGAAGCGTGGAATCACAGAGCCATGGTAGAGATGGGGCGACGAGCGGAAGTCGCACCGAAGGTGCCATAGCGATGGATCCAACCCGAACCTACCTGACCTCCCAGCAGCAAGCTGCTGCAGGCCACGCCAGGCCAGGCCGGTCGGGTCGGGCCCGGGGAAGCCCTGCCTGCTGCGATTGCCCTGGAGCCACGACCGTGACCCGCGATTTATCCATACCCCACGTCATCCTGTTTGTACTGGTCCGGTACAAGACTCGCAGAGATTTATTTTTTTGCAGTGACATATCTTTGTCTCTCCTGGTTTTTTTTTTTTTTTTTTTTTTTTTTCCTTTCTCTTTGTCCTCTTTATTCCCGGTATGAAAAACGACTCCTTCTGGGATGAAATTTTAAGCCTCCATCTTTGAAACTTTCTTGTTTAAAATTTTGAACTTTTTGTGTCTCAATACACATGCCAATAGAAAAGAACATGTCTTTTGTGATAATATTTAAAACATAAGTACAAATTTATTCATTCTGACACTAAAACATGTGAAGATGATATTTCCAATTTGTGAAAAGCCCGTGTTGTCTTTGTTTGGTCTTACTATTCCTTTAAAGTTATTTTTCTTTATGCATGTGACATCTAAAAAGTTTCAAAAAGAATTAAAATCTATTGGGGTGATGAGTATATTAATGCTCATACTTTTATTAGTTTGTAAAACTATTTAAAAATATAACTATGTGATAGAATAAATATTGGATTGATATTGGCCATCAAATTAGTATATTCATGAAATAATACATTAATGTATTTGTGTACATTGGTGTATTTAATGTTGGTACACTTACATATAGATATCCTTATTTTGTTAAATACATAATACCACACATTACTTCAACTGATAATCAACACACACACACACACACATGTATATATATATATATATATATATACATACACAAATGCATATAGCATTGGCATGTATTTAAAAATATATTTAAATGATATTCGACACATGGATATGTATATATATTTATATACAAATGATAAGACATTGGAACGGCTAATGCTCAGTGTAAAAATACTACAGAGTCTTTGATTATAACCATTATTTACAAAAATGCATTGACAAAAATAATAATTGCTTTGACGTTACTTATATGTTTAATAATTAACAACCAAATTATTATCAAAAAATTAAAATAAAAATAAAAAACTAATATAAACTGTAGAACTTGTAACACTTGTATCTAAGTTGTGAAATGCTTCCATAATACTTTATTAAATCTTCACAATATTCCAATAAAAGAACTAATGACCACATAATATATCAAAAATTATCTACAAGTCCAACTTGGATTTTCATAACTTCTACAATATTTTACAAATAAAGTACTAATTATATAACGTATTTTTATCCATTTACATTCACTTAAATTTGTTTAGGTAGAGGGGATGTGTGCAGTATATTTTCCTATTGATTTTATACTCAACATAGATGTTAAGATTTACAAATAAATGATACTGACGAAATACAAGAGTGCTACAAATAATACTATATTGTTTGTAATCTTTGAATATAAATAGAATCACACATCCAACTTCAATGCATCAAATTGAGATGTTAAAAATATTAAATATAAAATGTGAGAAATGATAGTTACTAAAATTGGAATAGTAACTGATATATATATATATATATATATATAGAGAGAGAGAGAGAGAGAGAGACTGAAAGAATGCACTAAAAATATGATGTTAAAGATTAGAAAATGATTGATATCAAATGCAACATATAAATTATTTCAAATTATAAAAAGAATTCATTCATAAAACATCGTCAAGAACAAAAAAATACAATTAATTTTGTTACGGATCTCATTTTGTCTCATTACAACTTATTTTAAAAATAAATATATTAATTTGATAAAAATTAGGAATAAATGCTTTATTCTTAGATACAAGTGTTACAAGTAATCCATACATGCAAACATTTAAGAAAATTCAAGGTTCCTCACATCTTTGAAATATAAAATAAATATGTAAAAAAAGGTACCACAACATTCAACTTCTTTCCTCAAATCTTTTGTTTGTTACATATCAATGAAGGTGTATCACAGTATTTCATTCATGTGTTCCAATTCTGCGACCAGTAAGTTGTCACATTAGTGAAATATTCCCATGAAATTCCGAGGATAGATGGACGAACGTACGGAAGAATGTATACATTGACGAATGTACGGATGACTGAATACATGGATGAATGGATGGATGGATGATAGCTGGGTAAACCACGCCAGGCTCTGAGCGTAAGACCACCCATGCGGCAAAACCCCATGCCCGTGACAACGGCGAAGAAAGAACGGAGTGAACTGAACTCCATGGGTCCCAATTCCGTGGCTGCGGCGCAAAGCTCTGACACAAAGCTCACCACCACCTCAGAGAGAGAGAGAGATGGCGGAAGTAGCGAAGGGGCATCCCCCACCCTCCCCCACGCCCTACCAAGTTGGTGCGGCGTGGTTGCTGCGACCCGCGATTCCAGAGTCCATATTATTATTATTGTCAGTAGCACAATTGGTGTGTCGCCGTTCCCCTTGCAACATACGTTTTGGTTGTTCGTTAGCGTATCTGCGTAAGTGTGTCAAAGTTCCGGGACAGAGGAGCAGATTTGACTTAAGACTTGGAAGCTTCGATGGCCAGGGTAGTGATAGGGTTGATTTCTGGTTTTTAGTGGTTGTGTATTTGAATGAGCTTTGCTGCGGGGTATGCTTCCACTCTCTCCACCGAAAATTGTTCTGCTGCGTGGCCGCGTGATTGTAGCACGCAAGAAGTGTTTTTATTGCGGAGAGTAATGTGCAGGTGCCTACCGGAAGTGCTTGAGGCGGGGTTAACTCAGCTCATGGAACACAATTAGCGGGATTTTCTTTTTTTTTTTTTTTTTCTTTAAGGCTATTGACTAGAAAGGATCTCGACTCATTAGTTTGGCGGGACTTGTCTTGGCTTTTTTTGCGTTGGAAAATTGTGCTTCAAGGTTACTAGAGGCCTTGCCTTGATTGTATGCTTCGCTGCTACAAAAACTAGCGGGATCGAACAAAACATGCAGGTAAATTTGTGACATGTTTGGAAATCAATGAAGATAAATGAACAAACTAACAAACAAGCCCAACTCGTTACACAAAATATGTGACCAAAAATGTTCAGTATGTGAATTCTTTACAAATGTGGTGTTAGGTTTATGATTATAACATTTTAAACGACTGTTGAATCCAGTTAACATTAGATTGTGTTTTTATCAGTAGAGATATAGTGTTATAATGGCTTATGACATTTTATGAAATATTATTGTAATTGACTTTTGTAGCTTTAAAATATATTCAGATTGTAAACAACAACATATTTGTAAAGAATTCACATATTTTGCATCAAGTTTGGACCTCATACAATCTGGTAATTACAAATATGGCAAACAACAAAGGGCTTCATTTCCAAGTGGAGTTGCAACACATGCAACAAAATTGTTGGAGATTGTGCACTCAGATGTTTGTGGACCAATAAAGACACCATCAATTGGAGGAATAAGGTACTTTGTTACATTCATTGATGATTTTTCAAGAAAGGTGTGGATTTACATCATTAAAGCTAAGAGTGAATGTTTCTTAAAGTTTAAGGAATTTAAGGCTCTTGTAGAGAAACAATGTGAGTGCAAGATCAAAGTGTTGAGAACGGACAATGGAGGTGAATATATGTTAAAGCATTTTGATGACTTCATGAAGATTCAAGGTATTGCAAGACAAACCTCTACTCCTTACACTCTACAACAAAATGGAGTTGCTGAAAGAGCAAACCATACCATTGTGGAGATGGCAAGGAATATGCTTCATACACAAAACCTTGGGCATGAGTATTGGATGGAAGCTATGGTAAATGCGGTGTACACAAGGAATAGGTGCCCTACAAGTACACTTACATCAATGACTCCACAAGAAGCTTGGAGTGGGAAGAAACCTTGTGTTTCACACATGAAGATTTTTGAATGCATTGCTTATGCAAAGGTACCAGATTGTATGAGGTCCAAACTTGATGCAAAAGGTACAAAATGTGTATTTTTTGGATATTGTGAAGGTACCAAAGCATATAGGCTAATGTGTTTAGAAACCAAGAAGATCATCAAAAGTCATGATGTAGAGTTTTAGGAGCATAAGAGTGCTTTTGAGCACTTAGAAGAGTTTCCAAGTAGAAGTAAAAGTGTGTTTGTGGACACATCTTCAAGTTCAGTAAAGAAAGAAGAGGAAGAAGATGATGATGACAATGAGGATGGGAGAAAGAGAAGTCAAGATCAAGTGCCAAAGAAGGTAAATCATAGTGTGCCTTCAATTGCTAGAACCAACAATGAAGACAATGAAGATATTAAAAGTGATGATGATGGTGAAGAATATCAATCTTTGAGTGAGAAAAGACAAGCATTGAGGAAGAAGAAGGATGGAATGCAAGAAGAAGGGTCTTCTTCAAATGAAAGGAGATATCTTTTGAGAGAAAGAAAACCACGTGGTGAATGGTGGAAGGACCACATCTTTCCTCAAGTAAGTGAAGAATATGCCAATATTGCACTTCTTGCTGATCCATTGAGTTTATGTAATGCAATGAAGTCCACGGATGCATTGAAGTAGAAGAATGCTATAGAAGAAGAGTACAAATCACTCATAGACAATGGAACATGGGAATTGACTCAACTTCAATTAAATTGATCTTCAATTGGTTGTATGTGGGTGTTTAGAATCAAAAGGGATGCAATGGGCAATATTGTGAGATACAAGTCTAGATTGGTTGCCAAAGGCTACTCAAAAGTTATTAGTGTAGATTTCAATGAGACATTTGCTTCCGTGGCCAAATTCACCACTATTAGAACTATTGTGGCAATTGGGGCAGCAATGGATTTGGAGATGCATGAAATAGATGTGAAGACGGCTTTCTTGAATGTAAGTTTGAAAGAAGACATCTACATGGATCAACCTCAAGGATTTGTTGAAGAAGGCAAACAACACCTTGTTTGTAAGTTGAAGAAATCTTTATATGGGCTAAAGCAATCACC